ACACTTGAAGGATTCAAGCACCATTGTTACATTCTTCAATTCTAAGAAGGCTTTAGAGAAGGTTTTGCCTGAGGGAATAAAAATGCTGCAGCTGAAGCAAGTCCAGCAATATCCTCCAGGTCCAAGTCGCAGCATATGAAAATGGATTCTGAGGACTTTGAAAAGAAGCCGGTGTTTTGAAGACGAGCTCGACCCAGTTGTTTTTGGAGACAGGAAGTGACATAGATAATAAGGTTGTCTTCTCAGTAACGCGTATCATAAATGAATGTAAGCCTGTGCTGTTTCCTCCTCACACCCAGGGGAGGCTATGCTGGGAGCAGAAAGCTACCACTGTGATCTATAGCGTTATGAAATCTGATTTAGTGCATCTTTCAAAAATGTTTCTAATTTAATTTCATTTGTGGACGACAGAATGCTTTCCATGTATCAGTTTTAGATTGAGTCTGTGTGCCTTTACGGAGAGCGTCTTCTGGAAGATAAAAGAAAGCCAGCTAAAGTGAGAAACTTAACTTTTATCTATTAATGATTGCAGTCATTACCTATGAAAAGATGCGACGACGTCTCTTTTTTTCCCCCTTCAACTTTACCGGCACGTATTAACATGCAAGCAAACCGAAGCGTACAGGTCCACACACAGGCGCGGCGCTGAGTCCATTCTCTGACGTGACCTTCAGCATATGAAGGCTGGCATTCAATTACCGCCCTGTCAGTGGCCCATCCAGCCCAGTGGCTGCACGTCCTTGAGACTTTCCCTGCAGCCTCCGTCCAGTCTATATTCTATTACATCCTCTACATCAGGAGCTCTGTCCGGCACAGAGCTCCTCTCAAACCCTCATTTTGATACATGGGCTTTAGTTTGACACTACTAAGCAGAGGCAAAATATTATCACATTTTTCAGTTCATGCATCAGAACTGTAAACAAGACATGTCATCACAATCTGACAGATTTGGAGAATGTTTGGTAGGTTGAGTGGCAATGCTGAATGCTATTGTCCCTTTGCAACTACATCATCTAATCAACGCTGAAGCGCCATGACGGACATCAGAGACGAGACTATTGCAGTCATTTCCCCCAAATTGTTTCTGCTAGTGTGGCCGTAGTTTTTACTGAGGTAGTTTGTCTGTGTAGCACACCGAGTTGGGGTTTATAGACAGCGGTATCTGTAAAAGTAGGAAAAAGCGAGCTTAGAAAGTGACCCACATTTTTGCCGGTATAGCCGTGGCTGTCTGTGGAAGTAGCACAGCTAGTTGGGACTCACAGATGGTGGCATTTACAAAAGTTGCAAACGGCTAGCTTAGAAAATAGCTAGCTAGCTTTCATGCATGCTAGGCTATACAGGCTATATATATATATATATATATATATATATATATATATATATATATATATATATATATATATATATATATATACATATATATATATATATATATATATAGTGATATATATATATATATATATATCACTACAGTACGACTTCCAGTTCTTAAGATTGATGACCGCTATCCATCATCCATCTTTCTTCATCAAAAGACATATGATAAAAATCACAATGATAGTTAAACAATATGTCACACATAAGGTCTACCCAAATGTTATAAAAATAAGCTGTTTCACATGCGTGCTTTTCTTTTTGTCTGAGGCTGAGCCGAAGTGCTTTCCTCAAGACAAGAGAGGCAAAACCAGTAACATGAACAGAACTTTCTCCATCTCTGCTGGACAAGGCGAACTGCTGTAGGACAGGCTTGTTGTTCTGTCCGACAGGCCTTCGCTACTGTTTCAGACAATTTACAGCTGAAGCAATTAATTGAGGAAATAATTAGCCAATTGCTCGATAAAGTAAACAATCCATACTTGAAGCCCAATCAGTCACTGCGATGGACTCGTTGCAGCGCCGACTGTTTAACTGCTGCCAAACAGTGAGGTCTGACTCCCTTCGTGTTTTATCTATTTATTTAATTATTTATTTATTTTGCTTTTGTACCCGAGCCGTTTGTCTCTGCCACAGACTTAACTCCGGCTCACTGAATTGTTACCTTTCCCTAAATCACGATCAAAGCTATAAATCCAGTAAGGCCAGCAGATGTATGCATGAACATTTTTTGGGGGGTCTGCAGGATTTATTAGGCATTTGATTTATGCATATCTTACTCAACAGAAACTTACCTTCATGTATTTGGAGAGCATCTGCAACAACTTCAGGTCAGCTTGGGGATAGTGTCAAAAATAAAAAGAATCAAGATGTAACCATCTCTTCAGTGTATTGATGCGTTTATATTTTTACTGCTGTTTAATTGTAAAATCTTAGACATGGATCATTGTTGAACACAAACATATTTCTCACATCTCAGCTCATAAACTTTTCATTCTCCATTAGGGAAATGAAAAGCGGCGACCAATCCGGTGCCTATTGTTGCCTTATAAAGGGTTGATGAATTAGTTTGCCTGGGAATATTTCCTATTTATGTGAGATGTGCTCTTTCTTTGCCACAAGGACCCAGAGAGAGCCAACTGGAAACCCAAGCTGCTAAACTACTGCGACCTAAACCGCCTGTAGAGAAAACAATGGATTTCAGCAGCATGTGCTCTTGTTTCTCAGCGCTTGAGTTTGCATTTCACGTGTCTTAACTTACTCAAGCCAACCTGTTCAGTGAGTTGGTGGCCAGCAGTAACAGTCGGAAGCAAGAGGGAAAATTTGTTCGTCTCGCAGTTGCATCTTGGTCTACAGGTGCTCCAATTTGAAGATGCAACCATAAACTCTTGTGCATCTTATCATGCTTTTTATTGAATAAGCCAACATAAACTGTGCATCACTGTGAAATGACGAAAACCAAAAATGTTTTTACATTTTTTTATAAACAAAAAATTTTTAAATTTTTGTGTACTTTCAAAATATATAATAAGGGCAACAATTTGTCAACAAATAAGAGATCACGAAAAAAATGTAGAGAAACTTAGAATAAGCTGTTGAAAGCTAGTAATGAGACTAAATAATAAAAACAATAAATGACAGTAACTTGTTTGTAAATTGAGTGAGCAATCAGCAATTAGCAGACAAAGCAATGAAAATTGACCCATAATTATCATGGTATTAACACCCTTTTACTAAATTACATAAACCATAAACAAACCTACTTACATACAGTATTTGTCACAGTTTCTTTCTTTACTGTTAAACCAATACTCACTTGTTTTGGTGTTCAACTTCCTGCTTGCTAACGCTTTTCTCCACGATTATAATTAACAGCTTCAGTTTTCTTTAGACGCTTCAATCAGCTTTTGTACTTCGTCTGACTTTATACCAGTACTGAAACTGAATATGTGTACATTTGTTCCTCCACACTGAAGGGTGTTGTTATAGCAAGTTTCTAGCTGTTATTATGTGTTCATTTATTGGAAAACACTGTTTTTTTTTGTTTTGTTTTTTGTTTCTGACAAAATAGAGCTAATATACCTTTGTCTCTCCATCGAAATGAGCAATCTCTATGTTTAAGATGAGCAAACTTTCTTACTTACAGAGTAATCTGTAGTTTAATAAATAATACAAAGGCATTTTATGTGTTTCTCGTTGCTCATGATAAGAGCTTCGACTAGTATCGCACGGCTTTTTTTGTTAATCGTCAGCAAAGAGGGGCAAACAGCGAAGCAGATTCCAGCAGAGGGGCCTGTGACGGGCAGAACACATCTATGCTTTAAAATGTGCAATTTGATTAAATCTGCTCTGTTTCTGTCCAGAATGTGTGCTGGCCGAAATGAATAAAGTGGATTAACTCTGTCACAGGATAATGCAGATTAAACTGGTAAACACAATCACTAAGTGGTGCATATGGCCTGCAGGGCGGAGTTAAGGCTTTAATTTTTTTTTCAGACAGGGGAACAGGATGAAAATATTTGGGTTTTAATTTCAGTTGGAAAGGCCATACTTGCAGATCACCCTGCGGTTTCTGTTTTAACACAGCAGGAAAAGGCTGTTTAACATCATTTCAGACGGTAACTGCAGCCCATGCTTGAGCTCATAAAACTTCCATGTCCCGTAGTGCTGTTCTTTTTCCTTTTTTTTCGTTTTCTTTTAAGGTAAAAATTTGCCCTGTTCATGCAAACGATCCTGCTAATGAAAGCGTTTAAGTGATTCAGCTGGGAACGTCAGCATGTCTCCTGATTTCCCTCGGAGCGATCCTGTTCCCCCCTCCGGACAGGAGGAGGGCTCGGCAGTCAACGTTCGCTCTGACGGCGGAGATGCAGCCGGTCCCGGCCGGTCGATGAGGGGGCGTTGGCTGGAGAAAAATCCATTCCCAGAGTGAGCGTTCTGCTGAGGCAGGTACGCCGACCTTTGAGTCATCTGATAGGTCAACGCTCTGCAGCGCTTGCCAGGACGTTGGTGGCGAGGCGCCAGGCTTTCGTGGTGCTAATAGTAAAGCCCGTCTGAGCAGCGGCCAGCGAGGATCAATGAAGCCTCTTGGCAGCTCGTTTATTGTACGGCACGGCCGCGAAATATTCACCAACAGATGCAGGTGACAGATGACGATACGGGACGATGGTTGAGGGAAGGCCAGGGTGGAGGGTTTCCCCATGTGCACTGAACATATCCAGACGCTACACTAGAGTAACACTGACAGCACGTAAAAATGATTTATCCTTTTTGAGTTGCTGATCAACTGCAGGAAGCATTTACACATTAAAGATTTCTTCAGTTTTGACCTCACGCTTTCTTTTTAGATTTATTTTTTGTATTTTGAATTGTTTTGGGGGTTTATTCTTCATGTTGTCAGATGGGCTGTGATTAAGGGACTCCTTGTTACTATGTGTCTTGCAGTAAAAAGTTGTGGGTACAGCCTGAGAAACTGAAACAAAATAATTAATCACAGTAAATTCATGATTTAACAAGGGGCCACTTATGTTTTCCCACAGGGCCAGGTTGGTTTTACATTTTTTCTTCATGACTAAAACTAATTTTAGAACTGCCTCTGGAATAAAATCCTGTCCTGATCTGACTTGCAGGTGCCCACGGAGTGAGAGAAGAGCCCCGGTTTGTGACGGCGCGCGCTGGAGAGAGCGTGATCCTGGGGTGTGACGTGTCCCCTCCCCTGGACGGCCAGCAGCCCCCCTATGTGGTGGAGTGGTTCAAGTTCGGAGTGCCTATCCCCTTCTTCATCAACTTCCGCTTCTACCCTCCTCATGTGGACCCAGAGTACACTGGTAAGACAGGCCGGGGGCCAAAGCTGCCTAATCCACATCGAGGGTTTTATGTCCACTCGGTCTTAAGTCCCTGCTGATATGATTTGTCTTGGAATAAATAAGGATGAAGTTTTTTTTTCTTTTTTGTGAGGAAGCCAAATGACTGTTTATACAGCAGCAGATGCAGAGTTGTCAACAGAATTTCACGCTGCATGTTGATAAACGGGCCCAAAAATATCCACGAAATGAGAAATGGTTTTTGGAAAGTTTATCTTATCATCCAGAGAGAGCCCTGTAGGAGAATGCAGGCCTTAAATTTGTCTGCCCCAATAAAACACCAAACCTCCAGGTATTTTATTGGGAGACAAATCAGCACGAAGTAGTGAGACATTGTGAAGTGAATAGAAAAGGATCAATACTTTTCAAGAAATGTTTTGGTTTTCTTGTCAAATGCCCTAAAAGTGTGGCATGCATGTGTATAGCTTCCTTTTGTTTCAAGGACAAACAAAAGGTCACAAGCATGACCTGTGTTTTTCTATATGTGGGAAAAAAACCTCACTTTTTATATTTCTATTTGTAGAATTTTTTAAACTTCGTCTCTCTTCCCTTCAGAAATACAGTTTTGTGGCACCTTCATTCGCATAAAAACAAAAAACATTCAAGTTTATTGTGCTCCAACATAAAACCTTCTCCAATGTACCGCAGCTCTGGTTCTGCCACACGATAAAATGGAGCTTCTTCATCTCACGTTTATGGAAATTAGCGCTGAGGAAATCCTCGCCCTTTTCAATGCGCATTGATTATGAATATTTGAGGTTTCGACACGCATTTATCATCGTGTCGAAACCCGGACAGCAGCCGCACCTTCTCATTTCTCTTTGACATGCGTCGGAGCCCCACTTCCTGTCACGGCAGTCTTTCTTTTTCGATCACTAAACTATCTTTCTCTGGTATTTTGTGGCAATTTTTCTTCTGAGGATAATAAGTCCTGACGTTTGAGTCGCATTGCATAATTTGAATGATGTGGAGTTTCATCAGTTGATCCGTCCATCTAAAAAAAGAAATCTATCCAACTTTGATCTTTTGCTGCCAGGCTTCAGTATTTTATATCCGGTATTTATCCAGTGAAATGTTAAATAGGATTACATTTAGGGTTTTCTCTTATTTATTTATTTTTGTCCCTCACGTTGTATTTTTCCTTCTTCTTTTTTTACTCTGAGCTGAGTCATGATTGTATTGTTTTAAAATAATAAAGCCACAACATTTTCTTATGAAAACTGTCTGAAAAATACATTCAGACTATAAATCAAGCCCTTAAATCGGTGTAAAAAAAGAGCCTTGTCTGCTGCTGGTCCCTGGCATTTTATTCCTATTTTCTACACCATCAGCTTGTGGATCTTCCATGTTTTCAGTTGTTTGTGTTGAGTATAAATTAAGATCCACGCAACTAAGCAGCTTGGGGTAAATGTGATCTAAATTTAGTTGAGGGATTCGGGGCTAAACAAGTCGTGCAAACAGACTCCGGGGTTTTAAATCACGTCTTTTGCACACTGGGACAAAAATAAATTGTGCTAAAACTGACAGCTGTATCTTTAAAAACAGGAAACAAATCTAAACCTGTAACTCTGACCTCTTCAAATTGTTTTTTACTCTTGTTTTTGTGTGTGTGTTTTATCTCTGTTTAGCATGGCTTGACACAATTAAATATTTCTACAGGGACAGTGGAGAGTTTATGCAATCCATTCTTTTCTCCTGCTGCTGCAGCAGCTTCTGCTGCTGCTGCAAACCCCATCATAAAGGGAGAACAGAACAACTACTAATAATCCTCAGATTGCATATATAGATGGGTTTTTTTGTCCCTGAGCAGTACTTAAGCTCAATGGTGTTTATGTATGTTGTAAAAAATGACGCGCTGAGGTCTTTATGTCGTAAAGAGAGTAACGTTGCCGGGCTTTTAGCTGCATTTTGCTCCATGAACACGGCATTCGGGCCTGCGGAGAGGCATCTGCTGCGTCTGGGTGAACAGAGGGGAAATAAGAGAGTCTCAGCAGTTTAATGCTGCATGGTATATACATGGCTTCCTGCACACTCCAGTGACAATGCATCACAGAGCGCGTACAGTCAGCAGAGAGGGTTTCCATCTCACATGGAAAACTCCATGTGAGATGTAGAAAATGTGAAGAATTTACTTCCTATAGCGAACAGGGACAAAATCACCAGAGTTCAGTTACAAAACTTTGATTAAGAGTTGTTTAATTGTAATATAAGATGAGCAATTGTATTCACTAAACATCGGTGTGCGCTTTTACCTATTAAATTAAGAAAAACAAAGTTGAATAGTTCGAAAAACTGGTGAAGGGGTGGTCTCACTTTTGAATGATTTCTAACGTGATTTATTTCTGATATAAGCAGGATTTTATTGTGGAAATAAATAAAAGGTGGGTAAAATAACAGGTGAGTGTTGGCGGTATTTGAAAACAGATACAATTTTTTTTAAATTTACTATCAATGTAGGAAATACATGGTTTGATACACTACATTAATGAAGAAAAAATCAGAACTAACAAAGAAAAAGAAACAGAATGTGTTGTCGATGTCGTGAGCTACATGTATGCTGGCTTTCTGGTTCTGTCAACATTCACTGAATATTCACGCCTCCAAAAACTCTTCTTCAGAAATCTAACCACTCTTTCTAGTTTTGCTGCAGAACCTGATATGAAAACACAGATCAGTTTTTACTCTTCTCAACAAGCGGCGGGGTATTTCAGTGGGCAATGCGCTCACAGGTCGCCCAGTCCTCGTGCTGCTTGTCCCACCCTGCAGCTGCCTGAACTGGAGATGTTGTTGGTTCTGATGACTCTTTTCGGTTCATTTAGATCATTGTAGGTCGAATCAAAACTTATGGATGCAGCTTTTAAAGCTCGAGAGTCGCAAACGAATCAGAAAATCTCAGTTTCGCAAAACGTCTGTCATTAATAACTGCAGGGCCTTAACTCTTGCCTTTGTTTAGTTTTGGTTGACTTCATAAGTTTTCACAATTAGCTCAAATGTCAAACTGTGAATATGTGTAGAAGCTCAATATAAATGAACTCTGGGACCTTTAAGAAGCACCGCTAGCCTCGGTTAAACTGTAGCTTTTGGCTTAGTTTTCTTTTTTTTTCTCTCCTCCGAATGTTGTCGCTTTGCTGTAACCCTTAAATGTTAATTCAGTGTTTGCTTTGGTTTTAGTATACCAGCTCCTGGAGGAAATATGTGGTCTTTTATTGGCTAAATGAAAGAGCACATTAAATGTTAACTATTTGCCTGCTGTTTGATGTTTGGTGGAAACTAGGAAATTTGGGTTTCTGTTAAAAGACAAACGCAGCCTATTTGGACCAGTCTGTTGAGCGATGTATAATGATAGTAGTAGTAATAGTAATAGTAGTAAAGGGGGGTTATGACAATCAAATGAAACGGTATTACTTAAAGAGTTCATTGCAAATAACAAGTTGGTTTTCAAATCTCAATTTCGAAAAATCTGCTTTTAGTCCAAATAATTTCTTTTGGACTAAAGGTAGGGAAGGAGAAAATTGTACTTGATGATGTAACACTTTGGGCATTTAAATCCCTCTTTTGACCTCTGTCACATTGAGCTTAATCTGAGGTTTGAAAGCTGTGCAGCCATTGACCGCAGACAGCAGGAGACCTTTGGACGTCGTGTTGCTCAGCGTCTGCTGACCCCGCCCCGAGATTTTACGTAGACTGGACTGACTGCGGTCCAGTCAGTGTTGCTCCCAGTCTCTTTCACTTTGTCATAATGCCACTAACGGTTGACAGTAAAAACATCTAGAAGTGAGGAAATTTCACGGCTGACCTTGTGACCAAGGAGGCAACTGGGAAACCTGAATTTACAGAGATGATTTGTGTTTTAAATGTTTTAGATGCGCTCCATGGCAAAAATAAATATGTAGATAGGCAATCTGTGCATTCTGAACTGTGAAGCGCCGGGGATCTGGTGTACTGTCAACAAGATACTAAAACAGAACAGTCTGAACTCTGCATTTAATCTTAAAATATCTATCAAAGCAGCAATGCTAACATAACTGGGATTTAAGCTAGCATCACCTCTTTAGCGTCTCTCAAAGGAAAGCTTTTGTGAAGAAGATCCCTTTCACCAGCTTCTTATCAGTTACAAAGCCTCCTGGACCACGTAATAAGGATAAATGAGCAAACACTCTGCTTGTACAAAGAAAAGAAAAACCAACGAAAAAACTGCTTGGAGATTCACTTCTCGTGTGTCCCTAAACTAGTCAAGTTGTTCTGTGTTTTATTCATATGAAAGGTGGGAAAAGTAGGTGACTGGTAATTAATTCACTGAAACTCCTTACGGTTTTCGAATCAGGTCTTCACTGAAACGAACACGCGTCATCATCTCGGGAACCCTCTCTCTGCCTCTCTTTTTCTTTCTTTCTCCGCTTTGCGTCGGTCTCAAAAGGCGCGGAATCTGCCGGAGCGTTTCACGTCGCTCGCTCTGACCTCCTTGCGTCGAGGGTGGGGTTAGACCAAGCGGCACTCTCCGACTCTTCACCGTGCCGTTGGTGGGCGTCCGCCATGTGGCTCGGAGTCGGCCATCGAGGAATTATCGGCGAACAGATGCAACTTGAATATAGCCGGTCTCATTACGTAGATTAAAGTGCATTCTGGGGATTTGTGTTTGTGGCGACGCCGGACTCGGCTTTATGAGACGCTCGTTTGGGCCGCTTAATGGCTCGGTGTGGTCTCCGAGCTCATTTGGGCTATTCCCATGAATTGTTTTCGCTCTGTGCGAGGAAAGTTGATGAATAGAGTACATGTGTGATTATTCCATCACCCAGCTGCTACCCAAACCAGACGTAAATCTCTATAAATACCATAGTTACAACTTTTTTTTTTGTCACAATTCATTTGGAAAGAAATGCTCTCGGTGCAACAAGTATTTATGCCAAATGGGGATTTATATCTTGCGATAAAGCTGGATCATTTTCCCACTTTGCCCTGCAGCTAAAAAGGAAACAATTGCATTTTAAAACATCTATTTTTGTTTTCTCACTCCAGCAAAGATGCAATCAATAATTCAGATGTGGATGTGAAAATGTATCGTCAGATCCACACTGTCTGGTAAAATGTGTTTTTTTTTCCCCTTTCATTTTCTTTTTTGCTACCAGGTCGCTTTCAGTTGCATCACTATAGTGGTATAATGTGATTACACACACTGAATTATTAGACCTATATGCAGAGTAGGGGCGGCTGTCGAGTCGTTGTCTTGTGACCGGAAGGTTGTTGGTCCGACTTCAGCTTCCTTTTGCCACATGTCGATTTAACCCCAAGTTGCTTACCGATCTGTGTGTTGGTGTATGACACACAGTCGTCAACTACTTTTTTTTGAGTGGTCAAAATTATTGGAAAAGTGCTGTAAGTTCAGACCATTTATACCATTTTGTAAAAAAAAAAGCCCCTAAATAAATGATACACAGGACAATTTCCTCTGAAAATATTCCACATTTTGCCATGTGACAACCACAAACTCCACGGTTTGGCATCAATGCGACGCAGAACAAAAGTGAAACGTCATGCAGATTTGCAGGAACGCTGCCTTGGTCATGTCTCGCTACATTTGGTAGCTGTACGGCCTCTCCTGTTTTGGTCGAATCAGCCATGTCATCTGAACCAGGAGCTTTGCTGTCCCAGAAGACAGAACTTTGTACGGCGTGAGCAGATCCTGGGACCCATGAGGCCGGTCCGACTCAGATACAGTCCTTTAAACTCTGTTCACAGCAGCACCATTTCACTTCCTGACTTCCTGGAGGTCAGGCTGATCGTGATGCTTCACCCCATCGCCTCAAGCACTCAATACATCACAGCTTTGAAATAAAACACACACACACACAAAAAAAGATTTTTTAAAGATATTCTTCCCACTTCCTGTTTGCTGGACTGATTTTCTGCTAATATATATATATATATATATATATATATATATATATATATATATATATATATATATATATAAATAATAACTTTTTCCCCCTGGAATAGGACAGCCATGCTTGGCTTTAGTACCTGACTAATGCTGTGAGAGCAATTTCAGCCCTCCCTCAACGTCGATCTGTTTGCCTGACACTCGCTTTGAAGTGACAGGAAGCTGTACTTACAGTACATCTACACATCAAAGTTTTTTGGGAAAAAAAAAACGCCCCCATTTTTCTGAGCACTTGTCAGAGGGAGCAGAAGTCTGCCGGGCTGTCAGAGGCTGCTGGAGGTGCCGGCGGCTCGTTCGGCAGCTGAAGGTTTCTGCTTTGCGCCTGCATTCCTTTAAATCTCTCATCCCTTGTGATTTCCTCCTTTTTTTAGAATTCCAATTTATCCCCAGCCTTGAAGTAGGAAGAGTCGAGGATGGGAAAGTGGTGTGAGAAATATGATTTCTGTGAAGTCCAAGACTGACTTTTTCTTTTTCTTTTTTTTTTCTGGCAGTATGACATCAAATGATTTATGCTAATTCAGATGAAGATGCGTCTTGCAGACAGCTTCATGTTTAAATCCTTATTCTGGAGCCACATAGCTGTTAAGTTATCTTTAAATAGTTATAGCAGTAGTTATGTTAGCTTTTTGAATTTTTGACACCCGGATGGGATGGCTCACTTAGTTGGAACGTAGTTTATGATATATTGACATAAACCTGCCAGTGGGAGCCTGATGTCGTGCCACAAGTTTCAGCTGCAAAAGCTTCCTGAACTGAAAATCAGTTTTTTGAAAGATTTAACATTAAACACATTAGTTCGACTCTCATATGTGGAAAACAATTTTCCTAAACTTTTTTAATTTCAGTAAATGCTATATTTACATTTTCTCATACATTTGCTTCTGATCCCTAGATCTTAAAATATGGTAGCTTACAACCAGAGATGCACCAATCCGATATCAATATCTGGATTGGTCCCGATATTGAAAACATTTGTAGATATCGGTGACGATGTTCCCAATCCAGATAAGGGCAGATCTATTCCATCTAATTCTATGCTTTGTGCTTTGAGCGACGTCATACATTGTCATTTATTTTACACTATATTCCTAGTTGTACTTTCAGAACCATTTGAAAGGTTTCTTGTATTTTAATTTTTATGTTTGACCAAGGCAGTCAATCTATTGTTTCTTTATTATTCATTTCACATTGGCTGTTATTCTCCTAATTGCTGAACAAGACTGAACAAATTAAACTTGTGTTGTTTTTATCATGTTTGTCCAAGCTTGTGAAGCTATTGATGTATTTAAGTATCTGAAATGCTGCAGCATTATCAAATAAATGTATAACTCCGTACATTTATGTCTGAGTTTAAAAACAAAAGAAACATTTTAAGTAACTGTTCTTTTGTATCGTATCGGTCGATACTAAACCGCAAATATCTGCATCGGTATCGGAAGTGACAAACGTGAATTTGCCACATCTCAAATTATGACTCCAGATCAAAGCAAAATAAAGGCGCAAACTCCTTCTTGCAGAAAAGTTTTGAAGAACTAACTTTCCTTAAAGCAGACTATGAATCGATTCTAAAGAATTAGTTAATTATTTGATATTTCCAACCTTTAAACATCGCCCTGGCTGAGGACGATATGAAATATCCCACAGTAAACAGGATTACGTCATGCCTGAAACCACAACATCCAAACAGCCACATAAAAAAAAAAATAAAAAATTTGGCAATTGTGGACACGTTTTAGATAATTATGTTCCACACAGCAAAACCCATGGCGGCACATGCTGTGGAAAACGACATGCCTTAAAAAAAATGTTTATGGCTTTGCTGAGGCCAACTCAGTGTTTTTTTTTCTCTCTTTCCTCCAACTCTGTCTGCAGGCAGAGCTTCTCTGCATGGGAAGGCCTCCTTGCAGATTGACCCGGTGCGCTCCGAGGACCAGGGCTGGTACGAGTGCAGGGTCCTGATGCTGGAGCAACAGTACGACACCTTCCACAACGGCAGCTGGGTGCACCTCACGGTCAACGGTGAGTCATCCGCCTGCATGAATGGCCCTGCTCGTGTGAAGAAGGGAGAAATCTAGGATGTGTTGTTGTTGAATAAGCCCATTGAGCTTCACAGAGGAAAAAAAACTACTGTCTACTGTTGCAAGGATACAGCATTGAGGCTTTTTTTTCCTTCTACATCACATCTTCATACCAGATGATGGTATGAAGATGTGACTTTCATCATCTTTTGGTAAGTCAATACCAAAGGATAAGAAACTTTCATGTCTGATTATTGAGATGTTGTGTTATTGTGGGCCAATTTCAGGTGAGGTGGTGCAGGAGTGTGTGGAATGGGTGACGTGGTCCTCGGCCTGAAAGAGTTTGAGAAACACTGAACGACAGAGAGCAATTTTTAGATCTCTCTCCAACCTTGTAAAATCATGTACAAGAAAACTAAAATGATATTGACTAAAATGAGGCTGTGCAAAGGAAGCAGTGGTACCAATATGTCAGGCTCTGGTGATGATGATAATATATCAAACTTTATATGGTGTTTTTAGGACACTCAAGGATGCCTTTTTTCCCCACTCAATGAATTTTTTCTGTGAAATCCACTGTGAGTATTTTACTGCAATAAAATATTTATCAACGTTAGTGCTTGCTACTCATCTTTACGGGGGAGCCGATTAACATGTCCGGCCTTAAAGGCTGGAGTCTTCCACTCACATCCTCACCATAAGTTTCTCCTCCAATATAGAGATATTAACCATTTTGCATATTTTTTTCATGATGCTTGACAGAGCTTTCTTTTCTGTCTTCAAAAAAAATAAAATAAAAAAATAATTAAAAAACAAACGCCAGAGGTGATAACGGCGTGAGAGGCTGCTCAGAGGAAGGATTGATTGTGGCCAGTTTCGGGCGGTTCCAGCAACACTCGTCTGTGATGGTCTGAGAGCCGTCAAACTGATGAGCAGGCGGAAAACAAAGATTAAAAAAAAAAAATCTGCACCTTTGCATTTTCCTGGAATGCCCCGGTGGCTCTGACGATCCAGCGTGAAGTGTGTCTTCTTCACGTTGTTGCGGAGCCTCAGACTGGGATGCGCTTGGGTCTTATTACGCTCTGCAAAGCTGTCTGCTACATACAGTTTTAGACTATTTCTCAAAATGCTTTTCTTAAATACACACGCAAATTTTGAAGATTTTTTTTAGTGTCCAACTCAATTGCACGTTTTTCTTTTTGCTTTTCCTTTTTTTTTTTAGATTGGAGTGTGCTGTCTTTAATAATTTTGATAACTGCACAGTATTTTATGTAGTAAATTGACCCTTACTGCACAGCATTTTGTTCATAGTTCTCTTTTTATATTTTTATAAAAATAGATTTTGTGTTAATCTTTATGTATTGCTGCTACTACACCTGAAAATTTCCCACAGTGGCAAAAATTATTTTTACTTTATACTCGATATACAAATCCAACATGATGCAGAATTGTAAAGTAGAGGCGCAAAAATTCAACTTCTTTAGTAGCAACATCTTAATGTTGTCATTTATTTGGCTCTAACCCCCTTTGGTAATACTTTACAGAAAACTCCATTCATTTCAATTAGCTCTGCTAGTCTTACAGTTGTATCTTTGCCAGCTTTGCACAATTAGACTGAACGTTTTTTGTGCATTCTGTGCAAAATAGCTCCAGCTAGCTGAGTCCGACCAGATGGAGATGGATATGAACTTAAATTTAAAAAGTTTGCAAATTGATTTTTTAAAAAAAAAATCATTCAGGTCTGGAGTTTAGTGGGCTGCACAGAGGTGCAGTTGGTAGCACTGTTGCCTTGCAGCAAGAAGGTCCCGGGTTTGATTCCCGGTCCTCTCAGCATGGAGTTTGTGCATGCGTGGGTTCCCTCCAGGTTCTCCGGCTTCCTCCCACAGTCCAAAAACATGACTGTCAGGTTGATTGGTCTCCAAATTCTCCCTTGGTGTGTGTGAGTGTGTGTAGGTGGTTGTTTGTCCTGTTTGTCTCTGTGTTGCCCTGCGAGAGACTGGTGACCTGTCCAGGGTGACCCCGCCTCTCGCCCAGAACGTTAGATGGAGATCGGCACCAGCACCTCCCGACCCCATTACGGACAAGAGTGTTAGAAAATGGTCTGGAGTTTGTTTTAATCTGTTAATTTTTTGATGGCCAAAGATATAACTTAGTTCGTTGTTGTTGGATTTGTCTGTGAGCGGCAAATTTTCCATACTTCAATTCTGTGGTATTGGTATATGGCTTCAATTTCTCCCCAATTCCAACAAAAGCATTTATAGTCATTTTCCTTGACAACCTTGGAGTAATTTGTGTTGGTATGCTGCATAAAACTCTCCTGCAAGAAATACTTGTAACCTGAGGTTCGAAGCATATAAAGAGTTTTACAGGACAGTCTGAGGTGAGGCTGCTGCACATTAGCATGAACGAGATCGCCTCTTGCTCTAATTTTGTTGTATAGCAGCAGTTTTCTTTTTGTTCCTGGAAAATTCAAGTGATAAAAAGGAGAAATGTTAAGACTCAAAGTGTTGATTTCTCCAGAAAGCTTCACTCCTCTGCGTCGTCAGAGTGACTTGGGGGGGCAAGGTGCCGTTAATCACGTATATTTTTGGTCTGTGAACTTAACGAGAGCTGCGTGAAACTCATGCTTATTCTCTTCGATTTCTTGCATGTTTTTTTTTCCTTTTTTTCCCCCCACCGCTTGTCACAGCTGAGTAAGGATCACAAGGCGTGGTGTGCAAAGTAATGTGTAGAGAAGCGTCGACTGCTTGCATAGCCACTTTAGGATGAAAATGCTGATCTGTTTTAATGGCTGTAATAAAGGCTCAATGTAATGTTGTTTTGTTCCTGCACGTTGCCCCGCTGGCCGCAATGAATCACCCTCCGCTTAAATAGGAAATCTGTGTTTGCCGGTTGAATTGGCTGAATGGGTCATGTTGCGGCGCGCTCCTTTTGTGTCGTTTTGGGAGGTTCGAGAGCATCTGTGTCGATGTCGGGTTGTTTGAGCAAACTGCGTCTCTGTACCGGCCTCGTTAATATTCGCAGCAAGCTCCCAACTCTTTGAGCTGCAGCAGCAGGACTGATATGAACTCATGTGTCACAATTTGAAAGCTGGTTCAGTATTTGAAACATCTAACGGGGGAGCTGAGTCGTTGTCGTCCTCTAAATGGGAGTCTTTGAGGTGAAGCAGGTGGCGTCTTCGCCCAGGCCCAGCAGACATTAAAGGACACTCGTTTCCTCTGGCCGTTAGTATTTGCATGAACTCCTCCTTTGTGTTCCTGTTCGTGGGCGCGGACTTCCTGCCAAGCGGGCAGGGACTCCATGCCCGCTCAGTGGCAGGTGTCAGATGGCAAGGCCTTGTGCCCGGAAGAGACACTGAAGCCAGTCTCTCTCGCTCCGTCTCTGTCCTCTTTGTCTCGTCGTTCTTTCTTTCATCCACCGTGTCTTCCTCCTTTTTGCTACTTTCTGAAGTCGCCCGAAAACATCATTAATAAAATCTCGCAACCGTGCCACTTAGTGAGTAATAAGTGGCATTCGGGTCTCGGACTGAACCTCGTTTGTTGCTGACCTTTAAGGCCCTATCGTTTCTTTCATTTTTCTTCTCATTTCGCACATTGATTTACTTTTACTAATGCATGGAATTAAAAACATAAATCTCCAATAAAATGAGTACAGTTCTGAGCAGAAGCGTACATGCTCTCATCAAGCACTGTTGAAGGTCACTGTTTAGTAATCGAGTAATTTAGTGATTATTCTGCCCCGTCGATCGAGTGATTAAGAAAAAATTATCCCGTTTTGTAATAGCTACTTGAGCTTGTTTAACTCCGTTAGCCAGAGAGTAGCGAAAGTAAAAGCTACAAGTTTAGCTTGTAATCAAATAAAGTGTCCTGTTCTGCAGTAGCTACTCTAGCTAGTGGAGCTACTTCAGGCAGCTTTGTTAAGGAGCTACAACAAGTTTAGCTTGTCTAACTAAAGTAGCTAGATTAGCTAGCTATTTAGTAAAATAGCTTGCTACTTAGTTTAGCTGAAGTAGCTACTTTATCTAGGTTTTCAAACGCAGCAAATGTTTAGACTGATTCTAATTCAGGCAGCTTGTGAGGAAAAAAGGCAGAGAACTTAAGTTGCGCATCATACGTACAAAAACTTAATTGCAGTGCTTTTTTTATTATCTTAAAATTAAATACTGCTGCCGGTTTGGATACAGCCTGGTGTCCAGCATGTCAAGAATGTTTGTAAAAAAAAATTAAAAATCAATTATACTCTGAATTCTGTGAACTGCATCAGTTTTAGTTGGGACAGGAACTTGTCCTTGAATGCTTTTTACTTCTTAGGGGCAAAAAAAAAAAAGAGTATGAGGAGATTGAAGAGATGTGAAACTACTTTAAAGTGCTTGAACAAGTTGTGCCATGTTGGTCTGCAGAGACAAGCAGAAGGAGCATAACTTCTTCAAGCATTTTTTTAATGTAGATAATTGATGCAGAGCATCTGTAAGTAGGGCAGAGGTTTACTGCGCGGGATGCTGCTTTTTTTTTTTTCTTCCTATTTTGTGTAATTCCCATGTTCCCCCCGTCCGTGGTGACGCTTCCTGCGTGTGGAGCTGCAGCTGACGATGTGAAACAATTCCCAGGTGGGCTGATGTATCTGCTGCTGTCACAGCAACGCCACGTTTGTCACCTACTTCCTGTCAGCTGATGCTTGTTCCCTGGAGGAAAGTGGAAACGAAGCTAACTGTTCCACGCAGCGCGTAGAGGGCCGATCAAACGACGTAATTATCAGAAGCATAGAGTCACTTTGAGAGGCAATCAAAAACTAAATTTATACAACCTAAAACCAGCTTCTGTCAGCTATCTACTAGTCATCTTCAAAGGGTGAAGGATGCATCACTGGTACTTCCTATAAGAATCTCCTTTAATCAACTGTATCATGTAATGTAATGGGTGTTAGAGAGCGAAAGGCCAGTACGGACAGACAGATGTCTAAAGTGCTAATTGGGTAATTTGTTTATTACATGCCAGGTGCTTGTGTGCAGTCTGAAGCATGGCAGCACTCCCAGCGGCAAGCGCTGACCCATTTTTCACCAAAGCGCTCTTATTTTTTTATTTAACTGAACTCAGTGTGACTATTTATAATCAAAATGTTATGTAGGAAGGAAAGAGCTGCAGTTTGGTGGCCTCGAGGAAATGATTAGCAGCATAGCAGCGGCTGTTTAAAGAGCTCAGAAACATCAGGTGGAAGCACAGCGATGATGCAAAGTGTTTTTGTTTTTGTTTTTTTGCTAAATAGGAAGGATGTATGTGGGATTGTTATCCACTCAGATCCATGTCTGGCGTGCAGCTGGTGGCTGTCACATCACCAAACATTATGAGCAGCAACTGTAGGGCCTAATTGCTTTTGCATACCTCTGCTGTCCCTTTGTTAACAACTGAAAAACAAACACGTTACAGAAGAGCTGCAGAGAAATGTTTAAGTTTCATTCTGATCAATTGAAATACTAAAAACACCTGAGTGGATCTTCAGCAAAAGGTTGTTTAACTCTAACTTAAAGCTGCAGCATGTGACTTTTACAAAAATATGTTTCCTCCCCCAACATTTGTTAAAACCGTCACCATATTGTGACAGTTTAGCATATGACAGAAAATCTGTGAAAAAGTGAAGCTCCTCCCCTACTTTATAGAGTTCAAGTGATAATTTCAGCAAATATGTATATAATCTTTTCATAAAAGTTACATATTGCAGCTTTATAAGCCAATAGCTTTTGAGTTTCACACAAGTCTAATTATACTCAACAAAAAACACAAACTTTGCATTCAAATCCTGATTTGAATGCAAAGTTTAGTAGGTTTAAGGTTAAACACCTTTTCAAACAGGATTAGTTTGATTTGAACAGTGTTTCCCTTAAAGCTGCAGTATGTAAGTATGTACATTTATGTAAACAGTGTTTTTTTAATGTATTTGTATAAATGGACACCATGTCAAAGCAGTACAATATAAAATAGATGGTCTGTGAAAAAATGTAGCTTTTTTATTTTTTCGCACATTATCCGTTTCATTTCATACTGTCATGGTGACAGTGAGTGTTTTAGCTAATATGTAAAAAAAAGTATTTTTTAAATACTGCAAGTTCTATATTACTGCTTTAATGCTAGTTTTGCTTCGTTTCTTTCTCATTATTGTATCAGGAAAGTGAAGCCTTGAGCGCTTTAGATGTTCTGAATTCGTTTGTCAACTCCTAAACATGCCTCCTTTACTGTGACTTTATGTGTGTGTTAAATTTTATTTAGCCTTGATTTCACCACTGCTTCAAAATTTGAATATCTTTTAGAAGAGCTTCCTGAATAAAATTCAACAATAAAGTGTAAAACGAGAGGCGGTGGATGGCTCAAATGTGTAGCTGTTGGTTCGATTCCCCATTCCCAGGCCATTTCCTGTGCAGTAAAGGACATTGGTACTGAATGTATTTATAAATCTGAAAACGTGGAAACATTAAACACATAATTAGTAACTCTTTCTTTAGTGAAAGCCAGGATTATTTTAGTCTAAAAGAAAGTTAAGGTATTGATAACAATGCTTCTTTCTCTTTTTTTTATCTAATGTGGGTGGCAGGTTTAATTTTAGACACAAGAAAGTTGAAATAAATCAAAAAACTTTATGGGTGCATTCACACCAGTCCTGTTTAATCCGCTTTAATCAAACTCCAGTTCGCTTGCCGAAAAGCTCCAGTTCGTTTGGGGAGATGTAAATCAAACTGTGAAGAGAACCAAAAAAATTTTATTCGGGTCCGCATACAACCAGAATTAAATTGTGCATTCAAACTCTGGTGCGGTTTGAATGCACATGTGTTTCCAACTGGAAACCGCTCTAGAAGCAGGAAGTGAACTAAAGCGCAGGGCATTCTGGGTAGACGCAATCAAAACAGCAGGAGATATAGCTTGTGGTCTTTCACAAACAACAACAGAGAAATCCTACAAATCATTTTTGTTTACATTTTTTGAAGAAAGAAGTTGATCTGTCTCTTCTTCAGAGGTTCTTGTGTCGTTTTCCTTCAGTAGCTCAGCGCCACCACAGGCGAGGAGGAGAACTGGTTTTCTTAAAAGGTTTAGTTTGTTTGACACAGCGCAGCTGGAAATGTAACAAATTACTCATTTTTAATCCCCAACTCAACCAAGTTGAACCAAATCAAATTGATCTGAAACTCCAAACGGTTTTGAAGGAACGTAAAACCAGTATAATCCTGATGTGATCGGTCCTCACATAGAGGTGAAGCACTAAACTCTGCGTCTTGCAGAGCATGAGTTAGTAGTTAACTTGTTTGTCTACTTAAACGTGTGTAATGGCGACTTTAAGTACATGCTTATTTTTCTGTCTCTGCAGCCCCACCTTCATTCACAGCGACCCCGCCGCAGTATGTGGAGGCGAAGGAAGGGGGAAGCACTCTGCTCAGCTGCTCTGCCCAGGGAAACCCAAAACCAATGATCAGCTGGCTCAGAGAAGGGGAGGAGCTTGCAACCAACTCAAAATACTCGGTGAGGAAAAGAAATTTAAAAAAAAGTATGTATACAAACAGCCAAAACCCTGATTTGTGATTGTGGACATAAATATAGAAAGGCTTTGTGCACAGATGGCATCATCCACTGAGCCCATCTGTACCAAAACTATGTTACGGTCCACATCTCATCCGGCCTCATATTAGATCATGCTGCTGTTTTACTGGAGAATCTAGAAAATTATTGATATCATAATCCTATTCCTGATATCTTGTGCTTAAAAACCCCCCAACATGAACACACACACACACACACACACGCACACTGAATCCATTTCATTGTATTGGGAAGAGCAACTGGCAGCGTGCCTCGCATTTCTCAACCCTCTTTGTTGTCTGGTGATGTCGAATTTTTATTTCTGTGAGGGGAAAAAAAACCCAAAACAAAACCGTCCCCGTTGTCTGATGTCTGACAGGATATTTCTGGCACAGCTTCACTGTGGTTTGATTTGCGAAATAAATAAATAAATAAATAAAGTCTCTCAGCGACACACAAAGCAACATCAATAAACATCAGCTCCATGCTTTGCTGTTAGGGATTCAAAGGCGCTTAAAATACAGATGACTCAGAAGTGTGATGATGCGTTACAGCCACATGATGCTGCATGTTAAATAAAATGTGTCATTTTTACTTTCTTCCTGCTGAAGTCAGTAATCGTGTTATATATTCTAAGGTTTCAAACCAAAGTGGTTTTGATCATGATTTTTTGGGATTTCTGAAGGTCTTGAAACATCTTTTTTTTTTTTTTATCTTCTCCATTTTTAGATTAGAACCTGACAGCACGTTGTGGTAAAAAATATACATGACATGATTTACGTTTATCGATAGGGGAAAAAATAAAAAGGGTGAATGTGAATTTATGGATTGCTCAAATCATAAGAGGCAAAAATCAAATCTAAATCACTATGGTTTCATCTTTTCATTTTCAGTTATAATCAAGCTTGTGGATGATAATGATAATTGTGATAATTATGTTCATTTCTATGTCCAGAATGGAGAAAAATATACAAACAAAGCAACCAAAAATGTGATTTTATTACATGCCAAACATAACACCATGGATACCCAAAAAGACATAATAGGAAGATCTTCATCATTTATTCAATGATGAAGAAGAAAATCGAGGAAAATATTCGCAAGCGACAGAACTGGTCATGCAGGAAGTGTCAGTGAATGGAAGCAGCTGAAAGTCTAACTTTTCGAAACACAACCGGTTTGTCGTGTTCCTGACACTTCAACTCAGTGATTCTCAATTCACTCAGAATCAGTGGCGGATCCCTGTTTTAGGTGTTTCCCCTTCTGCCACACACCTGGATTTAATTTGTGGGTGATTAACAGCCTTCTGCAGTACTTGATGGCTGCAGAAGAGGTCATGCAATCATTTGGATCAGCTGTTCTGAAATAGAAACACATCTAAAACACGCAGAGCAGAGGGGGCCTGAGGACTGGGACTGAGAAATCCTGCTTTAATTGCTGTAATATGGCTTTGAAACTTTATTTCAACAACATTGTCAAACCAAAGCAAGTTTATTTGCTTTATAAGTATTAATCATTAAGTGCTTTAAAATGATTAAAAGATAACACAGTTGCCTATTATTAAACAGCAATAAACATTATATTTTGTCAACTCATTAGCCTAATAGCATCACTGCCTAAGTCCTATTTTGTAAAATGGGACTTAGGAAATTCTGCTATTAGGCTAATGAAATGTCATCACGAAACAAATAAATATTAAATGTATAATATCAATTCACTCGCCATTATAAATCCGAGGCAACAATAAAGCCTTGATTTAAAGGAACTCAGTGTTTTGGTTGTTTCAGCTTAATGCATTGTTGCATTGTTATATTTTTTCTTTCTTTTTTGTCACAGTTTCTGAGATCTTCATCCATGTACAGAAATAACGTGTTAACGGGGCTCCAATGATCGTTTTTTTTTTTTGCGTCTTAATATCTGGTTTGGAGAATAGCGTAAAGAGAGATTTCGATTTGTTAATGTTAATCTTAATTTTAAGACGGTTTCATGGCTCTAAAATGTGATCAAATCTGGAATTTAACAAACTCTTGACTATTTGATTGCCCGTCAAAAATAACAAAAAATCGTTTGCTGGACTGATAGGAAAAGACGCCGCCGACATCCAAGCAGAAAGTCTGCAGGTCGCAAATCCATTCGTCAGAACGTTAACAGAACGCCAGCCTCACATCAGAAACAAATAACGGTTGTTTCTGAGGACTTTTTCACATCACTGTACCAGTCTGATTAACATAAGTGAAGATACTGAGGCACTGAAGGAAAAAAAGGGGGTGGGGGAAAAACCCTGCTGCTTGAACGGGACAGATTGTCACCACTTTTTCAACTTTTGAAGCAGGTTGCCGCCTCTCTTTGCAGCGTCTCTTCACATTCTTGCATGTCACTTATATTCTAGTCGGCTGCAGGCAGCACGCGCTCCTCGCTTCCCGCACAGGACGCACATACACGAAGTGACAGGATCACAGGCAGCCTGTTAAAAGACCTCGTTCACTTCTTCTCTTTCATTTTGCTGCTCCCTCCAGCCGCCTCCTTTAACAGCATTCCCCCAGTAAAGGATTAGATAATGTTCTGATGCATAATTAATCTTTCTTTCCGTATCAATAATACATTAACCAAAGATTTAAAAAAATGAATGTAGAGCTAAAAAGGAGGAGATCCTGCACAAATTTCAGAGCTTTTACCCAACGTTTCCCTCTTTCCAGAGGGAATGTGAGAAAGTTCTCTTCTGTTGTAGAGAAAAAGACTGAGCATGAGGGGATATTTGCTCACTGGACTGGCTGCAGATCCACAGAGACATCCTGGAGAAAAGGAGGAATGTGACAGTCTGTGTTGGAGTCTCTCTGTATCCTCCTTTTTTTATGGGCACAGACAAAAAGAGGACATTGAATTTGAAGGCTGGAAAGGAGTGAACAGCTGCCAGGATGGGATTCTAAGGCCTTCTCTGAAACAGAACAAAGAAAACTGGAAAATAACAGTGGCTTCCCGGTGGTTTATGGCTGCACGTTGTGTCAAGAAAAAATAAAAGCTGTTATTTTTAATCTCTAATACAGTAGACTGACACATACGGTGTAGAATAAGCAACAAAGTTTGTTCGATTTGTCTTCAATTATGAGAAATTGAGCAAAATATTTTTCTAAACCAACAAAATAGAAAAGAGTTGATCCCTGAAAAATTAGGACACTCTATGGATTTTATAAGTCAGTCATGTAAGATGTTAATCTGTATTTTGGATACATAAATTGAACCAAAACATAAACTTATTTTAAATAAAATAGAAGTACAAATAAGAAAAAAAAAGACTATTTTGCATTTCTAATTTGAAGGGGTGGTGTTATGTATTTTCCAACCATTTTATAGGACAATCAAGTTACTATACCACATATATATACAACATTATAACAATGTTGTATTTATCAAACATAACTAAAAAGAAATTTGATTTCATAATTTGATGCCTTGAAATTGAACCCCTGTCTCTTTAAGAAGCACCTACTCTTTCCTCATCACAATGATGGATTACTACAATGCAGATTGAATTCGCTTCTTTAGCTAAGTCAGAAAATAAGCACTTCTCAGTGGAAAGCGTAGTTCCACTTTTTTAAAGAATTAGAAAGATATATATGTTTTATTACAGTGAACAAGGAATTCTTGTAAATAAAGATTTTAGAAAAGAACAATATAAAAACTGCTTCAAATTATTATTACAATACAATACATGCAATACAGCATGCTAACATTATGGGTTAGCATGCTAAAAGAGACATTATCTCTGGATGCATTCATGCCAAATCCTGACTTGAACATGACAACATTAAAGCAATATTCCACTCTACAAGTAGAACTTTAATCTCACCTATTTAGTTTACTTTTTTTATTACTATTATTATTGGTTTAATGAAAGTAGAACAATTTCAATCTCTCCCGGCTAATTCGATCCTTGCACATGGCTTCGTAAGCCTCAGAGTGATACTTCACAACAAACCAGTGACTGGTTAGCGCTCCCGGCACCCAGAGCGACACGTGTGCTGCTAGCTTACAGCAGCGCCACACAAAGTGCTACCTCCCTGAAGATAAATGACGATCCAGTTTGCCAACAGACTCGCAGAAATTCAAAGCTGCTTTGGTTCATCCAACAGTAGCCCGACAAACATTTGAGAGATGGATGAATGGGAATAATTCTGCAGGCGCCGCAGATTTTCCCCCTCTGTGCCGCGTGAATGGACACACTACAGCTGTGTGTGACTTGAATGGACAGAATCTCTCGCAACCTGTTGCATAATTTATGAGCGTTTTCTTTCTTTTTCTTCTTCTTTTTGGTCTGTTTCATGCGCTCGTTCATTGCGGGGATTGCTTGGGAACAGATTGTGATGTTTTCAGGCTTACAGAATGTTGCAATCTCACTTTAAGGTAGAAATGTTTCAGGCAAACAAGAGGTAATGATGTTGATTCACACCACACAAAAAGAAAATGAATTTTCAAACCATGGGCTTAGTAGAAGTTGTCAAACAATTTTTTTTAAATTATTTATATATATTTTATATATTTTAAGGAAGTTATTTTAAGCTGTTTTTGGCATTAGTGCAGGTAACACAACTAAAACGAGAGTCTCTACTTATCTTCGCTAGAGGATGCAGATTCTTATAACTCAGAAAAATCAGCATATTTTATTCCAGATGGACATCAAAGGCTCACGAAACGGGTGAAGTTACTCGGCTCTACTGGGATCTGCTGAAAATCTGGCTCTCTCTCGCTCTTTTGCAGCCTGAATGCGCCGCGGACACGTCTCCAAAATTTCCTTTACAATAACCTCTCACATCTCTGTTCTTCTGAAACTTTTAGACACCTTAGAGTCTGCAGTGTTGTGAAGAAATGAATGGCTTGTGTTGTTGCTGTCATGATATGAGGATGTTTGTACTTTGGGGTTTGTTTCTTTGCAGTTTATTTCCTTGGCTCCTGCATTTTGTTTTATTTCTTTGTGTGTTCATTTATTCATCACTCTTGCCTCTTTGTGCTCCTGCCTGTGTTGTCTTAGATTAGTATTTACTCTGTACCCTTGCAGTTATTTCTTTGCATCCTTCTGTTTTTCTTTCACCTTCTCCTTTGCCTGTCAGCCTAATATCTGCACAGCTGTTATCTATCACCTCATCCTGCGTTACCTGTTTTCTTCTTCAGCTGGTGCCGCTTCCCTCTGATTAGCTCCTCTGGTTCCCTGTCATTTTCACTCCAGATTCATGCTTAAAAAAAGCTCAGGCTTTTGTGGTGCATTCAATAAGTGTACGGAACATACGAACGAACACGTGACATAAAGATGTGTTAACTGACTGAATGTCGTCTAAGTAGAGGAGAAGGAAACTTACCCTGTTGAGGGAGCAAAGAAAGGAAGGTGCAGAAGGTCTTGAGATTGCACAACCAAAAAAATGCTCCTCCTCTCCTATTAATCACACATCCCAGATGATCTGCACTTGACTCAACCTGAGGTTACAAAAAGCAACGTAATGGAGTTGGAAGACGCTAAACAAAAGCTAAAAGCGGGAGAAGTTGGACTTCTCACTCGAATTATGGTCTAAAGACGAAATCTGTGAACGCTTACTTTAAATATGTATCTTGTTTGCTCCGGGTTGGATTTTCTTTAGGCCCAATTTCAGCTCTAAACCTAACTCTTCTTCAGACATCTCCACAACTTTCTCCCGAAATCGTCTGACGCTTACCTTGCTTTTCGATGAACTGTCTAATGACAGCTGGTGCTCTCCCGTTCGTGGATTCTGGAGGAACATTTTCCCTCAAGAAACTCAGACATGTTATTGATCTAGAGCTCCAGTGACTTCTGCTTAACAGCAGCTGCAACAACTCTACTGTACGCCACACTGTTTGGTTTAGCGGAAACACATAAATACCTGGAAAAGCAAACAGAAGTTTGACGGCGTCTCCTCTGTTTCTGACCTGAAGGTACACGACGGCAGCCTGACCATTCTCGGCATCACCAGAGACGACAGAGGGGCGTACACGTGCAGAGCGTACAGCGACCAGGGAGAGGTGCTTCACACCACCCGCCTCTTGGTTCAAGGTAAGGCCGCCCGAACCGCAGCTGGAGTCGTTGACCAAAGCATTTCTGATCGCGTCATCACACTGTAAAACTAAACGACTCGTCTGCCGGTCTTCGTTCACAGCCTGGGGTTGGCCGTGTACCAACCCGGCCGGCTCAGTTTCAGCGTTTAGACCTAAAGGCGGCTTCCTGGCGCACTCATGTATTAACAGGAATATATCAGGCAGACCAGCGCTTAGCCTGCTTGTGTAAATGTGTACGTACGGCCGGAACGTCCCCGTCTGTCTCTGGACCATTAACCCGCCTCCCTCTGCTAGACGTGGATCAGATAGCTGGGTTCGTGCTGCCAGCCTCCCGATACAGCGCTGCTGCTTCGGGGAGTTAACGGCGTGTATTTAACAAGCAGCCGAACGCCTCGCTTTTACGGCAGAGTGGGCATCGAGTCTATTTTAACGCTTGACTTCTGCAGGTGCAAACAGCAGCGAAGTTCTCCCTGTTCACAGAACAGCAAATACAGACAGTACAAGTAAACACTTGGCTATTATTTTGTTGTAACAAGTAGAGGAGTCATATTGTTAGATGCTTTTTATATAGAAACAGGTGTAGAAAAATATGGCTGTAAGAATTTCCAAAATTCTTCTGTTTTCACTTCTTTTTTGTCTCAAATTGTCAAATAAATGTGAAGAATAAAAGAAAATACAAGTTTAAGGTTTTGTTTAGTTATTTATGTTATGCAAAAAAATCTAATGAACCCATGATTCAAGTGCAGTCACTAACAACAAGACTTTTGCAGCGCAGTAAAGGAACTGTGACCCCATCTCTTCTTTGCAGAGTTGTTTTAATTCTGGGATTTCTAGCATGAATGACACGAAAGGTCTTGCCATAGAATAGTAAGTCAAATTTAAGCTTGAACTTTGACTAGGCCAATCCAAAAACTTCATTTTGTTTGGTTCTAGCCATTCAGAGGTGGACTTCCTGCTGCTCTTTCGCTGACGTTTTTCTTTCATTTTTTTTTTTTTCACTGATCAGCAGATTCCAAGATTCACTTCATTGGATTAGGGCATGACGTATTCCCTTTTTTAAGTCTTTTAGTCATATTGTCCGACATGTTCTGTTAACTTTTTAAAAAAAAATTCTGGCAGAGTTAATGAAATAATATTTTGGAAAATGTGTTTTGTGAATTACTCAAGTTATTGGAGTTTGTCTGATCTCAAAATTAGTTTGATGTGAAACATTTACGTTTGGCAGAGAGCAGACTTAAAAGCAGCCTGTTACTGAGTTTTACAGCATTTAGACAATATTTTTATTTTAATTTGGAACTTTGGAAGTAAATTCCTTGAAACAAACACTGATGCTGTTTTATTCTATGTTGGCTTATTGAGCCTTTCGTGTGCCATGAGACAGAGCTCAGAGAAAATTTGAGTGTTATAAATGTCAATGTTGGTTTTCTTTACCAAAGATGGTTTGATCATGTAAAGTCTCTGCTTTGATGAGGCTCATTTTCTGATTTAAAAAACCAAAGAAAAAAAAATCTTATGAACCTGTTTGCTTTGTTATCTGTCGAAAATGAAGCAATTAAAGTGTTTCTTCAAAAGAAGCCCTCGTGACTTTAAGTAACATCATAAAAAAATTAATTTCAAGATGGCTCCTCTCCGCCTGCCTATTTTTTAATAGAGCGACCAGTGAAAGGAGGAGCGTTAAGGGTGTTAGTCCTTATTGCCCCCCTCTGTCACCAGCCAGGCGAGATGCTAATGTTTAATCTGAGGCTCTGTGACTGCTTTTTAACCTCTGTCATATTAATATCAGATTTACGCCGCTGCGATCCACTGCTGCACCTCCCCGAGTGCGCGCGCAATCATCCATCAATCGTAAAATCCACAATAAGTGTGTTTTCCCCATTACCACCACCGTCTACTTTTATTCAGTGTTTCAATATGAAACATAAAACAATCTGATCCCCGTGTCGGCATGTTTTTTGTTTTTAATTGCCAAGTGAGACTCTGCCGGTCGTCCCGGCCGATATGTGAAGCTGAACTTCCGGGGAGGAAAACAACCGGCAGGTTTCCGTCATGAAAACACGCTTACCATTCATGGTTGCTGCTGCTTTTATTGAGTTTTCTGCAAAACCTGCGGCACCTCTGGAGGCCAGGAGGGGTGACAATGTGAAGCACACACAACTTACAGCTGCCACTACTATTAAGGTTACAGTGGCGGGCTGCTCTGTGTCGTCCGCCAGACTGTGGTGAGGTAATGTAAATAGTGAGTAGCTTGTGCTTTTGCTCACACTGACATTTGCTAAGACAAGAAGCCTGGGAGTTTCTTTTTTTTCAGCAAAATGTGCAAAATGCGCAAAAGTATTAATATTAATAGTATTAATTTGGGCATCTGAGGGTTTCACAGATCACAAACTGCAGTTTTGAGAATCTCTGGTTAGTCTTGTCCCGGAAATTATTGCAATAAAGAATAACACTGTCATTTTGACACCATTTTCAATTGAAAATGGAATAATCATGCAGTTCTCCCTCTCAAATAAACTTTAACTATGTGAAGAACGCATAACACTGACACTGGAAGACAATTTTGAATATCCAATATGAAACACGACAACTAACAGCAAATAACTGGAAAATAAAAACTACACACAACCAAACCCATAAATACATTATAAAGTGAAAAAAAAGTATCACAAAATAATGTTAATAATCATCAAATCGGAAATGATGGAACTCATTTTAATTTATTATGCGACTAATTGCTTATTGTCTGACCTATAAGGTCATGCCTTTCTCAGGCGCCGTTTGGACAGGTCATCAGTTCAACACAAGAAAACAGGAACAAACAACCATAGATGTTCATCTTCAGCTTAACCTTTAGTTTTATTAAAATTTAATTGAATGAGAAACGACATGGATTTAGTTTAAGGGTTGCAAAACATCACTACCAGAGAGCTTCTGGTAAAATGTAGAGGATCAGATCAAATAGTGTTTTTTTTTTTAATATTCAAAAAGTTCTGTCTTCTCTTTGTTTTTGCTCTTATTCCTACTTGTATAACTTTTAATTAAAATAAAGTATCTTAACACAGAGAATGTAAACAAGGTCAAGAAGTTTGAGTTTCCTATATTTTATTTTTAGTTTTTGCTGATGCTCTGCTGGAAACCAAAAGCAGAGAGAAAAAATTGAATGAAAGTTTTACTGATATGCACCACATGGCAAAAACAATAGTGAGTCAGTATTAAAAAGAGCAATGGTGTCTCTTTATATGCAGAGTGTTCGAACGCTGCGGCAGGAAGTTGTTACTTGTTGACGGTTGCTGTCAATGCTACAGAGAAGACTAACATTTCAGCTTTTTTTGTTTCCTTCCCTCAGGGCCTCCCTACATCGTCTCGCCACCAGAAAACGTCACCGTAAACATATCACAGAACGCACTCTTCACCTGCCAAGCGGAGGCCTACCCTGGCAACCTGACCTACACCTGGTTTTGGGAAGAGGACAACGTCTACTTCAAGAAGTAAAGTTATGATCAAGTTTCCTTCTGTACTGTCGCTGCAGAAATCTGTCGTTTGTGGGGGGTGGGAGGCGACACTTTGACATTTAAATGACCAGCATGCCGACAACTTATTGCTCTCTGATGGCAGCATCACACTCTGTCACACAGCGATGATCTAAAGCATGACCCAAATGAGAGTTAGCGACAGTCATACAATCACATTCCAGTTTAAGCCAAATCAAGATCATAAATGCTCTTATAGGGCACATTGATAAAACATGTTCATAAACTGTTAAAATGTCAATAAGTTAAGTGTTATTGTTGAAAATCTTTTCAGTCCCTCCAGGATTTCATGATTCTTTTTGGACGAAATGTGGTAATAATTTTAGAAATGTTTGTGATAGTTCTGTTTTTTTATGATGGTGAATGTGACTTTCATCACTTGCTGAGGAGATCATGAAATATAATCTGACATCCATTTGTCAGGATTTGTTGATTTCTACAAAAATCCTCAAGAACCTGGAGGGACTGATAGGTATAATTTGCCAGTAAATGAATAAAAACTGCTTTGATTTGATTGATAACATAATATTTCAGCACACTTAGTGTTTAGTCTAGAATATAGAGGGCCACATAAAAAGCTAAGGTGAGCTAAATTTGGCCCACTAGCCTTGAGTTTGACACACGTGGATCCTTAAAGCTGCAGTATGTGGCTTTTAACATGAATGTTTATTACATAGTTGTTCACCGGGTCGTGACAGTTTTTTATGAGACAGATGAACTGTGAAGTCCCATCAGGCAGGTCTTCAGCAGTCACTCATCCTCATGTATCCGCTGCTAAATGTGCTAATGGTGGAGAAACAGCTTACCATTACAGGAAAACGGTTTATGTGCTCTCCTTTCTCTTCTTTATTCACAACATCTGCTGAGCAGCACCACACGACACTGTGATTGTCGAGCACTGAGACCTGACTCCTGCCTCTGATTGGTCGTTTTTAGATAGAACGGGGAAACAGCAGAGGACAAATTCTTCTCATGTAAAGTGTTGTTGTTCAATATCCACCAAGTGTGTTGGTTTTGAAACACTGAGTTATCAGCTCAGCTCAAGAATCTGCAGAAGTTGCACCACTGCTGTGTTTCAGCCAACTTAAAAAATAAAGTTTCACTCATTTGCCAACAAGCTGTTTTTGCCTTACTTAAACATTCAGAGATGCAATATATATTTCCCTGTTTTTATGTTCAGAGGCAGATTTAGCTAATCCTTAAAATTGCCTAAGAGCTTTTGCTAAACTATTATAAGCTGATAACTTTGATGCATTCAGTTTGCTTCAGTTTGCCCGTCTCTTCCTAGTTTTGAAGCTAGTCGAGATTTCTTCCCCACTTACCTCAGCTGCTGTAGCTCCCCTTTCACATATGAAAACTTTTTAATATCTGAAACACAACTGAGCCACCTCTTCTGGCCCTCCCTCGTGTTTAACCTCACTTTTTCTTTCTGTCGTCGTGACCAAGATGCAAAATGGTTTACAGATTCAATATATCCCGGCCTTAAAAGGCAGATGGTGCTGATCGAAAACACAGGCAGGTCAAGGCATTGCTTGTTTTAAGCTTTTAAACATTAATGTGATATGGTCAAGTTTTGCATTGTTGTGAGATTTATAGTTTTTGGACTGAAATTCAACATAAACTCAGCCTGAGTCTCTGTCTTTTGGTCTGCCAAAAGTACCTAGAAACCTTGGTGTCGTGATCGATGACCGGCTTAAGCGTCATGTTGCCTCCTTTGATTGTGACATAAGAAAAATGAGGCACTGCCCAACCCACCACACTATTCAGCTGCAGGTGAAGTGTTTAGTCTCCACCTGTGAAATCTCCGCCGACAGTCCAGAATGTGGTTCATTTAGCCTGAAAGAACACATCTGCAATACCTCCCGTCGCTGAACTGAGCTCCACCACGAAAAGGATCAATCGGATTAATCGACTTTTGGAATAATCGTTAACTAATTTAGTAATCGATTAATCATTAATTGGAGTATAAAGAGTCTAAAAGAGGCCATTTGCTGAAAGAACCACATATTCAGAGCAATCCTTACACCAAAACTGTACAGAAATGTATATATTGCATTTAATAAGAAAAACCTGTCTGGAAATATGTTCCAGTTTCTGTAAAAATAAAAAAGTATTGAAAACTAGAATCTCCTAAGCATCTCTATCTGTCCAAGTAGTGGTTGGTTAATCCAAAAAAATTGTCACATGTGTTGAAGTATTTTTTTCAGCTGCAGATGATTTGCTAATGATATCTAATTTTGGGTAATGAAGCACTTATTTTCTTATTTTAAAAAGTAATTTAATTATGTTTATTTGCATTTCTTAATGTACTTTTATTTAAAAAGACAAAATTGGTTGAATAATAAAAAAAAAATCTCCAGAACATGGCAATGTTTTTTTTATCCGATTTACTGTCAAAATAATCAACAGATGAATTGATTACTAAGATAATCGTAAGTTGCAGCCGTTTCACAAAGTCATGCCATCGACTTAAAAAATGACTCCCAATTTGTTAGCTTTGTTAGCATCAAGCCTGTACTGTCCTGAGAGAACATAACTATATCATCCTTTTAAGTAGCTTGTTATCTGCTCATTTAAAAGTCGCTTTATCTAAAAGTGCCAGATAAATACAAAAACATAAAAATACATAAAACATTTGACCACAGTTTCATATTTAAATCCCCTGAATAATGGCATATCTGTCAACTTCTGAGGTTAAAGTAGTAATCATTATTCTGGCTTTTGTCAAACAGGAAGTGGTTAGTCCGGTTTAATGTCAGAAAGTGAGGAAAGAAAGGTTTTGTCTTTGTATGGCGTTACTGTAACTATTTGCTTTCAAAGCAAATAGTTACAGTAGTTACAGCAAATAGTTAAAGAGAGAGAGGGGGGGAAAAAAAGAGTAGTGGATGCTGAACGGGCTTTGTACAAAGATGAACTCTTAAACACAAGTAATAACTTTCTAATAAAAAACAGTGCAAGCAAAAATAAACAATACCTGATAACTAAGCTATTACACATATAAGGCATGTATAGTAGGCGACAGACATCATGGAGCATGGGCGCGAGTGTCAGAGAGCAATTAATGGTGTGAAGCTGTTCCTGTGATTTACAGTTTGTTGCTTGTGATTATTTATAGATTCGTCTATAAGCCAACTTTTGACCCAATTATGAACCTTACATGAACATAATATTGAAAGTGTTCAGATGGATTGCTAGCTTTTTTTCTAAATATGAAATGGTGATTGTGACATGAGTGACTTTATTGGACCTGCAACTTATTGCCGCATTTCATACTGTTACTTAAACATTTAAGAATTTCTTCACAGCTATGAGGTTGTTGGTTTTTGTTAATCTTGTCCAGTTGATTCATTTGACATTGAACAACGTCATAAACAACATTATCAAAAAAGTTATTTGATAACTTTTAGCCAAAAGTTATCAAAAACAGGACGCACATTACCCAGATTCACACGCAATTGCTTTCAAGCATGTGTCTACAATGCTAATTTAAACAATTTTTTTTAATGGATTTGGCTTAAACCAATTTATTTTAGTGGGATAAACTTTAAGTTGGAGTCACAGCCAGTTTCATTGTGCGGAGAGCTCTTATTTTTTTTCTTTAAACAAGGGACAGAATATATCCGCCACACGAACAGCGTCTTTAAGAGCAAAACGCCATCGAGCAGGAAATTGTAAAGGCCGTTCCATGTGGCAGATTTATTTGAATCTCTGGCTTTGTACACTCTGTTCTCCGAGTATCGCCTCCCTTCTGGCTGCTGTTCGACTCTCTACTGCTCTCTTATGGCTCTTTAACGCAGCGTAGCACTCGGCCGGGGCCGGGTTTTGGGGGTGGAAACAGATGCATGCCGTTGTTTCAGAACATGTGTCGTCCTCTCGCAGCGACCTGAAGCTCCGAGTCCGCATCCTCATCGACGGCACCCTCATCATATTCCGGGTCAAGCCTGAGGATGCCGGGAAGTACACCTGCAGTCCGAGCAACAGCCTTGGGATCTCGCCGTCGGCTTCGGCGTACCTGACTGTTCAGTGTGAGTGTCACCGTGGCAACCAGTCGGAGGAGGGGGAGGGGCAGAGCGAGCTGATGGGAGCAGCAGCAGCAGCAGCAGCAGCAGCAGCAGCAGCATCGGCAGTATGGAGGTTGTAGTTTTTTGGCTGCTCCATGACTGAAACGAGGAGAATCCTTGTGAATTTGAAGGTCAGGAGTCAAATGGAGGCAGTGGAGTCGTTTTCATGCTCCTGATGGAATTACCCCTCACTCCTTACGTTGGCTCATTCTCAGACGCCTTTTTTTGTTGCCCCCCACTCCTCTCTCTTCATGCGTTTTATTTATTTATTTTTTTTTACTCTAGTCCCAGGATATGAAACCATGAAAATCCTCTCCATAAGCTGCCGCTGATGAGAAAATAACACCACAGCTATAGAAAAGACACCCAATCTTTAGGCTTTATGTTGCCGTTGAGCTAATTTACTCCCAAGTTGCTGCCGGTAATGGATTATTGTGTTACAGCATAAGAGGAGGGAGCCTGGAACCGCCAGCCTAACATGGAGCCAACATAAAGAGAGAGAGGGGGGGAAAAAAAGAGTAGTGGATGCTGAACGGGCTTTGTACAAAGATGATTGCTCGAGAATACTCCTTTGTTTTTCTTTTCAGCAGAGAACTGGACTCAAAAGACAAAATTAGGCACATGTTGTCAAACAAAAGACCTAAAAGTTGCAAATTCTGATAGACGTATCACGTGTTGTAAGAACAATAAAGAATAATAAACCTGAAGACATGAGATGTCAAAATGCCTTTGCTGCTCAGAACAAAATAAAGGCACATATCATTATTTTTCTAATCTTTCCTCCACATTGGGGTTTCGGCTTGCCATTTTTGAGAGTTGAATTCATTTCCATGCCTAAAATGAATTTATTTCACCTGAGAAATAAGTCAATAAGAGTTGGAGAAAAAGAGCCAGTTCAAGGCAGAACACAACTTAAAATTGATCAATTGATTTTGGAACGAGAAAAATAGGACACCTAACACACCGGCACTCTACGGAGTGATTTAAAATCCCTGTGTGGGAAGCCCAGGCTGCATGCCATTCACAATGTTGGCAACGTCTGCTTCTGACAAAAACTCGTCATGGCATATTCCTTCCAACATCTGTCACCAGAAAAAGTCTACTTCTTAACCAGTCTGTGTTTACCTGCAGCAACAATGAAACACATGTTGCCGGATTGGGAAATGTGTTTTTATGGACTAAACTACGGATGTGGTGGATGGAGGGAAATTAAACTAGTGATAATAAGTCAGACTTCAGTCACAGTTAAACTCTTTCTTCCTTATTTGGAAAATCAGAGTAACTACAATGTCGTCTTTCCTCAGATTTTCCTTCTTTCATCTGAATCACAAATCAAATTCAATTTAGGAAGGTTCAGTGTTTCTGAAAGAAAGAATGTTTTTTTTTTTTTACATAAACATAACTTTGCCAAGTTTCCTACACAGAAGATCTTTGTTCTGCTCGCTCCGTTCTTCTTGTACACCACAAAAACACACACACACACACCACACACACACACACACACACACACACACACACATATATATATATATATATATATATATATATATATATATATAAAATAAAGACAAAAATCTTCTTGTTTCAGCAGTTCACGGTTTTCGATCGTGCTTCATGAATGTGTTTTACACCGATAGTAGTCCTAAAATGTGCAACTAAGGTTGTTGTTCATGTCCAGACCCCGCTCGAGTGATCAACATGCCCCCAGTCATCTACGTCCCACGGAAACTGCCAGGAATCATCCGCTGCCCTGTGGACGCCAACCCACCTGTGACATCAGTGAAGTGGGAGAAAGATGGCTACCCACTCAGGGTGGAAAAGGTCGGTCACACCTGTCACAACTCATGACTGAGCTGTGATGCTTCAGCCTGATATTGCAGCTAAAACAAAGAATAGCTTCCAGTCCAACCAGGACTTTATTCGCTTTATTTTACCGGGAAGCTTTTTTTTTTTTTGCTGTCACCATAAATGCTCGTTGAGCTTTTGCTCTAATATTTATTCATGTAACATTGTTTTATTTTTCAGAAGTGAAGTGAATATCAAAAAGGGATATACCAATATGCTTATAATAATAATAATAATAATAATAATAATAATAATAATAATAAAAACACAATTTGGAACAAAATAAATAAGAATTGTTCTTCTTTTTCTTTGTTTGGCTGATGGAAGTGAAAACCTCCAACCACTTCTTACTTCGTTTAGGTGGCAACTCTATGGAAAAACAATTAATAATGAGAGAAAGAAATTAATCCTATATAGCTGAAAGACAAGCTTATTTATACTCATATAATATTTATTATTACTTACTCTGCCCAATTGACCAAATCATAGTATAAGACATTTTAAATTATGGTATATACACATATTTTTTTTTTTTTAACTAAATCTAAAATGTCTCCCAGTTTTAATGTAGAATGTGTTATTTCAATACAAGTTTATACTTGGAAAAAAAAATATCTGATTTTGTGCCAGATGTACCTGATTCTGAAAACAGCCCTTCGTTCTTCGTATTGCTCCTACACAAAACCCTTCCTGTCTTGAACAATTGGATATTTTTACGGAATTATGAACAGAAGTGGCCGGATTTAAAACAAACTCTTAGGTAATGTTTTAAAGTGTCTTCAGCCAGAAGCCGAGCTAAGAGTTTTCAGAAGGAGTCTAAATAACCAACAGATGTGCAAAATACGTTTTGCCTTAAAATGCCTCTCTGACTTTATTGGGATCATCTTCCACTCCGAAAAGCGCTGTGGTTAGTACGACATGTCAGCTCCTAGATAATAACTCAGAAAAAAGGTCCTGGTTTTAAGTTTCCGACTGAGTGATCCCAGGTAAGACCAACCTGGCTGAAAATAGGGCAAATTGAGGAACGTCTTCCCACTTACACACAACTCTTTCTGTGTTGTCTAATACTGTATGGCTCAGTTGAAGGTTGGTGTGCGTTATAGAAACACCAAATTCTCTTTTATTAGGTCTAAAATTCAATTTTAATCTTGAGGATCTTGTTTTGTTTTTTGCGCAGTTCAGAAACATTTAGATGGGCCTCTGAGAGTTCAGGAGCACCCAACGAAAACTCCCCTTGTCTTGTAGTACCCCGGCTGGAGCCTGATGCCAGATGGAAGTATCCGGGTGGCAGAGGCCACAGAAGACTCCCTGGGCACCTACACCTGTGTGCCTTACAACGCCCTGGGTACCATGGGCATGTCCCCCCCTGCCACTTTGGTGCTAAAGGTAGACCTCTGTTCAGATTTTACATGCACTGTCTTCTCTTCGGTTTCACACACAATTCTCACGTCTGAATTGTGTGTGTTTACCAAGGATCCCCCTTACTTTAACGTGAGACCTGGGGGGGAGTACCGTCAGGAGGCTGGGAGAGAGCTAGTAATCCCTTGTGCTGCTTCTGGAGACCCCGATATACCAACTATCACATGGAGAAAGGTGCTGCAGAATAATGCACATCCCCTAAGTAGTATCTTCTGGAAGCAAATCCGTTCTTACTTGTTTTTAATCTTTACCCAAAGTGTTTTATTTTCACCCCTTCCCGTGTGCTTCACTTGTTGTGTTTTTCCTGTCAATTAAAGGTGGGGAAGCCAAGCAGAAGTAAACACAACATCCTACCCAGTGGCAGCTTACAGTTTCTGTCTCTCAGCAAGGAGGACCATGGAGAATGGGAGTGTGTAGCCACCAATGTGGTCACAAGCATCACTGCCAGCACACGTATTCTAGTCATCGGTACTGATAAATCCTGATGAATGCTAACAAATATCTTTGCAGAAACTTTGAGTTGACAGCGCTCCTAGTTTGTTGTGTGATTTAAGCAATTTGCATGAGTTTAAACAGAGTGTAAAGGCGCATTATGCAGTAATGTAATAAAATTGGGTTTTAGAATGTGATAAAGCATCATTCAAAGCGCATTCTGTAATAACTGATGCAAAATTAGGTGAAATCCACGAATGCATTTTGAATCGTTTTGCCTTGAACACCATGCCGGTTAATACTGAGGGTCCTGGCTATGAGTCTGGAAAGGTAATTAAATGATTAAAAGTTTGGCATTCATTGACCAAAGTTTAAATTTCAAAAAGTATCGGAAGACAAACAGTTTCCGATTGTTTATTTTATAACAATAGTAGTATTCTAGAGCTACCTCCTTATTTTGTAACAATCAACACTAAATGTAAGGTTGTTACATAATGTGGATGAAAATACTTGAAGGATGTTATGACATTTGCCGTTGATTGTCACATATTGCGTTCTTAATGATGTTTTATTACATTTTGAGGTTTGATTTTTAATTTTTTTTATTGCATTATTACATAATCCTGCATTGCAGGGAGCCTCATACTTTTATTTCTCTGTGTGAGTCAGTATAGCTTATGGAGAGAGTGTTATATAAAGCTTTATACAACTAATTTCAAGTCTGAGCCTATGTTACTGACCCAGAATTGTCTTTTACATTTAATTTTCCCTTCTTATTATAGCCTTTCGCTGTGCTTTCACAAACAAGACTTCAATGTTTTTCATGTTGTCTTAACGTAGAGTAGCTTAAGAAAGATTGGCAACATATTAAACAAGAGCCAATGATCACTTAGCTAGCTGCCAGGCTATCAGGTCATGGGATATTTACTGAGCTGTATAATGCCTCTTAAATTGTCGTGTGTCTCGGATATATTTATTGTGACAGATTGATCTTATAATTTACTTGCTCAGTGAGGAGATATTTAGTATATTTTAACTGCTAGCTTAGTGACCTAAGCATAAGATGCCACTGCTGTCGTTGCTCAGTCGATGAAGCTGCTCGGTAGGTTTTGACCAAAAGTGGAAAACGTGGCCCCAGTCTGTTACTTTTTAGGTTTCAGAATTACTAAATCACAAAACTTAGTTTTTTTATTACGCAAGAGTGTAGTTGTCTGCATGGTAAAGAGGTGAGCGGGTCAGTACGCACGCTGTTTGTTTGCCTGGCCTCCTCTCCTCCCCTGCGCACCTATTATCCAGTGGCACAGCTGGCAGCGTGCCTGAATGTGACCAGCCGTCAGCTGACACGGGGTCACAGGGCGGCACTGACAGCTGTGCTCCTCAGGCCACATTCAGGTCTCGCCTTAATCTCGGTAGAAGTAGCTGGCTTTGGGCCACGCTGCACAGCTGTTATGTGGGCGGGATGAACTTGACCTATGGCTGGTAGCAATCTCGAACTGCATCACATCATCCAATCTGTTCCTGTAATAATAATAGTAAAAAAAATAATCAACTGAAGCATTTATATTGACTCTTTCTCCATAAAAGCCCGGTGCTCTTATCATATTAGCATTGTATATGTTCTTAAAGTGCAATATTTTAAAAGATTCTCACTTTGTCTCTGTTTTGCGGGGTCAAAAAAAAAAACAACCACTAAGGTACCAGCCCACACGCTCCAGGCAATATCCATGTGTTGCCCTCTACAACCTCTGCTAATGTGTCCTGGGAACCAGGCTATGACGGTGGCTTCGAGCAGACGTTCTCTGTGTGGTACGGTCCAGTGTGAGTGCTCTTACTTTTACTTCTAATCGATGTTGCAACAGAAAACGAAACATGTTGGAAGGTTGGCAGCAATCTGACAGAACGTTGACGCCTTTCTGCACTGACAGTGATGATAAAGAAGAGCTAACACTCAGCTGTTCACCCCGAATATTTAGATACATGGGTTCTAAGTTTGGTTTACAGGTCGTGAGCAACTGGGCGTCGACGTTCATTTGTGCAAGATATTCATTTTTCTGAATAACTCAAACTGGAACAACACATACCACATCGACTGTGTTTATAGTACTTTTATGACTGTGTTTCTGTTCTCAGGTCTAAGAGAACAGACTTTGGTCCTCATGACTGGCATTCGATGCCAGTTTCTGGTGCTCAGACCTGGTTGGTGGTGCCAGGGTTGGAGCCTGGGACAGAGTACCAGTTCAGTGTGCTGGCTCAAAACAAACTGGGCACGGGCCCATTCAGCGAAGTGGTGACAGTCACCACCGCAGGTAGGCTCTCTTAAATAAAGGTCGTTTGATTGCCAAGCCTAAAGTAGACGTCGTCAGTGACATTTTTAGACCATAACTGAACTCAGCAGCATGCCTACTGCCCTGTCTGGAGGATTCAGGGAAAGAAAAACAAACGTATGTTGTATTTTTAGTTTGAAAGCACAATTATCAATCTTAATTTTCAGTTTGAATCTCAAGCATGAAAGTCTGTTTCAATACTTTCAGTGGCTTATGATGAGCCAAGTCAGGATGTTCTTACTTTATGTTACTGTGTTTGCAGTAACACAGGATGACCTGAGGGAAACATTTGGAGGCTGCACTTTAACTATAATAGATTTATTTTACTTTTTAAAAATGTTACAGACATAAAACCAATTTTGCAAAAGTGGCATAATTTTCATTGCTGGGGTGAAAATTGCTGCAGCTCAAGGTTATAGTTATTGTATCTATTGATTGTTCTAATGATTGTTCTAATGATTGATCAAGTTATGGGAGAGGAAAAAACAACTGACCATATGTGCAGCTGTTTTATTTAACCACTTGAACTTATTTTATGCAATATTTGAGATAAGCTAAATTGCAAACAGACAGTTCAGTTCCTTTTTTGGGTAAGAAAATAAAAACTGTATTTCCTAAAAGACAATAAACATAGCTTAGTGTGCACTTGTTCATTTGTAGCAAAAGATGCATCTGCAGCTAAGATAATAATTCTATCATCAACATGTGAAAAGCTCATAACCTTTCTTATTAATTTAACATCAATGCAATGTAGCACTGTTTTGTTATTATTACTATTTTTTTATCAAGCAATTAGTAATTGATTTCTGAAGTTAAAAATAGACAACTTGAGGATTTCAGGGTTGAAAATATTTAACAAAGAAGGCTTTTTAAAATGCTTAACATATATATTTTTGCAACATTTTGACCTAATATCTGCTCTGAGTTTATTGTTCTTTTAGCACATTGCATGTTTTAGAGTCCATAGACAATTATTTGATCACTAAGTCAGTTTCAGAAATCAATCACAATTAATCTAATGGTTTCAGCCATAGATGGGATATTTTAAAGTTTTTTACATAGTTTAGCTAAAGCCGAGACACTATAGTCTCGGCTTTAGCTAAACTAAAGCCGTGCAGGCTCTCAAAAGCAGCTCTTGCTTGTCAAAGCATGAACTCCTAAAGGGCTCCGAAGGCGTTGCTGCAATGTTAAATCCTATGCAACAAGAGGTGTGGTCATCGTGAACAGGATTTGTTTTATTACCTCGTCCCACAGATTATGTTCAGAAATGAGACATAGTGGATTTGAGAGCCAAATTACATCACACTGCCTGACAACAATTGTGTCGTTGCAGGGTGCAGGGCATACTGCCGAACAAAATACAGCTGAAATTGTGCAACTGTGTAGGCGTGCAGTTGTCTGCAGAAGAGCTTAGAGAGAGGCCGAAGTATTGTTGTTGTAAATGCAATTTTTTTTTATGAGTACTGTGTTCACAGGGATGTGTTGCACTTACATGTCTGTCGTGTCTGGCTTGGAAAGTTGCTTTCTGTTTACCTCTTTAAACAATTTCATACACACCTTTTGTCACATTTTTTTTTTCAGATTCTGAAAAACAAACTTCAGTATATTTAATTATTACCTTTTGCCACAGACCAACACAATGTAACTCACATTTGTGAAGCGGAGGCTAAATGATGAGCTCTTCTGCTCTGATTACCCTAAATAAAATTGAGTTTAACCAATTGTCTTTAGAATTCATCCACTAACTAAAAATAAGTGAATTTGCCTTTAATCTGAATATAAATCCAAATGTTTTGTAAAGGCTTCATAAGTTTGTTACAGAACATTATTGAGCAAACAGCATCAGGCTGAAACTGCAGACAGTTGCAGTGGTTTTGCCTAACAAATCATCTGTAAGAGTGTTGCAATGTAAACCTCACTAGAAATGGCTGAACACCTTTTTTTTCCAAAAATGTTTTTAGAAAAATTGAAAGAAAAAAGAATGGTTTTTTTCTTTCTTTTTTTTGCAGGTGAAGACCTGTGAACTAGATGTTACTGTGAACAAACAATTTAACTCCTCACAGCAGGAACGGAACAGGATTAACTAATTACATTAAAAATGTCAGGGTCCCGTTTACGTGTACGGAAACACCGAACGCCCGGGCCGTAAATAATCTCATTAGTTCCACCTGTTTGACAAGTCACCACGTAGGAGAAAGGAAAACTCTTCAGGAACAGCGGCGTGTTGGTGAAGTCGGCTGAAAATCGCTGTGATTAAAAATAAATAAATCAGCGCAACCACTGAATTGACTGTATGCCTTTTTTTGCTGCATGTGTTAAATACATCCAGATGTGCAGCTTGTGAATTGATTTTCCAAGGAAGAAAAAAAACAAGAAAATAATCTACGCATCATTTTGTGAAACAAAAAACTACTATGGACAATATTTTGTCCTCAAACAAACACGTGTTGCAGAAAACTTGAAAAGCAGTACAAGATAAGGTGCTTTTTCATCAGTTGTTGGGTAATACTTCGACACTGACAGAACTGCTCCGTTTTATGTAAATGTACATCTCGTTGCATGTTGCTTGCTATGAAAGCTTGTCTTCAATTAACAATTGCTAAATGAGGCTTACAAAGCACTGACCTAATTCTCACACTCGGATGATGTCCTCTTGATGCCTGACAATGAATGTTAATTGGAGTGGATTATCCAATAACCTGCATTTTTTTGTTATTTCTGGAACTTTAAATTTATATTTTTATATATTATATCACAAGGCAGCTATCATACAATTATGATCATTTTTTTCCTGGAGAACCTTATTTGCTGGGAATGCACCTTTTCAGACATCGTGAGTAGAGGTGTGTCATCTACAGGTTTCTATCTCTGTATTTGATTACATCTATAATCTGCTGAATTTTGTCCTATTTCAATTTACTTTTAGGTACAAATTTTCAATAGTTCTTCTAACTTTCTTTTTAAATGCCTTATAGATGACAGAAGATAAACTTTAATTCTTTTTCTTTCAACAAACACAAGGTCAAAAGGTGGGTTGTTTACGACATGAATTAACCTCTTAAATGCATTCCCAAAAAGAGCAAAAAGACTTCTGAGTGCCGTATACTAGAACATTTAAAACTTTGTTTCTCCAATCGCCTTCCAAGCAATCGGTGTCCATTAGTTTGGAGTCTTTTATTAAATATTAAGGGTGTGATTGACCTGAGTTGCTTTTCACTTGTTTTTAAGACCACCATGTCAGTTTTTCCCTTCCTGAACTGCTATTGTGGCCCACAGGCTCTCCTCTGGGTACAGCTGAACCTCTGGTGCTTCTTACTCCACCACGGTGCCTCACAGCCAACCGCACGCAGCACGGTGTCCTCCTCACATGGCTCCCTCCAGCCAACCACTCGTCCCCCATCGACCGATATATCATGGAGTTCCGCCTTGGGGAGAGGTGGGAAGTTCTCGATGACTTGATTCCATCCACCGAGACCGAGCTGGTAGCGAGAGACCTCGTTCAGGTGAGGCAGACGATGAAAACAGTGCTGCATTTGTCTGTTCCTGCCACCCAGATGAGACATACACGAATGTATCTTTGTTTTCATGGCTCCAACAGGAGTCCTGGTACGAGTTCCGAGTGATGGCGGTCATGGACGACCTGATCAGCGAGAGCAGCAATGTAGTGGGAGTGTCTAGCACAGGTCAGGGGTCTTTATGAAGAGGTGCTTTGCCAATCGTTGTCAATCGTTTTTTGACCTTTCTGCGCTTCTGACGTCTTTCTGTCTCGTTGGCGGACTCAGCAGACCCCTTCCCTGCTGCAGAGTTGCCTGAGGAGGGGCTGGCACGGCCTGTGGTGGCAGGCGTCGTGGCGACCATCTGTTTTCTGGCAGCGGCGGTGCTGTTCAGCACTCTAGCAGCCTGCTTTGTCAATAAACAACACCGTCGAAAACTCAAGCGTAAACCAGGTTGGTCTCTCTTCACTAAGTCAACATGCATTTGCCCTCATGATGTCTCCTCCAAACTCTTAGAGAGAGAAAAAGAGAGAGAGAGAGAGAAAGAACATGAACAACCCATCAGATTGTCAGTTCCCAAAACCACACACTAAATAAACTCGTAAAAGCGCATGAGGGGTCACTGAGAATCCACCTGTCTGCGCACAGGGTGAAAAGCTTGTGGCATCCAAATGACCTCGACTCTCAAGACCGTGGGAGGGTTAATCATTTTTAAATATTGCTTTCTAGAATTTAACCGGTTGAATTTCTCAAGTGTAAGGAAATGAAGTACCTTCGACACACTGTATTGAGGTGGATTATAAAGCTGACTTTTGTGTTTTAATTTTGAACATTACAACAGTGTAAGGTGGTATATCAGCCCAATACAGCTCTGGAAAAAAATAAGAGGCTACTGCACTCAACCATATTGAAACCCTCCAGGTTATTCCACAAAACATTGATTTCTGAACTCTTCCTAATGTTTCTAAATGAATATAAACGTGTTTTCTTTGCATTATTTGACGTCTGAACGCTCTGCATCTTATTTGTTATTATTTTCACCATTTCTCATTTTCTGCAAATAAACACAAAAGTTTTGCTTGAAACTTCAGAGACATGTTGTCAGTAGTTCATAGAATAAAATAATGTTCATTTTACTCATACATATACCCATAAAAGGTAAAATCAGAATAACTGATCATTTTAAGTGTGCTCTTAATTTTTTCCAGAGCTGTATATTTGAGTAAATTCCAGGCAACTGCTGATTATTTAAAGAAACATTTTAACTTTTTGAATGCACACGTTCCCCACTTATCTTTATTTTCAGCATAGAATGTTATTTTCCCTTTCTATCCAAGTAATTTGTGCTGCCAAGCCAATGCTGAACTTAAACCCATTTGTCCTCGCAGATCCTCCCTTGTCAGTGACGCACTTCAGGAAAAGCATTGAGTCGCCGTAAGTAAAGGCATCTCAAACCCCCCCGGCCCCAGCCTCTGCATTGCCGAGGTGGCAACAACTGTTTGTCTTCTCTTACACCCAGTTGTCTCACCATGCATGCACAAGACATACAGCTGAAAGTCACTTCAATATCGATTCTGATTACGACACGGTGTAAATTGAGCATGAGGCCCATGATGACGCAAAGCTTTCTTTTAATGGTGCGGAACAACATTTACAGAGTCAATCCCCAACAGAATCATGGGCAAATTAAATCGAAGCAGCAAAGTTAGCATTTTAAGCACAAGCTGCTGTATGTGTTTTGACTTCTACCTCATCTGTGTCGTTTAACCTCGAACCGCTGTCTGCTTTTTTGTTTGTTTGTGCATGATTGTTGTGTTTAATGGTCTCGTTTCTTGTACAGAATCGGCTCCCTGTGTGTATTTGTCAGTTTGTAAATCTTGTGCGCATGTATGACTGCATTTCAATCTCAAAACAAGGTCCTTTCTGAAAAATAATCTGTTTTCCAAAGTGTTTATTACCTTTTACATAGATCAAAAAAAGAGAGAAATGATCAGTTTCGCTTCCCTTTCCTTAAAGTATCTTATGAAAAGGTGAAGGCAGGTCTGGCAGTTTGCACCTAGTCCTTCTTGCAAATAGCACAGTTAGAAATGAACCAGGCCCATGTTGTTTGTCTCCCATCGCAGGCCTCCTCTCACCCCCTTGCCAGGGGTAGAGCCCTGCTGGGACGAGCCAGCCAGGAGCAGTTTCTTGCCCCCACCGGCCAGCCCCCTGTGAGTGCCTGCCTGCACAAAAATACAGAGTGTGCTGCCCTGCTCTGGCTTGGCTGCATGGTTACAGCATTGCATAGAAACGTATCATTTGACGGTGATTTCTTTTAGTTGTAGTAGAGCATTTTTACTGGCATATTTGCATGTACAGCCCTTACATCATGCAGGGAGGGACTTGCATTAGCCACGTTGCACGAACAATACAGAACTGTGGGTATGGACTCATAATTTTTAAATAGATTTCAAGATTAAATAGATCTCCAAGATTTCTATCCTTATCAGAATTTCAAAGAATTTAGATGGAGCTCTGTTTTTAAAAAATGAAACGAACCACGTCAAAACCATTTCATTGACTACTTTGGTTTTTGTTTTTTCCCCCCATCGTTGTCTTTTTAAACGGTTCAGTGCTTCACAAGCAATCTGTTGCCCAAGGTTTTCTGTTCAAATCTTCAAAATCCACAAATCACAGTAGTCAGATTTCCGGACTGAAGAAAGAGTGATTGATTTGGAGTTGACCATTACCATTGATATTCTCAGATATACTTTAAACATAGACACATTTGCCAAAGCTAGTCCTGATGTTGATTGCCCAGTTCACAAAAAAATGTTTGAGTGGAAGAAAAGTATGAATTCTTGTGCACATGGCCATACAAGACAACAAACATTAAGGTCGTTAAAAGAATAACTTAGATCTTTGCACAAGCACTGCCAAATCTTTTTCCCAACTGAAAGGGAGTCACCTCTGGTGTATGTGTGTTAAAGTAAATATAACTTTCATTGCAATATAATAATCTTACTCTGAAAAACTTAAGTATTTTATTCATGTACAGTAAATCAGTGGGGAAACATCTTTATTACACAAGTATTGGTGCCACCTTTATGTACACCTATACCTCTTATAAAGTAGTTGTAACTGAACTATTGAACATTGTCATCTTTATTGACAAAGATGACAATTAACTTAAAAGATGTGATGAGAACTATGACAGATGTACACTTCCTGTATGTTTCCAACCCTAGCAATTTAATCTTTTTAAATTTCAAAGGCCCTGGGAACCTTGTTACGTTACGTGGCATTACATAGTATTTGAAACGGTATAAAAAATAAAATATAAACAAAAATCTAGTTGCCTCTTCTAGATAACTTTAAAAGGTTAGAAAAGGTTCAATGAACACAAAATCAGCATTCTTCTGCAGGTTTGTACAAACTATTAAAAAAGCAATCCCAACAAGTGTGGCACCAGTTTAGTAAGAACGTATTTCTTAATTTTCTTATAAAAAGCGCATTTTCGAAGGTTGAAATTTTCTTCTTTTTTTCTGTGTAAGATTAGGCAATTTGAATCTAAAAGGACAATGAATCTCACATTTTTCACAGAAAGTGAAATTAGTGTTGAGGACACAGTAGGTATTGATGAGCTTGTGCAATAAATGTTGTGTAGGCCTTGTCTAATGTGGGCAATAAAGGCGTGGTCAGACATCATTCGCCTCTGTCTCGTCACCAAGAAGATGTTGATTCAATGGATCTGTGGTACGGCTGCCATGGTTGCATTACTGTTTCTCCTCTCATCCCACCATAGTGGCTCTATCAGGACGCTGCCACCGTCATAAACTGGTCATTATCGTAATGTAGTTCATTATGGCTGCCTTGATGAAGTGCTTCAGCTTTGTTTTGTCTCATCCCTTTCAGAAAGCGCAATCATGCGGACTAATTTGCAGCATCAAATACCCCTTTCAACCCCAGTCCCCTCTGAGCTTTAGCAACGTGTTAAACAAAGCCAACACCTTCAGTCTGCGTTTCTCATTCTTTCAGGTTATCGTCGGGAAAGATAAGTCCAGAAAGCTCCCCTCTGTCCCGGCCCCGCTCGCTATCGTCCGAGGGTTCCCACGGCCCGGGCCTGTACGTCAGGAAGCTGCCCAGCCCTCAGAGAGAAAAGGACAAAGAGCTCTCCTTCTACAAGAAAACCAAGCGTGCCATAGCCAGCAAGAAATACAGCGTGTCCAAACACGAGGCGGAGGTCACCACGCCTATAGAGCTGATAAGCCGAGGCCCTGACGGCCGCTTTGTCATGGAAACCAGCCCGCCTCACCGCCGAATCCAAGGCTTCCCCTTTGCAGAGGAGTCCGACATGTACCCGGAGTTCCGGCAGTCGGATGAGGAGAATGATTTTGACCCCGGGCCTTTGCCGCCTATCATGCCCACGCTGAGGCCCCAGCTGTCCCCAACGTCCTCCAGCCTGGAGTCAACGCAACCCCCCACCTACAGCCCCCGCCTGCACAGGCCCATGGAAGGTATGAGCTTTGCAGAGGGCAGTGCACCTTATGCCTCGGGGCAGGCCCCGGCCTCCCGCTACAGGGGCTTCCCCCAGGGCCCTTTCTATGGGTATCTAGGCAGCCGTGCTGAATCAGGGATTCCACCACCATTCTACATGCCTGACATCAGCCCGCGTAGCTCCGCTCTGTCCTCACCCCCTGGCACGGCTGAGGGGCCCTTCGGTTACCCCTCCATCCCGGAAGAGAGTGAAGGATTGGAACACCATCAGTATACTGCCTCCGGCCATTCTCTGTCGCACACTCACAGCCCTCCTCCCCGCTCACCTGAAAGCTGGCAGGCTCACGAGTTACCCTTCCTGGGCCTAGAGGGCCCGCGGTTCATATACCCACCTCACCATCCCTTACATCACCCCCAGGATCTCCCCGACCCACCCCCATACCCTCCTCATACTCTCCCCCCCAGCCGCCTGCACCTTCCATCCCTGAAGGATCCGACGAGCCCTGGACTTCTGCAGCTGGAGGTCCCTCTGGGTCCACCAGGCAGAGACAGGCCCCCAGGGCCTCCAGTTAGGCGTTTAGCTATGCAACAGGCCCAGAGTCTCGGCCAGCTCAGACACACGGCCCACGGTGTGGGTGTACCAGTGTTGCCTTACCCTGACCCGGCAGCCCGCGCAGGGAGCCCAAGCACAGCCCCCAGTAGTAGCCCTCAGTCCTGGCTCAGCCCAAGGGCAGGGCGCCGGGCAGACCCCACCCTACCCCCGCTAGTGCTCCAACCCTCCCGTCTGTCTCCGCTCTCCCAGAGCCCTCTTAGTACCCAGCCAGGTTCCCCAGATATCCTAGTGAGGCCCCCCCCGCGCCCCAGCATCCTCCGCACCTCTCGGTCTCTGGAGATGCCCGAGATCACCCTGCAGCCCTCTGCCACCGTTAGCTTCTCGCGGAGGTCTTCCCTGACTGCTTCGCCCACTCAGAGCCAGGGCGCCAAGCAGCCCAGCCCCGGTTACCCCATGTCCTATGCCTCCACTGCTGCCAGTTACCCCTCCCAGTCCCCCTCCCCCCCTCCAGAGAGCAGGGATGTTTTTGGGCAGAGGCCATCCCAGAGACGGACAGAGGAGGAGATGTTACCCTCAGAGCCCTCCCAGCTCCAGATCTCAGCCTCAGGGTAGGTGATCCATTCCTGTAGAGAATAGTTCCATGTTGATTTCTTTTTTTAAAAAAGGGAAATTTTTCTCCTCGTCTATTCGCCTTTTTTCTTTTATCTTTTTCCAAATATCCTTTGTATTTATCCGCACTTTGCCTTGTGGTGTTTCCATTTAGGAATAATAAAGATGCATATTTACTTTAATATGCAGAAGGCATGTAATTGCATTTAGCACACACTGACAGTTTATAAAAACAACTACTCTCTAAGTTGGAAACTTTCACATGTGAAAACCCAGTTTGACTTGTGGGTAATACTTTTTCCCTCATCATTGCTAATCCAAATGAGACTTTAAATAGTGTTTAAAATGTTTTTTTGTTTGTTTTTTTTTTTTTAAGTTTTGATGAAACACTAAACTACTGACACACAAAAAATGAACTATTTATAATTAAGGGTACTACAGCTCAATGGCTTCAATAATTAGTGACAGCTCGGATTTTAAACAGACAAATTAGGGACTTTAATGTTTTTTTTTCACTAATCACTGCTTTGTACTAATTTCTAGTCCTAAAAATTTTTTTTATTGATTGTTAAATAATAGTCAAATTATTCTGATTTGAGGTATATTTTTCTTCCTTCTGCAGAAAAATTCTTTATTTTAATGAAATGTTTTCAACAGACTTAGCAGTGACTTTGAGTTATTTTTTCTTGATTTGGGATTACTTTTAGTCTTCTCAATCTTTAGCAAGTCCAGACGTTGTTGTTTTTGTTAATGCCTCTACAGGAAATCATATTTATACAGCCAATTTGTCTCCAGTAGTTTTTATTTTATCTATTTTTTTTCTTAAACCAGAGTATTTTTATACACTTCATGAAAATACATAGTAAATCTATTTTAATACATAGATTCATCAGACAGACCGTAATATGTCTGAGACCTACCTATATTTTTGCAGTTTGGTATGAATATTGAACTCAAATAGCTTTACCACCAAATAAAATGAAAATAAATAATACTTTGATTAGAGAAGAGCACCACCAGGCCACAATCTAGTCCATTTTCTTCTTAACTCAGTTACAATGTTCTTTCATGTTCATGTGTGGCTCAACACAAATAATGCAACAGTGTCAGTCCAAATTCTGGTGGCTCTTTCAATGCCTTGAAGCTTGTGGCTTACAGATAGTGCACACCTTTTCTACCACACTTTTTCCTTCCACTCAACTTTTCCAACATGAATACAGCACACTGTTAGCAGCTCCTTCTTTAGGAATTACCTTCTGTAAAACAAACAAACAAAAAAAAGACAAAAGAAAGAAAGAAAAATTACCTTTCGTACCTCATCATCTTTGTGGATGGTGTGTGTCGGTAAATGCAGCATTTTCCCTTATTTCCAAGAACGGAAAAATTTCTGTAAAAACAAAATGGTCTTTTAATTTCCCTTGTGCAATATTCCAATTTTAGGAGAAAATAAAAATTGGTTTTGATTATCTGTAATCCTTTATCATTAAAACGTGCAAGTAAAACATCAGTTTCAATTCTGACATTGAAATGCAACTAGGCAGCCACTGTATAGCTTGAAAAATGAAGCACTTTATGCAACAACCTAATTAACTGGCTTCTGTCTCACTTCAGGTTTTGCTAGTTTTATATCTTGTCCCGATTGTAGCAGCAGTATTCTTCTTCTAAAGAAGCATCTGGATGACCAAATTGTTTTCTTTTTCTAGAACGATTATTTTACACCTCTCATGTGAGCATTCAAATGGGCTGAAGCAGAAAATCTGAGCTCAAAGAATAACCTGCTGTCATCAAGTGAAGTTACACTGAGATGGCAATAATGAGTGGTTTAAACTTAAGAGCTAATAAGATCAACTTTTCCTGCAGAAGGAAGAATAAAAGTCACAGTTATTTAGTCAAAAAAATTCACTTCATGCACAATGAATTTAACTTCAAGAATGGAGAAATCTATGTACAAAGTTTATATTTGTAAGTTCCACTAATATTATTATCGCGAGTCAAGACAACACGTTTGAGCGTGCAGTTGTTTAACAGAAGTACTGCAACACATTTTGTTCCATTCATGCATACATTTAGATAGGATAGATTAACCCCTTTAAATGCCTTGCAAAAAAAAAAGTATTTTGGATATTTTTCACATCTTACAGCCACAAACAACAGTGAATCTTATTGGGATGTTGTGTAAGAGATTGGGAGAAAGATGAACGCAGATATTTGTGGAGTAAGAAGATAACGACGCGTGATTTTTAACATTTTCCACCACAGCACAATGCTGCCACCGCATTGTTCCACCATATGTTCAGTCGTTTTTGTTTTCTGACCTGAATGTAGAGAAGAAATATTTTGATCTATTTTTATCTATTTATATTTTTAATATTTTATCTGATCTGATTAAAGCACGTTATTGCATCACTATTTATTTATTTTTTGTTAGACAACAGTAGCTGTCTTCTTGCCTCTGTATTTTAACGGTCAGATTTTTGTAGCGGCCGTCTTGTAGTTGTCCAATTAATAGATTTTCCCCACCTGAGTTGTAGGTGTCTGCAGTTCCTCCAGAGTTAACACAGGCCTATTGGCTACTTCTTAGCTCTTAGATGTTTGTTTTAATCTTTTTTTATCTGTTTATTTTCATCCATTGTAATTTGGGGTTTTTTCAGCCTGTTGTGATTTCAAGACACTAAGGGCTTAATAAATAAATTCTGTCATCATTATGAGTTGGGAGTGGGGGACAAATACAGTTGCAGTTTGCCTTGCCTATTCCTGTTTTAGACAATGTGTAAGAATTTGTGAAACACGGCAGTGGCAGCATCATGCTGTGTGGAAGAGGCGGTTGCCATAACCACTAATCAACCAGATAACATCCATTAAAGTTTGTGACAAAATGTGGAACATTAATCCAAAACCTGCAAGGAAAGACTTAGATTATGAAAGAAAAACCCAGAATTTTTAGGTTCCAGTTTCTTTTCACACCTTGAGCCCCCTCACACGCACCTCACCAACTTAGACGCTACGCGGCCAGAGCGGAGCTAAAGCAGCGGGGCAGAATCACTGCTCCCTCACTATCACTGGCCGCCGAGGGAGGGTAGCTTGTAGGGCTGCTGCTTTTGTAGAGGGTAAGGGTCTTACCTGATTTGTTTTTGATTGATCTCAGCTATCTGGGCAGCGTTGTTGTGACCCGGTCCCCTACGCCGCAATAGGTAAGGGTCGGACCCATGTCTGAGCGGGGAGGGGTCAGCAGGGGGAGGGCTCTAATCACTCTCTCCTTTAAAGGGGAATCGCTTTGGGTTGTGCCTCTGTGCTGGATTCAAGTGAAGAACAACTAATGGTAAAAACGCTGACTCTGCAGGACACATTTGGTCTGTCGGCCTGCCGCGGCGCAGACTGTCGTAGCTGAGCTTGAAGAGTCGCTGCGAACCGAGCAAAGCATTTGGTCGCTCCTGGTTCGGATGCATAAATCAATCCCTGCAGTGAAACAAAAAGGGAGTAAACAAACAAATAAAAGGCTTGAATCAATAGAGGATGCACTTGAAAGACAGACTGGAGAAATTCCCCTTTAAAGTTTTGTTCCATGTGCAAAATGCCATGCATGCATTCTCTAAACTTCTCTTTTTCGACCAAACAAAATAACAACGATTCTCCAACTAAATTCTCTGTTACATCTGTTGTCCTCAGTGCTTTCGTTCTCTCTGTCATGTGACTCGCTCTTTAACGACCATTTCCTCTTCCTGCCATCTCCTCCCGTCAGCATGGTGAAAGCCTCTGTACGCAGTGTTCATGTTTATGAAAGTGTGCTGTATTAGTGTTTTCTTTGTTTCTTTCTTTATTTTTTAATGAAAATGTACTACATTGTTTTTAACACACCGTGGCCTCCGCAAACAGTCGATCTGATTATGAAAGTTACCTTTTTTTTTCTGTTTTTTTTTTTTTTATATACGGGACTGTTTTGTCAGATTTGTCTCCCCTCCCTTTTCTCCCCCCCTCTCTGCTAATGCCTCTCAATCTTTCTCTCCACAGTGGCAAATGATGGACAGCGTCTCTAAAGCTTTGTGTTCTTTTTCCCTTTCTGACACGTTTGTTTCTTGGCAAAAAAAAAGAAAGAAAAGAAAAGGCTTGGCATAATTGTAGCGTTATGTCAAGTTTTTGAAAATTGTTTGCATCCAGACATGTAAAAATAAAAAAACGTGTGAGGTTATGTAGCTCTATATGTGTGTGTTTTAATGACATATAGCTGTACAGAGAAAGTGAAGATACTTGAAATTGGTATGATTCTTTTCTGTGCTTATTTGAAGCAATTATTCTTCATTCGACTTGGCATGTATCCCTCATGAAATGAAAATAGTTGCTTCTCATTTTATTTTCAATTTCTATCAGAAAACACACAAAGAAATGACCTACTTCAAGGGGTTGGCAGTCTCGTCTGAAAGCGTCAAAGTGTAAAGCGTTTTGTTAATAATTTGTGGGCTACTTTATTATCGAAGTGTTTCAGGTTTATTATTTGCTATGCGACTCTCACTCAGTTACTCATTTGCAAAACTAGAACAAAATCTGCCACCAAGTACAAAGTAACTTTCATATTTCTACTTGTCAGGGCTAGAGGGACTTTTGCGAAATTATACCCAATTATATATTCACATATTGCCAGTTTCTCCCTTTCTCATTCCATTTTAACAACCCTATATAATACATTCCCAAAAATATTTTGGCAATGTATTATTGTACTTAATCCGTAGGGTTCATATTGTAGATAAAACTGCTCAATTCTTCTAGGTGTTTTTTTTTTTTTTCATTAAAATTAGGAGAGTGTTTATAGGAACTTGAGAGCTTTCTTGAAGAATGTCATTAGTGAGGTCAGACACTGATGTTGGACGTGGGACGCCATCGAAATCCAATCAGCGAAGCGTTCTATTCGCTGTTCTGAAACCAATCTTAAGGTCACGTGAAATTCAGAATGATCCAACCATTGGGATCAATGGTTGGACATCCATTGATCCCACTTTGTGATTTCACACAATAACAGCTGTTTCCAGTTTGCCATGGCAACACCAACAGCTGACCGCGGGGTATTTAGTAGGGAGGAAATTTCACAGCTGGACTTGTTTTACGCTGGAATTCGCTGACCTACTGACCGAACCCATTCTTTCACAAAGGCTTTTAGATAGAAAGTTGACCATTAAAAATAGGTTAATTGTTGCGCATCAGTTCCTCTTTCTTTTTAGTTAAGTGTTGTAGTACACTGAAGAGATAAATAGCCACAAACTGCTCAAATCTGATGAGATTCGTTGTGTATTTCTGGAAAACCTTGCAATACACAAGCTCTGGGTCAGTTCTCACTTCAATCCAGTTCAGATGACAAAAAGAAGAAAAAAAGAACCAATTCACTTCAGCACACATCAGACTGATCTTTAAAGTCCTTATTATAGACAAAATGATACCTATTTTGAAGCATTCGACACAATATTTAAAGAATCTTGCTTCCAGCTTACTGGGTTGGAGAAGTCTTACATTTCTTGCACGATGATGTCCAGGAGAGCCTCACTATGATGACCGTCTGCACATGGGAAAAAGCCTGCCAACCCCCCCCCAACCTGCAGTGTGTCAAATATTGTGGTTGTGAAAAATTGAAAGAGAAATTGTAATGTTTTTAATTCCAAAAATTATTTTCATTTTATGAGTTTATACAGCAAAACAACAACAACAACAAAAATCAATGTTACCCATATTTCTGAAGCAGTCGCTACTTAAAGATCCAAAATAACTTAAATGCTACAATCTTTACTGATTTGGCACTAAAATAATGATAGTAATAAAACAAGATTTAAAAGTGTAATTGTGATCCCTAAAATTGGAGTCAAAATAAGAATTTAGGACAAGTTCAAGTCCAAACATGTGACCTGAACTCCTTGGGTTGGATCTTTAACTCCATCTCCACCTCCTGTCAACAGTCTCTTCTCTCACTTTGTCTCCTCCATTTTCTCCTCTCTCCTGTCTAACTTTTACCATCCATCAAAGCAGATAGAGACGGGAAATTCATCATCTTAGTGAAACAGCTCTCAGTAGACGCTCAAGTGCTCATCAAACTCATGCGATAGCAGCTACTGGAGATAGCAGTGAAAGCAATGTTTTGTCTTGTTTGTTGTTTTTTTTTTTTTTGCTTTTCAATGAGACATCACTGAGCAGACCGCTGGATTAATCTGGAGCAATGCGTGCTCTGCTGTCTCATCTCGTCCTCTCAGGGAACCTCTAGGTGCGTCTGGTGATACTGCCGGGTCTGAGAGCTTACCAGCGCTGCTGCACCACTGTATAACGAAAGCCAAGGGAGTGGCTGCCAATAATAACAACAACGCAACATCTGTGAGGAGAACAGGTTCGTCTGAGGAGTCCCTTCCGGTTTCACCTCTCTTTGTGCCGATTCTGTGTAATTTGTACTCATTGTCAACTAGATTTACACCATTGTTGCAGAAGAGTGTAAAACAGCATTCGGTAATAAATAATTAAGGCATTCTTCAATGGAGTCCCTTATAAACAGGCCAAAAATGCGACAAAACTATTCAAGTGAAAATGAGAATCTGTGTGGGGCAGCAAGTCACTTTTTTTCTGTCTCTAAATGAACATGAATTTGTTTTCTTTGTATTATTTGAGGTGTGAAAGGACTGCATCTTTTTTTGTTTCTGCAAATAAATACAAAGAACAGTCTTCATTTTACTCAAACATACACCCATAAAAAATAAAATCAGAGAAACTGATCATTTTAAGTGGTCTCTTTATATATATATGTGTGTGTGTGTTTGTGTCATTTTCTTAGTTGTTGCTCTAGCGCCCCTTAAGCAATTGGAGACCTATATAACCATCTACATGACCGATAGCAAGATAAGAAGCCCAAAGAGCAACTTTCGTGATTACACGGTGGTTTGTTTACTTGTATAGATAGTGAGAATCACCAAAGTGTGGGCAATAAATGGGGTTTCGAATTGGTCTGGGGTGTGAACCAGTGTGTGCCTCATCTGCCTCTCTTTCAGGTGTGTCTCCCTCTCAGACCCCGCAGCAATCTCAGACACCCCAAGAGGGAGAAGATCTCAACCTTCGCAAAAAGAGTAAAAAGCAAAACAAGAACCCTTACCGCTACTTGACCTCCTTCCTGCAGCGCAGGCCGTCCGAGGAGGACCAGACAGGCATCCTGGCCAGTGCAGACTCTGAGGGCCCGAATTATGGAACGCTACGCTGACCCATGTGCCCCACCAAGCCATTGGACCCAATTAAGCTGGCCCCTCATGGAAGCAAAGTCCAAAACACCTCAGTTCTCCGCCCGCCTCCCCCTCCTGCGCATCGACAGCGACATACAAAGGTTTCATACAATCCGTACAACTGGATGTGTCTGAGGAACCGCGAACTGGATCCTCCAGAGGCTGGAAGTCTCATCTGAAGACAAGAACAATGGCGTTTTTTTTTTTTTTTTTTTGTTTGTTTGTTTTCCGAGGAATTTCACTTGAAAATGCTCTGAGAAATATATAATGTATATAACTAGTAAAACAAGGGAATTAAGCTTCCTCTTACAGTAATAAAATGTGTTGGTTAAGTATGACTCAACATGTAAAAAAAAAAAAAAGAAAAAATTTTTCCACTCACTTATCATTGAGGATTCATACCTTTTAGGTTTTTCAGTGAAACAGTGTACTGTTAAAGCCTGGTGCGTCCTGGTACAGGGACATGAGTCTACCTTTCCTACAATACAACTAGTGTCAGTCTTCAAACACAGGGTTCTTACCGCAAAAATATACCTCAGAGTAAACGCAGAGTTGCTGTAATTCTTGTGGTATACTGTACGTACTTGACCTTTTTACACTCTAAAGGTACGGACAAGAAAGGTTTATAACGCTCACCCCTCATTCAAATGGATAATATGGCTTAGCTTAATCTCATTTGGATGCTTTTCGTTCCTGCAGCTAGCGCACCGCGTCCGCTTTTTGGGGTCTCTGAGTAGAGAGGAGCGTTGCGCTCCGTGTCGTCGGTATTATGACTAAAGACCATAGCCTTCGCGAGACCTTGTGAAAACATTTTCGGGGGACTTTTCATGCTCAGCAGAGGTTGGACTTACGGAGCGACGAAACAAAAGTATGAAGTGTCTGTATGCATCTCATTCTTAAGGAATCATTTGTGAAATTGGGCACATCTTGAGGTGCCTTTTCTTTGCCTTTTGTTGTTGTTGGGGTTTTTTGTTGTTGTTGTTTTCTCTAACATAAACTGCCTTTTTTTTCCGTCGCCTTCTCATGTTTGTCACTCTGAGGAAGTGAGAACTCCAATAATGTCTGGGGGGGCTTTTCTTTTGACATTGCTTTTTGTCTGCCAAGGACACATGAAAGAGAGAATGCGTCAGTCTGATTTAGCTTGTTCTACCAGAAAACTTTTGTTTTCAATATATATATATATATATAATATATAAAAATTGCGGGGACAAAAAATCCCAAGTAAACTGCACAGTGAAGATGTAAAAGTTTGACAGCAGCTGTTAGAGTGGAATGTGATTGCTTCACGAAGCTGTAAAACAAGCAATGGAGAATCTCCAAACAAAATGGCCACCCTGACTGTTTATCTCTTACAAACTGTATATTAATTGCTAGCTACTTCTCGATATGTTTGCTAATTTTTTTTTTTTTCAATTATGATCATTTTTTTGACACTAACCGATAATGAATGTATGTTTTGCTGTACAGGAAATGAATGTCCCTTCGTCACAGTGCATTGAATGGCCCGTCGAAATGCTTACGCAGCGCAGCGGCGATTTGCCGAGACGACCAGACGGCGAAAATCAGTCCGAACTCCAGTATTCAACGGCCCGGTCTGCCGATCTGACGATATTATCGCCTTTTCTCTTTCCGATTGTTTCGCTAAGGCTAGTTCAGTCACTCAAATACGCATCAAGCAGGGTTGTCGTTTTTATTTGATGTTTTGTTTTTCGTTTAATTTCAGCAAATTGGGACGTTTTCGCTAAATCCGAGGTTGTCCACGTGAATGATTCTCTAAATCTATTTGGACGAGCGAGAAAGCGAGCGACAAACAAAAGAATTGGTTTCATGTGAGGTGCAAGGAAATAATCTATATTTGTTATGTACTGTACATGGTATGTATTGTATTTGTAAAGAGAAATCCAACCATGTTTCACAGGAAGACTTTCTTGTACGGGGATGTATGAATAGGGCGGAAAAAAAAACAAACAAGAAAAAGAAAAAAATGGGACGGATATCCCAAGTCAAAAGTCTTGGTATTATGACTAAAGCAAAGTTAGATTGTATATCAAAGTATTTGCTTACGATACGGCTTTAAGTGGATGTTTTTAAAACATTTTAAGGTGCCTGATTTGTCATACTTTAGCAGACGTTATTTTTTCTGAGAAGAAAAGTACACCTAATGTTAGTACCGTACCGTTTATTATTGCCACAGCCCCGCTGGCTGCACAAGTATTTTCTCTGATGTGTTAGTATCTGGATGCCCATTGCGGAACAAGGAGCCGGGAGACGCTTTAGAAGCAGAAATGTGTTGCCCTCTATTATATTTCTGGAACAAAGTAATAATGTATTTTGCCCACTCGTGTGCGCACATGTAGGTTCGCAACAGTTTTCTTCGCCTTCACGTGTCCAAAGCAAATAAACCTGAAGGAAACTTTTAGATACTTTTTTTTTGCTTTTACCCCCTTTTGTTTGGTTTCCTAAAAGCAACGGACATCCTGTAGACATGTACAAAACGTGCTGTGGAGGAAATTGTGTTTACATTAGTTTGATGAAATTTAAAGCGTGTTAGGGCATAGTTGCTTTGAACATTACGACTTGGTGCTATGTTTAACTTTGTGGTGCTGTAGAATAGAGGTCTGAAGATTAGTTTCTGTTTCCAAAAGGAACTTTTTCTCCACCCCCTACGTGTGTGTGCGCGCGCGTGTGTGTCTGTTTGAGCAGCTAAACTAGCTCTGGTAGACATTGTCCTAATCATAACAGTGTGACTACAGTGATAGACAATACTGGAAAAAAAGTAGACATATAACCTTGATTAATAGAGACTTGTGACATTCAATGAACTCAAAAATGACCTGTTTTCTATAGTGTGTTTTTTGCTATGTCTGTCTGTGCTTCCAAGGTACCCTCTTTCAAATATATTTGTGATGATATTGAAATTATTAACCCATCTAAGCGGGAGAAACGTAGCCTGACTTAGATTAGCAACTAGTCACGGGACACATGGAAGAGAATCGGAGTGCGCTGTCAGGTCTGGGGATGGGAGGGATCTTTTCTGCAAACTTCCTGTACAGTGCTGTGGAAAAGTGTTTGCCTCGTTGAAAGATTTCATCTATTTGTGCTACTGTTTAGCTTGGATGTTGTTTAATCCACAAAGGTAAATGTGACGTCGGTCAAGTGGAGCCTGAGTAAATGCCAAATGCATTTTTCAAATTGGCCGTTGGATATCCGTAAAATCTGTCCTTGCGTGGAAGGAATAGCCGCCTCCACCCTTCCTGAATCATGAATTGACACATCTTTAGGCAGCTGAGTTGAACAGATTATTGCCCTATCTGTAAAATCAAGAATTCACATAAACAGGACTTTTTTTTTTTTTTACAACACAAAAGTTAGCTGAAATATTTCGAAAGTCAAGAAATCAAAAAGCAAAAAGTCATCAGGAAGAGGTGAAAAGCAAAGTCAAATCAATCTATCAGTGGCGTAAAACTAATTCTTTAGCAAAGGATTTCCAATCAGTAGTTTGTAACTGATTGCTCAAAAAAGAAGTGACAAGTGTGGAGTCGTCTAGTGTGAATGTGATTAAAATGTTGTGGCTAGATTTCCTTTCACTCTTGACTAAATCAAGCAATTCTGTTAAGAAAAATAGTTCAAAATTCCTTCACATTGATGCAAAAGTCCAATTGCCCCTCATCACAATGAATACCTAATTGTTGCCCACCATGTCGGCACAACCAGCAGTTAAATTTACGGGCAATTTTATTTTTCACATCAGTTGATTTGCATACCTTTTTTTTTCCCTTAATAAATAAATTGGTTTTTTTTAATCCACATTTTTTCTAAGGTTTGACAAAAAAAAATATATGGAAAACCTCAAATCTGTAAGGGGGGAAATGCTTTTCCACAGCAATGTATATCTACGGTGAACAGCACTTGTTTTTCAAGCACACTTCTACTACTACTACTACTACTGAGGACACAAACGTCTCGCCTCATCCCACCATCACCTTTTATAGACAAACAACTCCTATTAGTACTGTAGAGTTTAGCCATGAGTCGTTCACGGTTGCATTTATCCTGTCAGAAAAGCTCACACATCCCCACCGCTGTGTTTGTTTGTTTGTTTTTTACAAGCAGACGCTGTCTTCCGGGCTCGTCATTTGCTTCTTCGCAAAATCCAACGAGAACATGTACAGCGTTTAAGAGGGCTGCTTTGGACGTACTGTTAGCGACGTTTTCTGTTCCGTTTTTTTTGGGGCGGTTTTTGTTTCGTTTTGGGGGCTGGGGGATTCTGCTTATGGCTCTTAGTGCATCACTAGCTGCTGATAGGATGATACTTAACAGATTTGACTTTCTTTTTATTTTCTTTCTGTTTCTTTTTTAAATCGTATTAATCTTGCATGTAGAGACAATTACAAAAATGCCTATTTAGCAATCATTCATGGCCATCCGAGCTGGTTTGTTGTTGGACGGAAGCTAGAAAAGTACGTAGTATTTTCTATATTCTCTTTATCTCTTTTATTCGTTTGTTTCCGTTTGTTCTTCATGTGTACCAGCACTGAGAAGCTAGAATGTATAATTAATTGTAGGCTACTATAAGCACTACATTGTTGACTGTTTTAGCTCATATTCAAGCAAACCCAGTAATGCTTAAAAGAAGTGAGAAATTCCCATGTTTCGTTTCACTTTCATCCACCGAACTCTGTGCTGTACATTACATGTTTACATTCTGTATTTTACATGCTTTGGTTGTTCTTGCTTTGGTTTTGACCATGATGTCCACATGTAAATATTCAGAGTTGAAACTTTTTCCACTGTTCTCTTTTTTAAAAACGATAACACTGATTGTTTCTTTACTTTTTTTTAATTATTATTTTTTTTTAGAAATGCCATTCTATTCTGTCACCACATCAGGTTTTTTGATGCTTTACTTAACTTTTTTTTTTTTTGAGCAATTAACTCATACTGTATGGTGCTGTACCAAAGCCTTATGTATAATATCTGTCCTATTTTTTTTTCTTTTCTTTTTTTTTTTACCACTGCTATCCAATGACTCGTCTTGAGATCATGTCTCGGTCACTACTCATGTTCAACTGCCATGAATTTTCTTTTAATTTTTTTTCCTCTCTCTCTTTTCTCTTCGAGTAAGCAGAAACCTGAACAAACTAAAATGTAAAACAAAAAAAAAAAGGACAACACACACTCTGGCTCGTCACCAAACGGGCCTGGATGTACAGCAGCGGTCGCCATCACAAGCCTTTATAGGGGTAAAATGCACAGGCTCACTCCTGGTGGCTCATCATGACGTAGACATGAGCCTGTCACATGATCTCTGCTCTATCTATGGCATGTCTATGAGAACATGAGCGCAGTGTTGTATCCATGTCACCATATCATTTCAAATGCTTAGTCCTATACAAGATTTTCCTCTCAAATTTTTGTATTTTGATATAATAAAAAAACAAACAAAATCAAAAGAGGTTTTATTTTTGCCGCGTGTGTGTTTTGTTTCCTTGTGTGCTTCCAGAATTTCGCTGCAGTTCAAATGCTGGACACAGGGGGTGAGTGTTGGTCAGAAATTGGAGAGAGAGAGACAGAGAGCGAGAGAGATAATCAGGTCAGGTTTTCTGCTTCCCATTTTTGAATTCTAGGACACACTGGTCAGAGCAGAGAAGAGTGCCAAGTTTCAGATTTATTTTTTCCCTTCAGTAAAAAAAAACAAAAAAAACCCTGGAATTTGGAATAAAAAAAAAAGCTGGATCTAAGCATGTTTTGGATGTTTTCACCCACATATTGAAGGAAGAAAACACTCAGTACCCTTTGTGTTTAAATTCTTTTGGGCGATTGGTGGAGAGCAAACAAATGAGCCGCCATTCTTCTGCACACACCTGAGTAAAATGTAAAGTTCAGCTAATCCGCTGTTTAAACACTCTGCCGCCTTGAGGCCTGTTTCAACCAGGCTGCTAAAACCGCATAGCCAGTGCTGCGTGTTTATCATTAAACGCACAACATCACAGGCTTTGTAGTTGACACAACTTTACAAAAGAAACATGTAAGGTAAAAATCCTTCATTGGTATTATTAATTATTTTATGTCCAAACCAAATTTGATGCTTTATTTCTTCAAATTTTTTGTGGTGGAATTCTTTGCTTTTGTATCTTGCGCTGCTTCATCAAGTCAGAGGACTCCAAATCCCTGACAGACGCAATTTTGTTTGACACTAAATGCATCGTTAATAATTAGAGATGACAAAATGAGGTGTCAAGTAAGTCACCGAATTACTTCCGTTTTTGTGTCTGTCATTGTAATGAATTCAAAATTAACAGAGTAAGGCGATTGCACCTAAATAGTGGCTCATTGAGAGCCATCCCGGGCTCACGATGAGGATGGGTTTAGTTGGGGGAGGAAATAAAACGCTGCCTGTTATACAGAACATTTATCTACCTGAGCGAGGCTTTCAATGTTTTGTTAGACGGTATGGCTAAAAGGTATTTTTTCCACTCAAATGTTTCAAACGCTAAATATTTACACATTGAACAAAGACAAACAAAGTAAGTACTGGACACAGTTTTATATGACTTAATGTGTTGAGGGTAAACAGCTGTCCAAACCAAAGTGACACTGAATTCACATATATTTCCTTAAATCAGAAAATAACCGGGATTCACTCTTTCAAACTACTGCGCGTATTTTTCTGGCCGCATCCATGGGTGATAATTGTCACACAGAGTATTAAAAATAGTTTTAAAAAAATGCTTAAACAGAAGCAAGCTGACAAGGGGAAGAATCAGAATGAGACGTTTCAGGCCTCTGTCACTTTAAGTGCCGTTGGCCACGCCTCCCCAACACAATGTTTATGCTTTCTACATGTCAACATGGCGGCAGACGGGTGGCTAACCACACATCTTTGATCAAGAGTCAGATCCAGGACGAGGACAGGTGGAGCTGACCGGATGTGCTCTTGAAAGGATGAAGTGGGCGGAGCTCCATTCGGGGTGCTAGGTGAGGGGAGAGGTCTTGTCTGCCCATTGTGACGTCATTATTAGGAGGTTTTCAAAATGGCTTTTTCCCCCCACACACCAAAAAGCATTAACCGATTGCCAGAAAACATCTGAATTGTTTGTTGTTGTTGTTGCACTTGGACTTTTTCTAAAATCAATAAAAACCCAAATGAAAGTAGAAAACTGAGCAAAAAGTGAATTTTTCTTAATAGATCCCCTTTAACATTTTGTAAATTGTCTCATACTTTACACCTAAAGTGCTTTATCACCAAGGAATGCAAAGGTAAACTGAATCATTGTTAAATAACATTTGAATGACCATTTTTCACCATATACATAGTCATGAATGACATGGAATTTTTGTCTTCATGCTTCCGACTTTCTCAATACACACTGAAAACAGAAATATAGGCGAAAACATCATTTTCTTTCGAGAAGCGTTAAAGCAGCCTTTAGCTTGAGCCCTCTACAGCCACATAACGTTTTGATCCAGCTGAGAGCGAAGAGCGGTTCTGTTTGGGGCTCATACCGGCACTGACTGGTGGGATCCGTAAACCGTGTGGAATAATGATTCCGCCGTGCTTCGTCCACTCTTGCGTGAGAGGCGCTGTAACACGGACTGCTACAGGAGATCGTTTCCGCGTCGCTGTTTGAAGAAAAATTGAACATTTGATTTTCCCTCTGGGATTCATAAAGTGTTTTCAAACTGAATCGAGACGAATTATAACCTGACCCAGCTCTATGCCTCTCTGCAGTATCATTTCTGACCCTGCAGCTGTGTTGTTGGGTTTTTTTTTTTTTTTTTGTTCTCCAGATATTTTTTTACTCACTAAATCTCTGAGACAGTCTCAGAACAGCGGTACTTACACTGATATTAAATCACATTCATCTGCACTCTTTACCAACGGGACAAGGTTGATAAGTCAAGCATCAAGCTTGTCCGACTTCTAAATGATCATATTTTTTGAAATACTGAAATATTACAGTCGCCCTACTCCCACACAATTACGCACTATATAATGATGGACTATTTCTTCTTCTTGTTTCTTCCTTATAGCTTGACAGCTTCTTATTTGTTTTGTGTTGTATTGCAGCCTCTTGTCCAGGACTCCCTTGAAAAAGAGATTTTTAATCTCTGTGGGTAAAATACATTTAAATAATGATAATAAGAAGATGTAGCAATATCATATAAAATGTAGAAAAACCAAGGCGAACACGACTACGTTAGTTAGATGGATAAAGTTGATAAATGATCAGAATCATCATGTTAGCCCTAAGCCAGAACAGAACCTGAATTTCCGCTTGATTTTCTTCGGTGGATGTTCAAAAAAAAAAAAAAAAGTATGATGATTATGAAGCGATCTCAACAGCAGTTCTCACTCCTCTCACTGTTACCGCCCACCCACAGCGGAGGGGTTATGTAATTGTTGTACCAAACGCATTACCTAACGCCCCGCGCAACCGCGGTTCCTCGATGCTCGCGAATGTAATGAATCAGCGCCTGCAAAGCATCACGCCTACAATCAAATCTGGGTCCCTGGAGAAAGAAAACAAGGGTCTGGGAACCCCGGAGGCTCGAACAGGCGCGAGCACGAATCCAGTTTCAGCAGTGCGCGCTCGCGACGCCCGGACGCTCTCTCTCTACCTCTCTGCCTCCCTCTCTTTCTATCTCTCTCTGTTTCTATCTCTCGCTCTACTTCTCTCTCTCTCTCTCTGCCTCTCTCTCTCTGTCTTCCAGTCGCCGAGTCACTCTCGCCAGCCCCCCGTTTGGTAGAGCGAGCGAGATGCCGCACCTGCTCGCGGGCTTTCCCGCCAGCGTCGTCCGCCTCAGGTGATCAGCGGTGGCCTGTCTCTGAGTGAGCGAGCGTCCGGGCTGCGCGGGTCTGCAGCCGCGATGCGATGCGACGCTGGCCGGCAGCATGCTTCCTAACCGAGGAGCCGAGCGCCGAGCAGCATAGAGGAAGGAGGCGGCGGCGAGGAGAGGAGAGGAGCGGCGCGCGCGGTTCGCAGGTAAGTTTTACCGCTGGATCATCCCGTCGCCTCGCGCGGACAGGTGAGGCTCCTCAGCGCGGCCACCACCAGCTGCTGCCCATTAAAACCGATAGGTTCTCGCCGAAGCTGTGAAATAATCGATAATGTAGTTTATCTCTCTCTCTCTCTCTCTCTCTCTCTCTCTCTCTCTCTCTCTCTCTCTCTGTCTCTCTCTCTCTCTCTTTCTGTGCTTGCGTGCGCGCGTGTGCTGTTAACGCGCCTGGTTTCCGCCAGGCCCAACAGGTCATAGTACACCGCCGGTAAACTTTCCCCGTTGGTCATTTAGTGCGCATTATGTTGTATCAGAGGTTATTAAAAAAAAAACACACAAAAAACCAGACCGGGGTTCATGTGTGAGGTGCGCTGTCTGGTCAGGAAACGACGAGTCTGCCGCAATGCTTAGCAACAGGCCTGCAACAAGTGCGAGATGCGTTCAAGGTTTTATTATTATTATGTCATGTGATTCAAATGTCGGCTGTAAAATAGCTCGGTGGAACCCTCTGGGTCATCCAGGAAATGGCAAACTGCGTTTAAGATTTTTTGTTTAAAGTACAGTCCAGTGTAGTCAGACTGAAAGTTTTTTATTTTAAATTTTACTTGTAAAGTTATACAGTTTCCTTAAAATGGGGCTATAGTGTATTTTATAAGCATTTTATAGCGCAATCCCCCCCCCAAAAAATGTAAATGTCAAACATGACTGAAAAGAAATTTGACTTTGCAATTAAACAACTTGAAATTCGCCGTCTGCCTCTTTAAGAAGCTCTTGTTCTTTGAAGTCTCCCTTCAGTGCTTCATCGCAACAACTTTCTCCATTTTAGCTTTTAGCATCTTTCTTAGCAGTGGGTGAGAAGTAGTTCCTATGATTAGTTCTGCAGATGCACAGTTGCACTCAGTGTTGTGATTATTGCTGCTGTCGCTAGTCTGAAGGAGCTGAGTAGAGCCCCTTCAGACTAGCGTCAGACTCAGAGAAAGAGGTGCTCTGTGAGACAAATTCGACTTGGGAAAAAGGCGCTGCTTTGTGAGAGCGAGTATTTAGGCACCCATGAATGTTTGCCATGGGAGATTTAAGGATTTCTCAAAAAAACAGGATTGCGAAGTTACACTTCAGGGACATTTTTGATGAGGGACTAACATCATAACATGACATAAAGCTCAAAAAAGTCAATTATACTCCCTTTAAGTTTGACCTAATTGATATTTGTTTTTTCAAAGCCCTCTAGTTTGCAAACTGAAAAAAATGTGAATGCCTTAGTAGAGGTAATAGAGTTGAATCCAACAATAATGTTTTTTCAATAGATTCTTAACAAGGTTTATCAAAGTACATTTTGATGGCTGATGGGTTTCTATTGAAATGCAAGGAGGGGTCAGTCTGAACGTGATACCGACTGATGGTATTTGAAAGATCCTCAAATCAAATTGTGTTTATGTCCCTCATTCTGCACGGGGTTGACTCTGATGACAATCCAATGTGCTTTAATAGAAGGCCGTAAAAGACAGAAGAGCTTGTTGACTGAGCCAGTAAAGCATAATGTAATTTCTCAACGTGTGACACGATAATTGAGTAGAGTACTGTCATATGAGGGGATAAGTAATCAAAAGAATTTTTGAGAAGAAAAAAAATCATTTTTCCAGCATATTTAGACCAAAATATGCAAGGATCCCTCATACTACTCGCAAACAAAAGGACCTTTTGGCATGCTTTGGGATGTGGAGCAGCTTATTTGTTGTTATGTACATGTTTAAAACAATCACAGAAAGAAATTAAGTTTATGTTTTTGGAATATATGCGTAAAGTAAAATGGTGCAGATACAGCAGACCAAACCACTTAGAGAGTATTATTGAGAAATTGTCACATTTCTTGATAACTAAGAACCATGGAGACTTGTGTTCAGAAAGAAACCTTGGTGTGTAGTCGGCAATATCTCTCCTACAGTCTTCATCCAGTCTCCATGGTAACCAACTGCTGTGCTGGGCGATTGTTGGGCGCTCTTACCGTTTCTGGTTATAACTCAGCGATGGCAGATGCATCAGACCCGGCTCCATAAGTCATTGTGATTTTATAAAAGCATTCTTTCTCTGTGGCTCTTTAGACCAAACGACTCAAGGATTCCTTATAATCCCGGTTCTTAAAATATATTTTGAACCTTTTGGGAGGCGTTGGAAACTTTTAAGAGTAAGGTCATTTCTTTGCCATCTGTTTGCGGTATTTTAACACAGCGGAAGCAGCTGGGTAACAACAACTCAGCTGCAGAGTATTAAGTCAAGTAAAACTGCATTCTGAGGAAGATGAGTTGCAGCGACCGCAGCTTCATGGAACAGGTTTCCATGGCAAAGGAGCCGCGTGCTTTCATGAAGCATCAGCAAGTAAATTCAGGGGTGTACTCCATGGTCTCTAGGTTGGTGTAAAGGTCTACTTTGTAGAAATTACAGTTCTCTGTTTGGCAATCTGTTGGAGAAGTATGTGTTATTATGTCTGGTTGATTAGATTTGGATTTTACCTGGTAGTTACTGTGAGAGGAAGTCTTCATGTTGCAGCACTTGGCAATTCCCTGCTTCCAGGTCTTTAAAAACTGACGTGCTTTCACTATTTTTATGAACAACGCCAGTTGTTACCCATTGATTTAGGTTAAGATTGATTTATCACTTTGATCTTCAATTGAGAGCTTACAGGAAACAATCTATCCCTATGTCTGATAGAGAATTAAGTCAAGTATTCAAGAAAATACTTCAAGAGAGACATAGCTTCTTTTTAAAGAACGCATTGGACAATCACCTAGAAACCTAAAATTTTACAACAGTTTAGGGATTAAATGCTATTTCTTAAGTTTTCCGAACAAAATGTTCTGAGTTTCAATGTTCTTCAGATGAGGTACTGAGCCAACCTTTATGTTTGTGTCAGAAGAAATAGAGCATTGTTGGGTCAACACCTCTGTGTAGTATCTTAAACTGAACAAACATCTCCAAGCTTGTACTCTCCGGTTGTCTCAGATTAAGTTGCCGCTCATCTGTCGTATTTCTGAGAATAAATGTTGCCCTCCCTAAAATATTTTTCTTGCAAAATGAGATTTTCCCCCATTCACTGTTTGTGGTACGTCGTCAGCTTATTTTTAGGACGAGGAGATTTGTGGCTCGTGGCAAGGTTTGGATTGTTCTTGTGAGTGACAGACTGGATTGTTGATTAAATGTTTGGATCAGCGTGGGCCTGCTGTTCACCCCCCCGCTCCATCCGCCCGTTCTGGCCTTCATCAGGGATCACTCGCTAAGAGATTTGAGCCGTGACATCTCCTCTGTGTGGGATGTAATAATCTCAAGTCTGGCAGATTCCGAGAAGATTAGAGAATCAAATTGACTTCCAGCCGCCAACCAGTTCAACTCCTTCCCTCCAAGAGGTGACATGAGTCACAAAGCATTGGGTAGCGCATGGCCAATTGGGCAGCGGCGGTCTGAAACCTGCAGTGTGGTGACTGGCACCGCCTCTGGCAGACAGGCTGATGATGTGTCAGAGCTTTTGGTCAAAAGTTCCTCTGAGGCTTTCATTTGTCTCCTTCGTCTTCGCTCTGGAAGAGCATCAAGTCACGATGGATGGGAGATGGGCTACTGTAGCAACCGCAGAGCTTTTCTTTTTCTTTTTTTTTTACCCCCTCTTCATTTACAGATTCTGTTGGCTGCAAGCAGAATGAAAGCCTGAAACCAACTTTCTCCACACAGACTCAGGTCTCTGTTTGGTACTAACAAAAGACTCAAAGTGTGTCGAAGATCTCGCGGCTAAATTCCGTAAACTGGAAATTTCGCCGCCCTTCGGCTGGCTGTTTTCACTCTGACAGTTTCCATTTACGTTGTTTCAAGCCACTGGAAACCTGATGAAACCAGTCTGACCAACTAAGGAGCTAAAACACAACCAGCCTCGAGGAAGCCAAATGTTTGTATTCCGTCAATGTCTGGTTTGAGTTTTGGAGAGCCATGAAGTCTACACACACGTTGTCTGGCGTTGATCTGGTCTGATCGTCAACAGTGTCTTTATAGTTTCAGAAAGCCAGAAAACCTGCTTCACCTGCTGTCAATTTAAAGACATTTTCTACAATCTATTAAGAGTCTAATGTAAGGAAATGTAATTATGTGACTCAAGTAAATGTTTACCAGAAGGAGGTTCTTCTATTTTACTTTGTATCAAATTGTCACAATTTGTCCTTTTGTAGGAACAAAAAGAACAAGGGGCAGTTCTCACTGTTTCAAGGAGGTTTATAAATACAGTTGGTTTGGTTATTTTGTACAAGTTCACTCACAAAACAGAGACTAGAACTGAAATAAATGGAAAAAGTTTTCAGATTAGGACATTGAGCTAAATGAACGTTGTTATAATCTTTTGTCTCTATGATTCAGGAAAAAATACAACAAAAATAAACAAATTAGGTATGATGGGATGAAGTGGTTTGTAATGGAAGTAATTAGAGATGAAATGGCATCGCATCAGTATAAAAAGAGGTTACAATTTGTAGAAGGAGCAAAGTTCCTGAGACCCGATGTTCGGGACGTACGTTGTCTCTCATCAATTCAGTTTGGTAGCATTAAATTCAAGTTGTGTGGACAAGCTGCAGTAGACAGTAAAAAAAATTAATTTGTTCTTGCTGCTCAGTTCACAAAGCAGTATTGAGTGTGAGAACTAAGTGGTGGTGCAAATTGTTTTCACACATTTACAATAAAACTAAAACTATTTTCTTCAAAAATATCATTTTTTTAATTAAAAATAATTTCCTGATTAGCATGAGAAACTAAAACTAAACTAGAGGTTTGCACTCGGTCTAAAGCTAAACATCTGGTTAGTTACATAAAGGCAGAATGTGATAATATTGAAATAAGAATCATAAAACTGCAAATTTAGACTTTGCAAGAGTAGCTTTGCATTTTCCTCGTGAAACAGAAGCCTGGATGTTGGTGTTGTCCTCCATTTTCAATTGCAGGTTGCCGGATTCAGTTTGACTGTTTTACCTAAAACGTACACTTACATCCGGACTTTTTTCATTAGGTTTCAAAGTTTTGGATCATTTTTCAAGGTCCAAACTCCATAAGTACCGCATACATTTACAAGAATTCAAATTCAAAAAACACTTCATTGATCCCAAAGAGAAATGAAATACATATTTAATAAATGGTGAGATAATGTGTAGCATAGCTTTCCCTCTGGCTACGACCGCCCCCTCATTTCATTTTCTTAATGAAGGACTTGTGACTGACAGATTTGTGACTAAATTTTACCTCGGGGGGGAAAAAAAAAAAAAAAATCACCCAGTCATGTTCTTGTCAACATATCTGCTGATGCTGGTCCCACAGACAGCGTGCAGGATTGTGCTCGCCGCCCCATTTTCCCTCGCAGGAACGCCATGTAGGCCATCAGATACCAGGCGACATCCTTTGTGTTCGCCGCTCCGGTCTCCTGAGATCAGAGCTGCACCTCCCCATTAACTGTGACAGGTAAAGGGGCCTCTTTATTCATGCATCCAGAATAGTACGGTTGATACATTGGAGATGAATGACGACGGAGAAGCTGTGGAAGCAGCGCTGCTGCTTGATTCGTTGTGACTTCAAGGTTTCTAAGAGAAAATCCAGAGGAAAATAAAAATATGTTGCTTTGACAGTTTGAGACATATTTGTGTATTCATTTTCTCACATATAGTACAGCAGGAGGTGGTATATGCTGATGAAGATCACTCATAATTATGTCTCTTCACAGCCGTGTGAGTTTGTAGTGTATGCTATTTGGAGCATTTCTAAATTGGTCCACTGTGATTGCTTCGGTGATCATTTGTGTCGTTTGCTGTTGTCAGATTTTCTAAATTTTCCTGATGAAACCCCCCCACGCCCCCAAAAGTCTGCAAGTATTTTATCATGCAGGTGCTTTATGCAAGCTCTTCCCCTCTGCTGTGTGCAGGACAACATGTTCCTCCACTCAAAAAGACTCTCTGCCTGATGAGCTATAATCAGCAAGGTCAGGTACCGTCGGATGCACCGTGAAACCTTTTTTTTAAATCTTTTTTCTACATGGAAAAAATTTAGCTGATAGAAATGTCTTTACCTCATTAGCAACCCACAACCGTAACATTGCTTTTGGGATACATGTGTGGCTCTAATAATGCAGAAGGTAACAATGCGCACTGTTCACAGTCTTGCGCAAATAAAAATGTGAAGTAGGGGACAAACAGCATTATGTTGACCAAGGAACACAAAACACAGATCAAGGAGAAATTTGGGCGAGATTCAAAACAATATCTCAAGGTTTGAATGTCTCTCAGAGTGCGGTTTAAATCTCCTCATATAAAAACGAAAATAGTATGGCACAACAAACCTAATCCTCAAGTGAGCAAGGGGAGCCAAATAATTCAATTGGGCGTAATTCAATTTATTTTAATAGCCCCAGTTCACAACACATACCATCTGAAGGTACTTTGTGAAGTAAAAGTCATGTGACCAGATCCACGGTGAAGCAGAAAAGATCCAAAGCTCCAGGTGGGGCTACGATTAGTTGTGCACTTGACAGATCTGGTCACTGTAGAACAGTGGCAACAATTAAACTGTTGTTTAAAGAAAGCCTTAAGATGACCTACTTGTGCTTTTCTTCGGCCATGTTGGGGACATGTTAGTGGGGCCAGTGGCGGAAATGAGAATCAAATGGAAACTTGACTGGGTCAAAACAAATGCCCCTGTATTTAAGTTTGGGCAATGTTACTTTTCATGTTTCTATTTATGACACAATTTGAAATCTACTGTAGATATCCTCTTTGTGTTGGGCTGTCACATCAATCCCATCAAAATACACAAAACTTTGTGGCTTCAACGTGACAAAACACTGTTCCAAGACATAAGAAGACTATAGATGTTGCATCCAAGTGACCGTTGCATAACGTAACTTTATGTAATGTGGTCTCTGGATCGCTGCTCTTTGTGTAATGCACTTTTTGTCCTTCGGCAAGGTTGAGTTGAGACACAGTACGAGACGGATGCCGAGTCGGACCTGCTCAGTATTCCCGTCGGCCTGTTAGCATCCTGCTGACTCAAGAAGCTTTATGGAAAATCCAGAACCAGCAGCTGAGTGGAAAACCGAACCAGAGGGGCTGCTGGGAAACCGCTACTACGGCGGCAGCGCTCAGTGGAGACCAGACGTGTTGTGGTTGATCAGCAGAACTCTTTACACATGATGGTGACCAGTCTCTCTGCTACCTGAGCTGTAGTGGTGGGAGCTTTGTTTTTGTCTGAGAGACATTGTTTACTGATAAACACCCTCATAATTCCAGAAGCACGTTATGAGAAAATTGTGGGAGAGCCAAGTTTGCTTCATCGGGACATTGCTAGTGTTTTGATTACTGAACTGAGGGTAAGCAATAGTAGTTGGCATATGAATGAAAAACAAGACATTTTTACTAGGACTAGAGAACAAAACTGACATAAATTAAAAGGTTTAAGGTGTAATCCCAACTAAATACTGATATTTAACTGATTCCGTGGCAGTGGATAAAAACCAGTAATTGTTTGATCTCTGAAAAACTTTTTATTTATGAAACTGAAGGAAAAAGGCTGCTATGTATACATATAATTTGCATTCAGACCGATGAGATGAGCCAGTGTTGCGTTTTAGCTTAACCGCGACTTTATTCGTCTTCCTCTGTATCACAGTCCACGATAATACCAACACAGGCAACTCAATACTATTAGGGTGAATTAGGGCTATTGTAGATAGAAAAAAACCCCTGTAAATTTCCTCAAAGGAACTCAGAAATGTTGAGATTAATCTCAAAAATTTTCTAGGAATTCTCTTGGAAATTTTTGTACACTTTTGTGCTGCACAAATATAGAACAGCAATGCATAGAATAAGCCTTATACACCATCTCACAATCTGTCTTTGACAAATTGTCAAGACATTCTAATATTCTATCATCTTATATCATCATGAGGCACTTTTAATGAAGATGGACGGTTAAAACATATTTGGATGACGGTTTCTGTTTTTTACATTGCTGACTTTCTGATCATTGGAGCACGACAAGTCGCTTTTTAAGATTGTTTTAGCCTACTTTGTGTTGTCAGACAGTTTCTACTTGAGTGATTTTTTTGATTCTCCAGGCGATGCAGTAATCAGCCGGGGCGTGGAGAATGAAGTTAAACCCCAAAAATGTAAATCACCATTAATTTATGATTAAACAAGGAGGCAAATATCTTATTGGGATTCCTTATCTCTGTTTGCAAATGAAATCACCATCTGAAAACCGATGTTTGTATTCACCCAAGTTATCTTTGTCGTGACCAAGCAGCAGAAACAGAAGGAATCCCTTATGTGGGAAACATATTTCACAGCAGTGGAATTTAAAAAGTAAAGGGGGAATCTGTAAACATGGGTCTCTGGCTGCCGGGACAAACCGGCGCGGGAGTCGCTTTTCGACCGAAATCTGTCAGTTCCAGAAGGAAACAGAAGCTGATATCCATCCTGCGAACTCTCAGCCTAACACGTTTTGGTCGCCGTGGCAGCCCGCGACACTCTGCCATGATGTCATCCCAGATTACAGCCGGGGTGGATGGTGGCCTCGAGTGGGTTAATGTCTGCTAGCTCCGCAGCTCCGGATCCTCCTACCCGGCCGCCGTGACTGTCTCTCCTTCTCTCTCCTCCCACTCACGCTTCTCTACAGCGGGCTGTTGCAGCAGGGCGGCATCATGGAGGCTGGATGTGTGGTTGCCGCGGTGATTGAGAATGCTGCCTCAGGACTCCGGGGAGAACCAGGAAGTAGTGACGTCCTTGAGGGGTGAGTTACTCTTTTTATTTAATTATTTTTTTTGGCGTTTCCCTGGCTTCGTGTCTCTGCTCACCTGGAAGATGATGACGATGATGAAAAACCCAGCTAACACGCTGCTTTATAGGAGCGTGGGAATTTTTAATTTGAGATGAATAAAACCAGAAGTGAGGCTTTCAAAAAATGACCCAGTTATCAGAGTAAAGCAGAGAGACACACTATCTCTTTTTCAAACTCCATCAGCTTCAGACTCCACTATTTTGTTGTGCTAGCTTATGTAATTTATTGTGTCCTTTTGAAGCCATAAATGTTGATGCTTGTTTGCCACATTTCCAGATTTGATCAGGCTGAATCTCTGTAAGGCACCCAAACTCCCTGTGGCCTTTGTTACTTATCAAAGTTTGCCTGAATGGGCCTCACCCTCCACTCCTCAGTACATTGAATCACATTTCAAGTGAAGGTTTTGTGAAGTTCTCCCTGTGGGTGGATTGTCTTTATGCCTCACTGAATACGTGAGCTTTGGAGTGCAAATAAAGCAACCACTGGATCTGGGTTTGGTTTTTTTTTTTTCTCTTTGGAGAAAATATCAGCAGAAACTGCTCAGTAATTGCTCATAGTTGCAGCTAATAGAAATAAATGTTAGCTGTATTTTCTTGGTGACAGCTTCAGTACAACATGTTTTCTTTTTTTTTTTTTGGAGGCATGCTGGTGCAATGTCATGATTCCAGCTCAAGCCACTCCAATAATTCACCCTCACTTGCTCCCTCTGGTGGATGAAAATTAAACAAACTATATATATTGAGAGGCCTCATTTTCATAACAATAGTTCAGGTTCTGTTCTGTTTTCAACCATTTTCTTTTTGTACCTCTTGTGCAGCGACCCGACCCCACCTACTGACCTCCACAAAAACGATGCCTTACCTCAAGCTACCAACATCAATCCTTCAGAGGAGAAGCAGCCACAGGAAACATCCACTGCCGCGGTACATGCCCCCCCCACACACACATATATATTTATAAATAAGCACACACAAGGCACTGACTCATAGCTGATGCAAGAGAACTCACAAAACCCATCAGACATGTTGTCCTTCCTCCATGAGGCTGCTCTGCTTCTTTAGTTGATTCACATTTAATGTCGCTTCAACAGATCACAAGGTCTCAGTTGACGACTTTAAATTCATCCTGGGCTTCTACAAATTAGAAAATAAAGGTCAAAACTACACATACAACTGATATTTGCAAAAATTTGACTAAGAGCCTCTTACTAATTGAGTGACCATCAACAGGCTTTTAGCTTTTAGAGGTCTTTTTATTTGGCTGAGTTCCTGGCATTCAACCACAGACTGTAATGTCACTCTACAATCTTCATGTCGGCCTGCTTTATCTATTCCTAGACTGGTTCTGATGTGTGTTTCAGGTTATTGTCCAAGTTTCAATAGTGTTTCAGCTGTTAATTTGAGGTGAAGTTGGAGAATTTAAAGGGATGCGTTAAAATGATGCTGTCGTCACCAGGCACTGTGTTCTTAGGTTTGAAAGGCTTACGGTGCATTCACACCAGCCGTGTTTCGTCAAACGTCAATCCATGTGTTTTGAAAATCCAATTTGTTTGAGGAGGTGCGAATTTACAATCAAACCAAAAAAAGAAAAAGCAAACTGTGGTCTGCCTAAAAACCTCGCTCTGGGTTTGATTAAAGTCAACTCTGGCGCGCAATGCAAATGTGGAGGCAAGCAGACCAGAGGCCGCTCCAAAAGCAGGAACCGGACTATGGTGTAGGGCATTCTGGGTAAATGGAACCAAGATAAATGCAAGAATCTAACGCTTGCGGTTCTTCGTCTTTTGCCAAAGACAAAACCAACAACTGCCAAAATCTGACTCCACTCCATTTTTGTTTACATTTCACAAAGAAGGAAGTTACGCTCATGTCTTCTTCTGACATGTTGTTTCTCTCAGTGGTTCTTTACCACAAATATCTTAGTACTCTTGAAATAAGACAAAACAGATAAGTAACTTTTCTGCAATATACAGGGCCTTAATTTCAATGACTGATTATTTCACTCATACCAAGAAATTATTTACTTTTTCGAATTATTAACCTAAGCTCCTATATTTTGCTGATAATTTGCTTATATTGTAGTTTTGTAGTTTCTCTAAGAGAGTCACTACAAAGTAGACAAAAATACGTGTTAAGACTTTGTGTCTTCATAGTGTGCAATCTGCTGTGGAAAAATTGTACAACCCCTATTTTAAAAGCCGTCAGAGGCAGGAATGTGTTTTCATTACATGTTCTAACGGCAACGTCATAAACTATCGGTTTCTCCATCGCTGACCCTGTTAATGCTTTCTGCTCTTGGCAGGTGAAGAGCGATGACATCACAGAACACCAAGTCGAGCCCCTCCTGCGCTCCTGCGTCAGCACGGCGAGTATGAAGGTCAAGAACATGAAAAAGTAGGTGCTCTCAGTGACGCTGCCGCTGCTTTTGGGGGCCGCTTCGCTGGCCTGAATATAGGGCTCCTTATTCAGGCCAGCGAAGCGAAGGGGAGCCTGTGTTCCAACGATGGGTGCCTCTCACACCGACCAGCCAGCCTGAATCTTAAACGCCGCTCTGTCTCTCGCCACACAAGCCTGACCTCTCCCTTCCTCTTTCCCTTTGTTTCGCTCGGCTCCGCTCTTCATCGCAGCATCGGTGTGTGTTGAATGTTGATGAGTTGCCGCTCTTCTGTGTGTTCTAGGCTAACGTTCCCCAGAGGTCACTTCCCCAGATTGGCAGAGTGTGCCCATTTCCACTATGAGACTGTCGATTTTGGCAACATTCAGGTGAGCTCTAAAAATACTTTTGCGGAGAGTTATTAGCTTTCATAACTCTGCACTTGGCCGGCACTCAGCTGCTATATTTGCTGCTGTCTCAGGCTGCCCTGCTGCACTTTGGCGTAATCAATAACCTTTTTAGTGTTTTCTGGACATCTCACGTATTCTTGACGTGAGATGTTTGCATTTGTTCGCAGACGATATTCTGCACTTACTTTTGTTCGCCTTCTTCAAGCAGGCTGCCTAAACTTGGATTTGATTAGTGCTGCCACCCTCAGATATTAGCTGCCAGCAGGAGCTTAATGATGGGCCAGAAAATGAAAATTTATTCTCAAATAGCACAAGAGAACAGTTTTTGGAGAACGGCAGGAAATTGTTTTTCACTGTGCAGGATGCAGACAGCAAGTGGATTCTTAAGGAGTTATGTTTTCCACATAGGCAACATAGGTCACATTATTTTATGCTTTACCTGCTTCTTGACTTTTTACAAATAAGCAGTTTTTCTTAATATTGATGAGTTGAAACATGAAGTTTCCTCTTTTTAACTTGATATTTTGGACTGAACTGCATGAGCTTAAATCAAGCTGAAGACTTATTTCGACTAGTCTTGTCTTTTGTGGATGTTGTTCTAGATATTCTGACCCTAGCTCAGCGTTCCTAAACGTACCTTTCTCTCTTTCTCTTTCTCGTACTTCTTCAGTTTTTGTTTTGAGATAATTTTGAAGTAATGTAATGATAATGGCATAATAATACATGAACACCTTCTCAAAAAGTTTGTTTTCTATTGAAAATTTTACAGTGGAACTGGAAGACATCTCAAATACCCAAACAAAACACCTGAAACAACAAATAAAATGAAAACTGTCCTTCAAAAATGTGGAGCTATCCCAGACCAACACACCAGACTGAAGACTTTCGTCATCCAGTGTTTGGTAGAGATTAGAGAGAGAGATGCAAGAAAAACGATCAATAATGCAAATGGAAATTACTGAGCTTCTTTCAATTCATCATGTGATTAATTGATTTATTGCATCAGGCTTAGTGATGTGCATAGGCATTAGCTATCCCCGTTAACTCTCGTCGCAGTTCCGCTTGGTCGCCAGCAGAGTGCGTCAGACGTCTCTGCACAGCTGGGAGCCGCTGCTTTAGCTTAAGCACAAAGCATCCTGAGCGGTGCATGTGATGCACATGGCGGAGCCGATCCCCCGCACGCCGCATTAGCGAGCAACGCTGTGGCTGGCTGAGTGTTAATCTTCATTCGCTTTCGCTCTGTTTGGCTGGACGTTTTGCATCTTCGTCGGGAAATGTGCAGAAAAACAGTGTGAGCAGAAGCAGAAATGTCCTTTTTTGGGGTCACACTGAGGCTGAAGGCAGAGCTGCGTACATGCAGATTCAGACACTTTTCCCAACGTGGGGTGCGTTTAATTCGGTTTGGGAGACGAGTTTCTGTTCTGTGCTCTCCGATCACGCGTAAGCTGCAGAGTCTTAATGACAAAGACGGAAAGCAGAGGTCGGGTCTCGGGTGTGATGCCTGCAGAGCAGCAGACGCCTTTCATCTGCATCCCGACAGATCCGTCTGCAGATTAGCTCCACTTCCCTCCACGCGAGGACAGGAGTTTATAAATGATGGGAGTCTCATCTGCCCGTCTCATGTTGCTGTGTGACGGATGAGCATCTGTGTCCGTGTGTCCCAGATGAACCTGTTTACAGGCAAACCTCCTTTTGTCATGAGAGAGAGAAAAACGGTTGAGAGAGAGGAAGGGGGGGAGGGTGAGTGAGTACAGGAGAGGCAGGAGGATGAGGAGGAGGAGGAAGAGGGGGGGAGAAGGAGGCAGGGAGCACAGAGAAAGCATCAGCGTCTTGTTTTCTCTGCTTTCTGTAGCTCACCGGTGCGGGTTGCTCTGCACATAAGCTTCTCGCGTGCAACGTTGTTGGTGGCGGCGGTGGGACGAGGAACGGGCAAGTCAGGAGAACCTTTAAACCCTTCTGCTCTCAGCCAAGATTTGGCTTTGTCTTTTCTTTTTCTTCTTTATTGTTTGTTTGGAGGAGCTCGCTGTGATCCCGCACACAAAGAGGAAGCACTTCCGTCATCCACCGACGGATATCTGAGATGCTCTAGCGGGAGGTAACCTGAACAAGGCCCGTGTCGGTGGGTTAGTTGTTTGACGTGGGCATATTTCTGAGAAAAATGGTAGCGATGCTTTTTACGTAGTGAGAGTGTGTGGGGTGAAAAAAACGTTGCATTGTTGCCAAATGTTTTCATAATTTCTCTGTATTTCTCTAAACCTGTCCTCCTCTCTCCAATCACTGGACCACTGACCTTTTCAGCCTCTCCGCAGCCTAATTAGCTTTGTAGTTTGGACTAGGAAAAAAACCACGGTTCCTCCGTAATGACTCACTCAATAACAAATTTCTCTTCATCAGTTTGGTTTGCCGTAACTAGGTCACTGCATGTTGTGTAACAGTGTATCTGGACGGGTTGCTAACAGTTATAAATAACCAAAACTTCCTCAGCACGGAGGCCTATGAAGTCAATTCTCCATTACCGTCTTTGGTCTCTTTAAGGACTGACTGCCTATTATGTATGATTTTGTAGAAAAAAAAAGATCTATTAAGCATTTAAAACTGCAGGATGAAAAGCCAGGCATCCGATGTAAGGGGTAAATGTAGCATTGATATGGGACACGATGCACTTTTTGTACCCCAGTCCAAAAAACAGAGAGGGTTTTTGTATCATACTCATCTATTATTTATACTCCATCCTCAATCCAAGCTCCTCTGTGTCTCCTTCCTCCTGTTTGTCTCCCTGTGCAGTTGGCCTTGGCAGAGGGGCAAAGCGAAGGACCGAAGCCTGGTCTGGACTCCAAAGAACTCGTCTTTCTCATCCAGATCACTTGCCAGGTAACATTACTTGAATATCCGAGTGGTGTTCTTGCTTCTCCCAAAAGTAGCAGGCGCTGTCGTTCGGTTTGGTCCTGATGTACTTTGCGTCGTCCCCATCAGGCTCGAAACTGGCTGGTGAAAAGATCCTACGAGGATTTCCGAGTGCTGGACAAACATTTGCACCTGTGTATCTACGACCGCCGTTACTCCCAACTCACCGAACTGCCACGCTGCGATACCTTAAAGGACACCGTTGAGGTATCGTCTCCACGTTCTTGCCAAAGTATTCATGCCCCTTTGAAACTTTCCTCCGTTTAGAACATAACCTCCATTTTTTATGTAGTTACTTTGAAAGAGTTGCAGAAATTCACTGCTGACTTATTTGGGAAAAGAAAAAGAACGAAAACTTAAAGACAGTGTATAATTTCCTTCCACTTCACAATAAAACAGCACTTTGTGTTGTGTCTCATAAAATTGTGACGAAACATGTTAAAAAGAAAATCAAAATTCAAGAGCATGAACATGTTTGCAGAAATCCTTGTACCTCTGCTGGCTTATGTGACGTCACGTTTATTTTTGGAGCTTTATTGAGGTCTATCTTTTATTTTTTTGTCTCCTTTCAGTCAGTCACCGCAATGCTGACTAACTACCTGTCACGCTTCTCTGCCATCGCGGACAACAAAATCAACTGTGGTCCTGTGTTAACGTGGATGGAGGTAGTAGTTATTTTTTATTTTGCTCTTTCTTTGTGATGATCTGAAACGCCGAAGCAACTGATGTTTTTCCAAGGAACCGTTATAAAATTAGACTCAATATCGCAGATGAGACTAAGGTTTTTTTAGTCCTTGCTGTACATCCTTCTACATTTTGCAGTGTAGCTTCTCTTTTCTAAATATTGAGTTAAAGACTTAGTTACTGCACTGGTGTTTGTCTTAGCATGAGAAGCAGACAGACAGCACTGGTGTCAAGAAAAAAAAAAGAGTTGTGCAGCTTTTTCTAGCGACTGATCGGTGACAGAAAGTGAAGCTTCTGTAGCGAATTTGAAGCCTTCGCAAACGTGTTCTCACCGGTAAGGATGGTTTTGTATTTACATGTTTGATTTTCATCGGAAGTTATTTTTGGAGTTGTATGTTTTTCATACTCTGAAGGCCGTTCAGTCCTTTAGCTGAATGACATTTTCCTGTATTTGTCTTAACAATCACAGCCACAATGGTAAAGTTGTGATGAGATGTTTTAATTTTTCAGTAATAGTCTGACTGCTGTAGTATTTTGGGGATTTGATTGATTTGTTTTTTTATTATTATCATTATTATTCTTTCTTTTGCCATGGGCTTTTTGTACAACAGATGACTTCTATAAGATAAAAAAAAATGATATTGCAGATTATTTCTTATATCTTAGCCTGCTCCATCCATTCCTAAACAAGATTTTATATTAAGTCAAATTTATTTTTATGGGAGATTTCAGCAACAAGGCAGTTTATAGTGCTTTACATGATAAAAACATAACATATAAAGTCCATAACATAAAGAGAAGTGGTAAAAAGTTGCCACTTGAATTGAATTAATTTATGTTCTAGTTATTATATATCCACAGACACGCTACGCATGTGGGGTTTTAGTCTGGCTTTGAAGGTATTCAGTGTTTCTCCAGTTTCGCTGTTTTTTGGAAGTTTGTTCCAGATTTATGGCAAATAGAAGCTGACTGCTGCTTGTCCATGTTTGGTTCTGGTCCTCAGGATGCAGAGCAGAACCAGAAGACTGGAGAGGTTCTGGAAGGTTGATACAACAACAGCAGGACTTTAATGTCTTGTGGTGCTAAACCGTTCAATAATTTTTGAACTAACAACGGTATTTTAAAGTCTGCTCTTTGAGCTACAGGGAGCCTGTGGAGGGACTGTAGATCTGAGGTGATGTGCTCTAACTTCCTGTTTTTAGTGAGGATGTGAGCAGCAGCGTTCTGGATCAGATGCAGTTTTCTTATTGATTTTTTTTAGGCAGAATGTGAGGACACTGTTGTAGTAATCAGTTAGATTTTTATAAATGGATGCATGAGTTTCTTTTTGTTGCAACATTTGTCCTTTAATCCTGGAAATCTTCTTCAGGTGACAGAAGGCCGACTTTGTAACTGTCTTTATACGTCTCTGAAGGTTCAGGTCAGAGTCCGGTAGCGCCACTGGCAGCAAAGCAGACATCTGATTTCTAAAATCATAAGTAAAAGAAAGTACATCCTCTCAAACAGAACATTGGGGCCAATTCACAGGCTCTACTTTCCACTGACATTAAAAATGGTGGAAGCTCAAGTGGAGACAAAAACAAACGGGGCATTTTTAACTTTCCATTGTTCTCCGCTTCTCTTTTATCCGTCGTCTCATGATAAATCGTGACCAGCTCCCACTCTCTGCTGTGGCTTTTTGGGCGTGAGATGTGAAAACGCGTCTCTGCTGTCTTTATTTTTAGATCGACAACAAGGGCAACCATCTGCTGGTTTCTGAAGAAGCTTCGATCAACGTCCCCGCCATCGCTGCCGCCCACGTCACCAAACGGTACACGGCTCAGGCCACGGACGAGTTAACCTTCGAGGTAAGGCGATAGGAACATGCTCAGGCATGGATCAGTCTGTCAGGTGTCTTTTTGTCTGCATATTTTTACATTTAGTTTAGATGAGCGTCACAGAGAGAGCTCTTTCTGATCTAGGTCGGGGATATTGTGTCTGTCATCGACATGCCGCCTAAAGAAGACACCGGCTGGTGGAGAGGGAAGCATGGCTTTCAGGTAAACTTTTACACTGCAAACACACAAAATCCAAGAGCATTTTTGGTCTTCATTCTGGTGGAAAAATCTTAGTACACTTGAATTAAGACAAAAAAAAAGTATGAGTAAGTTTTCTTCATGATTTAGCAGCTTCTTTTAAATCAATAATTCCTTAATTTTGATTTTAAAAATCATTAGTTATAAGTGAAATTGTTTGCCAGTGGAGCAAGACATTTTTCACATACTGTTAGATAAAATGTCTTTTTCCATTTGATCTAATAATAAACTGGACAGAGCCTATTTTCCAAAATAATATCCTCAAGTTTTTATAGATTATTAAAAAGGAAGATTCGACTTGTCATGAAAAATGTATTTTATTGGCATTCCTAAATGAAATGTAACTCATGTTTTAAAAAAATGTTTCATTTTATATTGGTTGAAACTGTCGTCATAGTACAATATGGGACACATAATGTGGGAAAAAAATTATTTCCTTTATCTTCTCCCGGCCATTTGCAGAAACACACAACCAATAACAACTTTTTTATTTATTTTGATAATTTTGTAAAGGTTACACAGTGCAGCTTTAAAGATGCTTTCTAAAATAAAAGCCTCAATATTTCTTATCATATTACCAATGGAAATAAACTGAAAAATATTAAAGGGCTTATATTGGCTTTTCAAAATAAAGCTTAAATGAAGACACGAAAAACTGAATCCAAACTGTTAGTATTTCAGCTTCTCTAAATCTAAAAGAAAAGTGAAAATTGATCATGCTACTTTTAAAAGAAAGTCCATAGATCATCTTCAGAGATGGTAGTAAACCAGTGATGAGGCTTTGACAGATCAACATAAAAAGGTTTAGTTTAGTTGGGAAAGTTTGTTTAGACGTCAAAAGTTCGATTCAGCCATGAATACTATCAATTTTTAGTCTGAGGTTTTTCTTAACCAATTTTTCCGCCTGTGCAACATCGCCTCTCCCCACTCGTTACTCACGTTGTTTTTACCTCCTCGCTCTCTTTTCCACCTTTCCTCCTGCAGGTCGGGTTCTTCCCCTGCGACTGTGTGGAGCTGATAAACGAGAAGATCCCACCCAGCGTTCAAAACTCAGTGCCAAAGCCAGGTACTGGTCGGTGCTCGTTGGCACATGGCGAGTTTTTAAAGACTTGCTGACCAAGATCTGAGTCAGAGTCCTTTTTGAAGTGTGTGTTTTTGTGCTCATCCAGTGTGCAAGAAGCACGGGAAGCTGGTGACCTTCCTGAGGTCGTTCATGAAGTCTCGGCCGCCGCCACAGAAGCTGCGTCAGCGCGGGATCCTCAGGGAGCGAGTGTTTGGCTGCGACCTGGGGGAGCATCTCCACAACTCAGGACACGATGGTAGAATATCCTAAATGCTTTAAGTTAATAAAAACATCCGAGACATAATACAAGGTTAATCTAGTTTAGAACCTGTTTTTGAAATAGATACTTTGTTGTTTCAGCATAAGCAAAATAATCTATACTGAAACAAAACTGAAGCAGATGAGTAAATTCTCGGCTACTGAATTAAAATCATTTTGTTTCACATTGACATCATCAATCTCCAGATTTAATCAGCTCCATAATGTTCATATCAACCATTGTTCTTGTGCAAATCTTAGTACAATTGAAATACGACTAAAATCACCAACAAGTACATTTTTAACAGGATACAGGAGTTTGTTTTGAGTAAATAATTCCTTAATACTGATGGAAAATTTACAGATTATTTCACTTATAACATGGGGAAAAATGTCTTGTTAAGAGTGAAATAATGAACCAGTGGAACTGATTGACCTTAAGCTCCTGTGTCTTGCTGAAAAGTTACTTGATTGACTTATAAATTGAAAGTAGGTAAAAATACCTGGTGAGATTTTGTAGTTTTTGCAGCGTTTAAAATTGCATGTCCTTATTTTGTTTTAATTGAATTAGAATTACCTGCATGTTTGAAGAAATGGGATGAATAATGCAAAAACATTTGGGAGGTCTGGTATCTACAGCCTCAGGTATGTTTATTGTAGGATTCTCTAGAAACAAACCTCTTTGTGGTTTTTAGCAAATCTGCAGCCTGCTATTGTTCAGCACGTTGGTTTTCATTTAATAAAAAAGTCTGCAAATAATGACACTTTTAAGGCAAAGTTGAGTCTTTTAATTGACTTTTAAGGCAACTCTGCATTAAAAGTGCCATTATTCACCAAAAGACACTTCATGACAGCCATAAACATTCACAAAGACTCCTTCATCCGTCTTACGCACACCCCTTCAAGTAAAGTGTTTCCGAAAACACTTTAAATAATTAGTGTAGAGAATGTAGAATGCAAAAAATGTCTTCCTTTCGTACCCAAAAAGATGTTTTTATAAGACACATCCAAAATGGCTGAACGTGGTGTATCGTCTTTATGTCCTGCAGTCCCACAGGTCGTTAAAAGTTGTGCAGAGTTCATCGAGAAGATCGGCGTCGTGGATGGGATCTACAGACTCTCAGGGATTTCCTCCAACATCCAGAAACTGAGGTTTGTGCTTCCCCTTTACTTCACCACAGAAAATCCTTAGCAGCAGTCCTTCCCTGTCGGTGTCGGGGGGCGGGGCTTACGAGGCTCCACCGGTTGGTCTGAAGCCAACAGGCGCCAGGATTCATTTGTTGAGCCGATTTTGCTCCTGGTGCACTGCAGTAAAGGAAACATTAAATATTTATGAAACCACTGGAATAATTACACACGATATGAATATATTACGACTGGAAACATCAGAGTATTTCACACTTTTTATTTTATTTGATTGAATTTCACAGTTAGTTGAAGAATGCAGTCATTATTCTCAAAATGTAATTATTATAATTTTTTTTTTTTACTTCTTAACTGCATTTATTTTCAGGTTTATTCATTTGTAATTGCATATATATTGATTCGTTAAATAAATAAGTGTGCAGCCAATTAGCAGCAACTGAAGAGCCTGCTGTCCAAGTCTTTAACTTTTAGTGCTTTTAAGGAGATTTTTTTCTCCAATCTATCAATGGAAATCTGATTAACGCTGTGTAGCTTCTGAGAGCGTTGCCGTATTTTTTGCTGGTTCCATAAAACAAACTCCCATCAGTGGATAAAGTGAGAGGCACATGAGCTGATGGGGTTGGGCAGCCAATCAAAAGGCTTAATAAGAAAAGCTCAGCTCTTGACGTCTCCTTCTCGCAGCTCAGGAATTAAGGTGTTGACACATTGAAGATCTATTAGTCTTTTTTTTGTTAATAGGCCTGTCGCGATAAATCAATTAATCGCACAATAAATTAAAACTATTGACCTCAATTTAATTATCGGCTTTGTCGTTTCTTCTGGCCTTTTTCTCTTTCTGCTGATGACACTGAATGAAAAAAGGCTCAACTCCGGTACTTTCCACTGACCCTCCCTTCCTCGTTTTCATTAGTGTAAAGCCCAGCGCGCGCTGCACAATCGTAGAGCTGTCGGCCCATTTTCTAAACCTGAGAGACACATTAGCCAATAGAAATCCTAGGTATAACGGTTTGATCGAACCGTTGGGGTCCAACAATGGACACAAAATAATAAGTCCAGTTTACTCATTTTAAAACCAGGCATTAATCAATTTTTTACTACAATCTACCTGTCATGCATGTGGCTCGTGTCAGTCCTGACAGAATGAAAATCATTATAACCTATTTAGGTCACTTTAACAAAGACTCTTATTTTTGTTTTTGGATGTTTTGTTTAGTTTATCAGTTCCAGTGTTCTTTTGAAAATAAAGTATGTCTATCTTTGGCAGGAAATCGCATGTATTATGTCATTTCCATTAAATCAGTGTAAAAAGGTCTTGAAACAATATTATCGTTTATTGCAATAATTTTTGAGACAATTAATCGCTCAGCAATATCTGTCACCGTGGCAGGCCTATTTCTTAAGTGATTTTACTGATTTATCGTTTTTGTATTTACTGATTTTGTAAGAAATCGTTCAGTTAACGTCAGTTTCAGATTGTTTTTTGCCGCACAAAAGCAAATGTATATGAAATGCTGCAGAAGAAATCCAGGACAATAAACTCGTGACAGTAGCAATATGTGCTTAGATGCGATAAGAACATGTTTGAGCAAAGATTAAAAAAATCATTTTGTAAATGTAATAAAACATAAAGATAAAATTAAAAGTAAAAGCTTTTCTGTGGCTTTGTAAATCATTCTTGACTCTTGATGATAGCTTTGATCATCTCTTCTTTTTCGTTTGTATCTAGAAACATCTCAGGGCAAAAGGACTTTGCACTAGCGGGGATAGTAATTTATAATTATTTAAAAGCTCCTGTAAGAATGATGGAAAAACAAGTGTTCAGCCTTAAAATCTGTTCCTGTAAGAAAGGAAAATATTTTTGAGGGAATAAAAATTGAAGTTGAATTGTTTTCCATTTAATGCTTTTAAGGTGTGAATAATCTGTTCAACATTATTTAAGAAATAAATATAGCAAGATAAAATATTGAATATTCATGACACCAGAAGAAATAGTTTGATCTCTTAAATACAGTGACTTCTGTTTTTGTATTATTATTGAGATACAGAAGAAGGAATTACTCATTTTTTTGTTATTGTGGAGAGAGTTGACTGTGATTGACAAACTGGAAAAGACTGATTACAACATAATAAGACCTAAACACTTTTTTAAAAAAGTCAAACTAATACTTTTAATATCCAACTTTCCTCCAAAAGAAAGGGAAAAATTTAATTCAACATTTTATGTCCAAATGGGTACAAACCTTGCATAATTTTGTGTTTCTGTTCCGTCTCTAGGCACGAGTTTGACTCTGAGCAGATCCCAGACCTGAGCCGAGAGCTTTTCAGACAAGACATCCACTCTGTGGGCTCCCTGTGCAAGCTTTACTTCAGAGAGCTGCCCAACCCGCTGCTCACGTACCAGCTCTACGACCGGTTCTCAGTGAGTGCAGTTCTCAAAGATTTCATGGGAGGCGATTTAGCTTCGGCTCAGTCGATGTGCAGGCAACGTCTTTCTAGTTGCTCCTCGATTAACTGAATGAAAGAGACATCTCATTTTCAAGCACTGCTTTAAAATAAGGTCATCGCATTGTGACGAGCTTTTCCATGAACCGGTTCGAAGCCGAAAGTCAGATTAACTCGTCGGCTTCAGTTGTTGGACTCTGTGCTTTGTCCTCCGTTTCGTCACAGGAAGCTGTGTCTGCAGCCACAGATGAGGAGAGGCTGGTGAAAATCCACAATGTCATCCAGCAGCTGCCGCCTCCTCATTACAGGTCAGATTTACAGCTCACTGCTGCACCCTGCTGTCAGAAAATGGAATGTATCATTTTTTTTTATTAGATTCTGATTCTGGTTGAAGGCACTTTGCTTTACTTGTGTTTTTAATACTAAGAAATACTAAGGAATTACTGGCTTTGAACAAGCTTCTGTTTCTTGCTGAAAAGTTATTTGTAAGTTAGTTTTGTCTTATGTCAAGTGTTCTAGGATATCTATCTACCAAAACAGCTGGTGAGTGTAAATAAGATCCAGTTCAACTGACTACAATCAGAGATCCCCAGACCTCTACATGGAGTCCACTTCTGTGTTACTTGACCACAAACAGTTGCCTCAGAGGTTTGTCAGAGAGCAATAGTGAACAATCTCTTTTTACACTCGCAGGACGCTGGAGTACCTCATGAGGCACCTTTCCCACCTGGCCACTTTCAGTTCTGTCACCAACATGCACACTAAGAACCTGGCCATCGTCTGGGCGCCGAACCTCCTCAGGTGACTGTATCTCGGCCGCGGCAAAGTCAGAAATTTCACCGCTTCTTTTTGGCCGCTCTGTCGCAGCGAACTGGGGCACATCTCAGTGGTCCCGAGCGCTGAACTAGGTCGCGCTGTGCTCCGTTTCAGGTCCAGACAGATTGAGTCGGCCTGTTTTAGTGGCACAGCGGCTTTCATGGAGGTGCGGATCCAGTCGGTGGTGGTGGAGTTCATCCTCAACAACACGGAGTCCCTTTTCAGCACAAAGTTGAACTCGATTTTAAGAGAAAGCACTGGTAGGGACTTTTCAAGAATAAAGAAATGGAAAACAAAATGTGTTTGTTTCTGTGCTAATGTGTGTGTGTATCAATCTTAGGGAACAACACCTTATCAAGACCAAAGTCTCTGATGGTTTGCTCCCCGTCCACAAAGCTGCTGTCTTTAGAGGAGGCCCAGGCTCGGACTCAGACGCAGCTCGGCTCTCCAGCCACAACCCCCTGCCTCACCCACAGCGACTACATCGAGGTCGGGGAGGGGCCCGAAGCTCTGCAGGGCAAATTTCACACTGTCATCGAGCTGCCAATGGAGAGGTAGAGTTTAAAAAATCTCTTTGAATGCTAGTTCTAAACATCAATGTCAATGTCATGTGCCTTAAGGTAGCTTACAAAAACCTAGCCAGCCAGCACCCTTCATCACCACTTTGTTGGATAAAGTTAGTACATTTCTGTGGATATAGGTCTTAAATTCTTTAACTTCCTTGACTAAATAATAATGAAAATGTCATATAAATATGTTCCTAACATATAGGATGAATCAAATAGCTGAAAAATCACCTTAGTGGACATGTCCCAATGAAATCAGGGACTGATCAAGGTATTCCTAATTGCATTCACGTCTCTGGTGGAACTTGAGCTTATCAATAACAAACTTCCTTAACTAAACAAAAATAAAAATGTTGCTTAAGCAATAACCAGGACCGTTTTGTCCTTGATATTCTTGAGACTTCACAACACACTTTCAGGGTCAAGTGTTAAATGCGATTTGTTCTCTGTCGCAGTGGCAAGCGGCCCCTAGCAAAGTCGAAGAAGTCTCCTGTGGGGAACTGGCTGTCCTTTTTCCACCTGGGCAAGTCCCACTCTGTGTCCAAGCGTAAACTAAAGCGACACCCCAGTGAACCAAATGAGATAAAGAGCATAGCACTGCCAGGTCAGTTTACTGTGGAGCCACAAAATTCTTGTTTTTTTGCTTTTTTTTTTTTTTTTTGGATGTCTTGTGATTTATCCAGAATAATTTTTGCTTGCAGGAGGACGAGGAGATAGCGGCACACTGCGGTCCACTAAAAGCGAAGAATCTCTTACTTCTTTGCAAAATTTAGGAGGTAATCTTTCAGGAGATAATAAAAAAATTCTTCTGCAGAGCTCTCAGCAGCTTACATTTACAGATAAATAAAAAAATATACATATTTTTTTATTTCAATGCAACCCAGGAGGACCTCCGAGTTACCGTCCCCTTAGACCTCGGTCGACCAGCGAAGCGGTTTCTTCCGTCAGCAGGGACGACCTGCACAACTCCAGAAAGAAAGAAGACTGCCACGCTCACCAGCTGAACGACAGTAAACGCAGCGCCGACCGAGGCCGTGCAGCCGTTTCCCCTCACCACTCGGAGGACGACCTCGACCTTTCCCCGCCGGCTGCGGGCATCTCAACCTTAGACTTCGATCCCATGTCTTTCCAGTGCAGCCAGACTCCCGCGATGCATCGCGGCAGCAGGTGGAAGAAGAGTGCAGCGTGCTCCAACGAATCCGAGCCCGCGTTCTCCCAGAACAACGTCGGCTGCTCGCGCTCACCGGACGACAGCCCGGTTCTGTGCAAAAGTGGGAAAAAAGTCGCCTTGAAGCACCTCTCGCCCAAAGTGAGGAAGAAATCGTTAAAAATGCTGGCAGACGTTCAGACTCCCGTGCCCTCTACTTCTCCCAACGTGGACAAGTGCGAGGCTTTGACAGCAGACGGGAAACAGCCGTTGTTTCAGCACAGCAGCCCCATCAACACGGCAAGTCAGGCATCCGGTGTGACAGACCTCAGTCAGTCCGCCCAGAACCTCCCTGATCCAGGTTTGTTTCTTTCTATCCTAAATCTGTGCTGTGCCTTTCAAATCTATTCATACCTTCTAAGCTTTTTCACATTTTGTACTGTTACAAACACAATGTTTTAATGTTTTAATGGTATTTTTATTTGAAAAAAATGCAGCGCAGCAATTGTGGGTAGTTTAACTGAAGCAAAGAAGCAATATTGAAGGCAGCAGGCGCATTAAACGTTTGTCAAATAGTCAGTATAAAGCTTCTATGTAGCTGCAAAAGATTTGTGAAGGTTCCCCTTCCAGCAGGAAATTAACCTTAAGCAAAGTACGACCTGAACTACAATTGAATAGATTAGATCTAAAAATATTAATGTGTCAGAATGGCCCAATCAAAATCCAAACCTAAATTCAACAGTATCTTAGCCTGGACTTAAAAATTGCTTGAGCTACTTTTCAACAAAGCACTAGCAACATTTGGCCTCAGCCAAATACACCCTCAAAGACTTGCAGCTGGAATTGCAGTAAAAGTGCATACTTGTAAAATAATGTTAAAATATATTTACCTTCAACTTTATGTTGATCACAGAAAACCCCCACCAAGGTTTTTATTTTTGTAACGGAACAAAATGTGAAAAGTTTTTAGTGGTCTCAGTAAATATGCAAGGGATGTTCCTTATTCCTTTTTATATCCATATCTGTATAGTTATTAAGCATGCAAATTTTAATGCACTCTAGTTTCTTATGAAAGCTTTTGTGTCTTGTCCCATCATGTCTTACCATAGCTTTGTTTGTCCTGTCATACTGTAGCGTTGTTTGTCTTATCCCTCCCCAGGAACAGATAGACTTATGAGTTCAATCTCTGTTCTCCCTCCTCAACCTCCTTCGATGAGTGCTGCGCGCAAGTTGGCTTTGGCCCTGGCGGAATCTGCCCAGAAGGCCAGCAACGCGTCCCAAAGAAGAAGCCACGCACATGACTGCAGACTGCAGCGACCCTCCGTTCTCGACGTCAAAGTGCATCCTGAGGAGTGCCGCGGCCCTCACGTCAGCCCGGGTTCCCAGTGGCAAGTGGCTGCGGAGGCCCACCGCTGCCCTCACCTTGGCCAGTTCTCGCCTTCACACCTCTACCCAGAGCCGCTGGAGGTTGCCGACAGTCAGGAAAGCGTGTGCAATTTCACTCCTAACGTCAGCCCGCTCGGGTCGGGGAGTTTGGAGGAAGGCAGCGCTGAAGGGAGGGAGCACAGAGAGGAACGAGAGTCGGAGGTCAAACAGGAACAACACACTTACCAGAGTGTTGGAGTCTCAACGCCCTGCCAACCTGTCAGCTCAGCAAGGAGCCCACCAGCCTCTCCCGTGTATGCAAACATGGACTCTGTGGATGCTTTTAACTTCAGATCCGTCCTGGCGGAGTCTTCAATGCCTGCCTCTATCGAAGAGGCCTTCCCACGACAATTCCAGACGTCTTCGGCCCATCCCTACAGCCCAGAGGAGGAAAGGCCTCATGGCATGCTTGAGGATGTCTTCAGTAATCACCATCATCATCATCAGCAGTACCATCACCGGCCCATTCATTCAGGTCGAACACCTACGCCTCACTACCCTCGGCCTGGCGCTCTGCCGCCGCACCTCTCTGCGCATAAAGGCCTGCACAGGCAGTCATCGGAGAGCCGCTACAGCTCTCTAGGTTTGAGACAACCTCTGTCACCTCAGTACAGGCGCTACCAGGGCGACTTCCACAGGCAGCAGGGGCAATGGCAGAGCTCCGACGACAGGGCAGTGAGAAACCCAGCCATCCGGCGGGCACACTCTTTTCATTCCCCACAAATCAATCATTACGAGCTGGCGAACACAGAAATCCTGCCCGTTGACTCCATGCTTTATGTAGAGCAGAAGTTGAGCCCAGAAGTGCCATATCAAGAGCGAATCCAGGCCGGCCTGAAGTCTGTACGGACGCAGTTTGAGAACGTACACCCAGAACATCACTATGGCCCCTATTCTGACTCAAGTTCAGGAGATCCAAGACCTCATTACTTCATAGAACCCCGCCGGCAAAGTGGCATCCATCGTCATCAGACCTACACAGTCCACTCCAGTAGGGAAGGTGACCAATCAGATTACTACAACTACTCTCCACGCCACACCTCTCCTGTGAATAGAGAGCTTTACATAGAAAGCAGAGACACTGTGGTTTACGAGGCTAGAGATGCAGAGATGTTTGAAAGGGTTGTGTATCAACCAGTTCAGCAAGAGAGACACAAAAGCACGCACCACTCTGTGTCTCCCTGTGAGACTCCAGACTCACCAAGGGACATAATGCACACAAGGAGTAAGTCTGACCCCGGAAACGCCAACCTCCTCTCAGCCCACAGAGTGGGCAGCCAAACGGTGATAGCCACTTCGCCAACCACCCCAAGAATAAGGTCCCAGCAAGCATACCCTGAGGTGTCCAGGCAAGGCTATGGCCAACGATCTGGCGCAGAATTTGGGCCAATGAGGCGGATTCATATCAAAGAGGGCTACTCGAGGCAGCCACTCCTCCGCAAAGTCCCTTCGTTGCCAGAACGAGGCTGCCCCAACCTGAAAAGCATCGAGCACACTCACCGATGCCAAACGAGAGGCTTTGAACAGAATCCATCAGTGCTGGCGGGCGCTGCAAAACCCAGCATCCTGAGAAGACCGGTCCGCTCGCAGAGCACCAGAGAACATCGTCACTACTACCATTACCACTCCAAATCTCCCCTGGATCCCGAACATCTGGAACCCTTCCCTGCTCACCTCAGCAGACGGACTCAGAGCACTAAAGTCAAGCCCACACACTACGACCACATGGAGGGGTATTACGCCGCGCCAAGGTCAAAATCCACCCGATCCAGCAAAGCAGCAGCTGGATATTTACCTGGCCAGAGCTGCATGTCTCCGCACGGACAGAGACTCCTATCCAAGGTCCTGGGTCACGAGGCTTTTTATCACCCCGCTTTCAGATCAGAAGCCGGGGTCTAAGAGTGATCTTAAACCCCTGCTTTCCTATCTGATTCCATGTTGGGGCCAAAGGACACCTGCACTTTATCCTCAGCCAGACCAACAGACCACTTTTTGCTATTAACCTTTACGAGCTGCTAAAAGAAGTGTGAAGCGAGGCTGATGGTGAGAACTGTGCTGTTGGTACGTTTTGTTACATTAGCTTCCAGAAAAGTTTATCGGGAACAAACTGATTATTTTAACATTTAACATTTGGAAATAGATGTAAGAAGCATGTTTGGAAAAAAAAAAGTATATATGTTTCAACTACATAACAAGGGATAACAAGGTAAATTCATGCGATTTCATAACATGATTTTTAAGGAATGTGTATAAAATAACTTTTTTTAAAAACTGTAATGTACTTACAGATTTGGACAAATATATTGGCACCCCTAGTAAAGATGTGGAAAAAAACCTAGAAAATAAATATAAATTTTATTACAGAAGCATAACATTACTCCACAATATCTCACCAATCACATGCCTAGCATAAAACAAGCGAAAAATAGCTTGTTTCCTAAAAAACAAGCTATGTTAGCTTGTTTCGTACTAGCCAACGAGTAAGCTAGGCTAGCATGAAAGAAAACATGAACAAAATAAAAGTCAAAAAATAAACTGACCTTGAGACAAACAAAAGACAAATAGGAAGGAGCAATGTGCACCTGTGAAAACTACTGACTTTCAAAACGATCAATTCTCAAAACTACTGAGCGCATTTGAAGAATGTACTCAAATGGATTTCTCTAAAAAACATTGAGCGTGATTACAGAATTTTACTTCAAGGCTTTTAAATCACCTTTAGTAGGGGTTCCAATGCGTTTGGCCGGCACTGTATAGGAGTAACACACGTCTAACATGTGGCCAATGTACTGTATATTTTTTTGTTTTCTATCCAACAGTCTGCTCAGACTTCGACAAGCACTTTTCCAGGATAACTGTGTATGAAACACATTGTCTTAACATGGTATAGATGGAGACATAAAGCTTCTATTTTTTCTGTAAGAAACAGCTTGCTCAGAGTCATTGTTGAATGCTTAATGGCACTTTTCGGGGGGCAAAAATCAAACGATAACCTCACGGTTTCTAACTCTTCAGGGTCGCTCACACAAACTCTTCTTGTTTAATGCTATCTAAAAGCAGTGGGTGCTGTATGATTTCAGTTCAAGTCAAAGCTACCGTGGCTAAATATGCTGGATTTAAGGCAAGTCAGTTCATGCTATTAGATATATATATATGAAATACTGTATTTTATATGGTATTGTGATTTTTGTCATAAAATTTAAGGAACAAAAAAAATTCTTCCTCTTTACAAACTTTTAACAATGTGGTGTTTTACATGGAAACATGTTTTATTCATTTTGTCATAAGTTTTACTCAAGATGCTATATCAATTTAAAACGTAAATGAGGACGTCCTGTTAAGACATGTTACAACGAGTTATTTTAGTGACGAATAAAAAAAAAATAAAGATATATTGTCAGTTATAAGAGTTTGCTGAATTTGTTTAATATGTGCTTGAAGTTATGAATACTGTTAAAGCTTTTGAACACCGTCAAAGTGTAATCTTCAATTTTACATCGAGCTGGGCGATAAAAAGTATCGCAATATCAGTCAATATTGATAATTATGGATTCTTTTCTGTTATTTGTTTAAAATATCTAAAACGCTACCAAACTGTTTTATCCACAGTCTTCACTCCGTGATGTTATTGTTTTAATATTATTTTTAAGCAGTTATGAAGTAGGGTGATGAGACGAGAAACTCAACAAGTTAGGTAACCAAGAGTGAGAGACTTAGTTGATGTGACCCAACTTGCTTTAGCTGGCTGTCAGAGGTTGAGCAGCTGAAACCTTTCCTCTGCCTACGTCCCCCAGAATGCCGTGCGATTCTTAATCTGATTGGCATAATCTGATTTATTCTCCAAGCCTAATTTTGCACATTTTTGTCTTATTCTTTTGATTTGGTTAGGCCAAGTGTTTTTAGCTTTCAGGCTTACTTGTTTTATTCTATCAAGTATTTTATTGCCAATTTACCAAGAAGAAGAGATGATAATTAGCCTTTAGCCTTTAGGCTAAATGTGGCTCACTAAAATGCTCTACACGTTTGTTCTTTGTATATGTGTGCATTTTTACATTAATTAAAAGGATCGTGTGACACATAAATTAGCTTTACATAGAATAACAAATGTCAAAGCATGTCAAAGCATATATCACATTAAAAAAAATGCTATGTTGATATGTTTATAACTCCAAAACAACATCAATATAGCACTAAAAATATCAACTGCGATAGGCAGTCCTTGCTTTGAGCGTCTTTTGTTGGCTTCCTCTGCCAAAACCACAGGGCCTGCTTAGACTTTTTACTGTTTTTCACAAAACATTTTGACTTGTCAGAGGCTGAAAAGCCCAAGTGCAATGAGGTAAGTGCCTTTTAGTGCTCTGTTGTGGAGTTGAAAGCACGCTCCCGGGGAGGAGCGATGAAAGCAAGGCTGGAGAATCCTGCGTTTCTTCTTCTTCTACTTGTTTTGTTGCATTCCCAACAAGCGGGGGGAAAAAATCGTAATTCTGTTGATGTTTTATTTTCAGTGTTCGAATAAGTCAGAAAACGGTCCCACATCGTCAGTAAGAACTAATTGCAAAAATGTACAATTTTAATGTAAGCTATGCGCTGGAAAAAAAAAAACATGACATGAAGCTTTAGGTCCTTCCTTTTATAGCAAACATAGTTAAATGCCATGTAATTAGGACATGTCAGATGTTTTCTTTTTTTTCTTTTGCATTGTGACTTCTACTTATTTACCGTCTTGTGGCCTGCAGCTCATTATTAAGCATTGTTTTGACATCCAATATCATGCGAGGACTTTACAAAAAAATTGTGATCAAAGTGAAAAGGAAGAAATTTTCCCATTTTGGAAAGGTCATATACAATGACATTAACCACTAAGCAAAGGGGAGAAGATGTAATGTTTGAGGTGGTGTGGTCATCATTATTGGTGTGTTTCTGTTTTGATTCTATTTAGGTTATTTCAGTCTCCTAATCTGCATACCAGTTCCTTTACTTCTTCAGAGTTTCTTAGTTCATAGCTCATTTAGATTTAGTTATCTCAGTGTTTTTAGTCTTTTGTTTGTAGGTAGTTATTTCTAATGTTTTTTATTACAGCTGTAGGTGAAATCGTAATGCTACAAAATTCCACTTTTGGTCTAGAAAATACATAATATTCTTCTTTAACATACCAGTTCTCCGTTGTGCCGTTTTGTCTTCGTCGACATGTAGAAGTCAAAAGGTATCAGTGTTATCGATGACATCACAAACTTGAAGCTATCAGAGCCGAGCCAAATGTGGCACTTTTGAAATTGTGTAAAACCGATTTAATTGGTACGTTCCTTTTGACCTTCCGTCAAAAGGAATAAAAATTGGAATAAAAATTCCAATTTGTGTGACATTAATTACCGTCAAAATCTTTCTTTGTAAAATGCAATCAAACATTAATCCAACCCAAAACCTGGATTCGTCCATGTTTGGCTATTCCATGAATAGAAAATCTAATGATTTATGTGTATGTAATTTATTTCAGACCCAAAAGTTAAAAAAAACAAACAACAACAAAAATCCAATTAATTGTAGAAGATTGTATTCTGCAGTTTGGAAAATGCCCACCAGGTGGCACTGTAACACTGCAGAGACCTTTCTCAGGCCCCCACTGCTGTCAAAGGAAACCTCAGGCTCTCATTCGCTTTTCAAGCATCCCAGATCCTCTCAGACGGGATGCTGCAGGCGACCCGGACCAACTCCACGGTGTTCAAACATCATCGTAAAACCCAACAGGTTGTGGCGCCGACACCACAACGCCCGCGTTGTTCCCATGGATCCTCCAAAGCTCCCTCTGTCGACAAGCGGCTCGTGAATTGGTGTCGTCATTTCTCCCGTGCAGCGTAACTTTGAAGCCGCTGCAGGACTTTTGAGTTACGGTTCAAAGGGCATCGAGTGGCTGGAGGATAATCAGAAGGAATCGACCAAGGTTGTCCGGGGAATTGCCGCTTTGTTAGAAATTATTAAAGTGTGTTTCTCTCTCCCCCTTTAGATCAAAACAGTCTCCCATTCACAGCTGACTGAAAGGCTCTGTCTGGGCAGAAAGCCATTAAGAAGAGCCCTCGGACTCAAAGCAATGTCTTCTGGCAGCTCCTGCGCTGCTCCTGCAGCAGCGGGCCATTGTTTATTCATCGCCGCATTGGCATTCAAAGCGCATCCTCACTGTTCTCTCTCATAACCAACAAGTTGCCATTTTTATGCACGCGAAGGCTGAAGGCTAATTATTTATGGGAGACCGGACCTGCGGAAAGGTAAAAAGGGGAGGGCCTCGTGTTAAAGAAGAAGAAGGGAATAAAGGTTTAGGTTGAGAGAAATCCTTTCCCATATGGGCTTTTGAAATCGCCGGATCATGGAGAAAATGTGCATGTATTATTCAGCTTTTCAGAAAAAGAAGAATCCTTGCCCTGCCATTCTGCTTTCTGCTCTTTTTTTTTTTTTTTTTTTTTTTTTTTTTGACATTGTGGTGCGTTTGAGACATGCCTCCTCTCAGGGTCTAGTTAAAGTGTCTCATCTATCCAGAGGAAGACGAACGAAATCAGAAGGTTTTTGAGCTCCGGCGAAGATTTCCGAACGGGCGAACGATCCGGGACTCGTCCAAACTCAAAACAACTTGGAAGGCGATCTCGAGACAAAAGGGGGACAGGAATCGTCTCGCGGTGCCAAAATGCCGGAGCAGGAAACGCGGTCTCTTCCACGGGACGGGAAGTCTGCCGCCCAGAGACGACTCTTCAGGGTTGGACAAAATTGAACTTTATGACTCCTGGAATTCAGGAGGAACAATTTACAGCCCTTAATGGCTCTGACTTTGACTGCGCTCTGCAGATCTGTTAGTGTTATAGCACAGCGGTGCTTGTGTTGCTCTGGTTCACGGCACTTCAGTGGCTCCATAAAGAACAATTTTTGGTTGTTCATTACAGTGTAATGTTCCATCACGAAACATTATTGGAACTTTATGAATGTAGGCTCTCTCCATTGTCCCTGCGATGGGTCTTGACGAAGAAGTGCTGAGGCATATTTAAACGTAAACGCAAAGCGCTGCGGTGGCAGCTCCTGTCAAAAAGACAATAACAATAATGATTAAAAAAAAGAGTTTATTTTTGGAATTCATATCAGTGTGCAGTGCAGAATCGTTAAAGGCTCTTTGCTTTGTTCTGAGTTTGTCATTTTGCAAAACAAAAGTTTTACTGGGTTTTTATGAGGAGCTAAAACTAAATAGGAGGAAAAATTGAGCTTTATTCATGTATCTTGTTTTAAAAAAAAGAAACAATGCTGAAAACCATCTGGTCAAATGAGACAAACAATTCTCTTTCTAGTTCATACACACAACAAACCAACATCACCATAAACACAGCTGCCCTCAGTGTGAAACACGGCGGTGGCAGCATTATGCTTTGGAGGCGTCTCATGCTGATGAGACGCTGATTAGAGTTGAAGCATGAACTGGAACAACACTAGACATTCAGCGAGAGCAGAACGTGATCGTCTTAGAATGGACTAGTCAAAGTTCGGACCTAAATCTGAACTTTGCAGGGAGAATGGAAAGTTTATGTCAAGATAAGCTCTCCATCCAGATATGACAGAGGAGCTCCCCGGGTGTCCAAATGTGGTGGTTCGCCCAGGGCGCCAAACAGGCCAGGACCGCCTCTGCACAGAAAACATTTTCATCAGCACCACCATAATCGAGATTTAGATTATGGATAGAACGGATAGAAACCGTGCTGTTGTTTTCTGCGAGCACATAAAGCAGCGCCGTTGCTCATCACGAGCTAAAACATCGATATCTGCTTCATCACTGCGTTGAAGCAGATATTGCAGCAACGGAGAAGTCTAGTCTTCCCTTCAACACGTTAGCTTGATGCCACGTTGTCCTCTGTGCTAACAGTTCACAGATGCGCTTCTGCACAAAAGACATTTGCTTTTCCAGAATTTGTCTTTTCAGCTGATATAATAGACGAAGCTGTTGCTCCTTCCTGCTGTAGTCGCTGTTATTCTTCTTCTTTTTTCTTTTTCTTTTTTTTTTTTATAAACTTGCATGTGAAAGGTAGAGCAGAGTAGTGCCGGCGACGGGAGGCAGTTCTCAGAGATCATATGCGTCTCTCTCCTAATTACATAGTTAACATGGCAGCGAGTTCACATTTAATTAAAGCGAGTCGGAATACCTCGTTAGCACCCTGGGTAACCAATTAGGGCCGTGCCTATGGCCAGGAATGTGAGTTTTGAGCGAGTGTATCCATGGTATTGAAAATTAAAATTTAAAAAAATGTTTTATTTCATTTTTTTTTCTTTCCAAGGGTGCCGCGGAGACAGGGTGGTGGGGGAGCAACGACACAATGCTTTAGTGATTGAATAAGTGATTAGACCTCAGATTAACACAAAGAATCCTCGCGCCCATTAGGGC